TTGTGACGAATGTGATTGACCAAAATCGGGTAAAAATGCCAATCACAAACGTCACAAGCAAAATTGAGAATTTTTAAACAGGCGAATCACAAATGTCACAAGTTTATTTTTCAATATGTGATACACGGAATATCATAAGGACAATCGTGGTTATATCAGTGCGATAGTACAAGGGCGACAATGCAATAAATCGATATTGTGATGTCGACATCACGATACCAATATCTTTTCACCACCATTGCATTATCGCCATCGTACTAACTTGTTGCAATATCGTATCGTCGGCATTGTATTGTCTTCATAGAACTGTCGCATTGTCGTAATGGTATTGCTATCAAGTCGTCTTACGTTCTCGAAACCTTCAAAAAATTTTGGTGACAATGTACGGCATAGTATCAGACTTCAACTGGAAGTGATCTTTTACCTCTGTGAACCCTCAAATTTCTTCCCACCATACAGCGACAGTCTAAAGGAATCTCACAGACTTAATCTTAGTTTCAGTACAAATTATGACCATATTTACACCAATGAGACCATATATGATTGTTTGGGAAGTAGCTGAGACCCCCGTTGACTTTCAGGATATCTAATTAGAGATTAGGACCTTTTGACATCAATGAACCTTTTTTGGTCTGACAGACTTTTGACTTCCGCAGACTTTCAGGAATCTTGGTTCAATTAAAGAGTATGACATTTTGACATCTAGGAACCTTCTTTCCTGAGACGATTTTGCAAGTCTGGGCCAATGCGGACCAAGTGTGCCGATATCTTCCTTCAGGCACACTTGCCCTGTATCATAACCTTTTTATTGCATATGTAGACACTCAATTATGTTATTCTTCTAAACAAAGTTTAATGTTTTATCTCCATACTGTTTTCTAACAAATCGTGTCTATTTTCTTCACATTTTCCGTTCGCCACAAACATTTGTATTTTAAATATCTGCTCATTAAATTTCTATAAAATCATATAAAAATGTGCAGAAATTTAATCTTTATCTATCCTGTTGCGTGTTATGCTGATAAGTTAACTATAAGTTATATCTTGAGCGCTCCAACGTCAAAACTTGTTTACGTCAACCGGACGTGACGTCATGATATGGATTTTTGGCACACTAGCAAGTGTGCCGATATCTGGCACACTTGCTCAATGCATGCTTATATCGGCACTCTTTGGGCAATATCAGCACACTTCCTTAGCATTTTTGTTACTATTTATAGTAACAAATGCAATAAACTAGTATAATATCGTTTTGACGTCGACGTCATTTAACGTTAGCGGACGTCGCTTGATTTTACCGCGTTTATAAGGCAAAATAACAACAATTTTTCGGTTTATCGGCTCCAAAATTTAACCTGTGATATGAATAAAATAATAAAATGCTCGCAGAGCCTCGCAATTTATTATTTTATCCAACTCGTTTAATAAATTCAATATGAAAAGACACTCATGTAATATCCTCTATATTGGCCTACGAGACCGCTAAAGCCCTCGGCCAATACCTCTTCTTGGCCAATATTGCATTCAGACACACTAGACCTGTGTAATAACCTATAAATACGCAACGGCAAACACTATAAATAGAAAAAAAAATGTGAATTTAAACGTATATGAGTTTTGTCCATGTAATATGACTGTGGTCAGGTGACGTGATGCGCCAAATATCGATATCGGTCCGACTTCCGGTTGGGCCGATATCGATTTCCCACTTCGGGTTGCTAAAAAAACGCGGAAAGATTGACAATTTTATAAGAAAAAAATACGTTTAACTGAAATATATCTTGATAAAAAAGCAAAATTGAAGAAACACTTGAAAAACAATCTCCAAACAGTTAAATAACGCCAAAATATATTAAAAACAAATGTTTGTGAGGAAATGACGTCAACGTCATTAGACGACGTCAAAAGTCCCTCGCTTTTAAAATAAATTATACATTGTCGCTGAACAATGTTTTCAAACGATTTTTTTTAATTCTATAATGAAAACCAAAACATAAATGAGCACATGCAATAAAAAGGTTATAGAACAGGTCTGGTGTGCCTTAATGCGATATGGGTCTACAAGATCGGTATTAGCCCTCGGCTCTTTTAGTGGGCCAAAATCGAATAAAGGCACATCAGACCTCTGTAATAACCTATAAATATATCCCGCCTCTAAACCAATGAAAATTCGTGAACTTTATTAGCAGTATTATAAATTGCGGCTAGTATTGTGCAATGTGAGTTTGCTTTTAGTCTTCTTGGAATCCATGTTGTTATTCATTACTTTATATTCTAGCATAAAAACTGCCGTTATAACCATGATTTCGGGGTGTTTTAACAGGACCAAAAAGGTCTTTTAACAAGGAGATTCTAGCGCTCATGCGCTGTTAAAACACCTTTTTGATATACGTTTTCCGTGGCACAGCGTCAATACATTGTGGCCCGGACGCTGCTTAACTAAAACGGAAATGACGTCACGGTCACATACAACGCTGACGTTCCCGTGCAATCCGAGGAAAATCAGTGATGTTGCTTGATTGTGTATGGATTGTGTTAGATTTATGCATGCTTTATGCTAGAATAGCGTTAACGAATGATTGTTCCGTGTCATAACAACTGCTGAAACCCTCGGGATACGTTGGGTCGGGTACCAACTAATCCCTTGGGTTTCTACAGATATTTTAACACGAAAAAAGAAACATGCGTTATTCCTATATTATATCAGAGTTCTTTAGTACTGACGGCTCATCTAGGGTTCAATATGGCGCGGTTCATATAGTTATTTTACCAGTAATATCTATAAAGGAAAGGGTTAAATGAGAATCATGAAGGAAGTTGAATAAATAAACTTAAAGAAAACTTAACATTTCTTGTAGAATATGATTGGTCTTGCGAAGCTATAATTACACGAGGTCATTCAAATATCTTGCAAGCAAATTCGCTGAATTAATGTTTACCGCCGACAGCATCATATACTGATTGAAAATTAAACAATTGCAGGATACATTTCGAATAAAGACTCCGGGGAAATAGTCGGTTAAAGCATAAATTATCAGGGCCCATATCACTCAAGTACACGGCGATAATGCACATGCCCTTTTTGTATTGAAGGTTCCCACACAATTAAAATTAGATATATTTAACATTTGAAGACATGAAATACTTAAGTTATCTGACTGAATATTAAGCAACCAGGGGTCTTAACTTCGGGTAAGTGCCGTCAATATACACATCTCCGCTTGGTATTAGATGTACCCACATAGTTTTGTTTTAAATTATTCAGCAGATTTGTTGAAGAATAGGGTTGAATTAATGCTTTTCTATGAACAATAAATGATAATAAATTATGGATCATAACTCTGTATTAAACGGCCAAACGGGAAATACTGATGATGATGATGATGATGATGATGATATGCACATCTTGTTTGTTTGTTTATGTGTTTATCTAAAGTCGCCGCCGGAAAGCCCATATAAGCGACCGTACCCTCAAGTCGGACCAAATCCTTTAGTGTCCCGTCGAGATTTTTCGAGATGCGCATCTCCTCTTTATATTAAACTAAATTTCGTTGAAATTCCTAGAGCGCAGAAAAGCAATAGTTCTATATACAGTGTTTTATAAATAACAACAACAACAAGGGCAATAAGTCTGTTTTTAAAAAGAAATGGAGATATGCTGGTTATATGTGCAACTGGTTTGTGAATGAAGGTTCCTACAAAGTTGCAGCATCGATATCCATCCAGAAGTTGCTGAAAAATAGCGTGGAAACGAAATGATTCCATATACAGTGTATAATAACTAATCAATGGCCGGATAGTGCGGAAACTAAATCTGGACTGACAGGCGGACGAACACGCTAAAACAGTCCCATCACTCCCGATTTCATCAGCGGGGGAGGGGATAAAAATGTCTGTAGTTTTAGTTCCAATAATTGATTTCAGTCCTAAAAATTTGTGACGTTTGTGACTCAGTGAAAAGCATTGAAGAAAACAATATTTATCTCAAATTTGTGACATTTGTGATTTTAAACTCGTGACGAATGTGATTGTCTAAAACATTGGATCACATGCATCACAAAATTTGTGACGAATGTGATCTCATTCTTCACAATTGTGACGAATGTGATTTGTGACACATGTGGCCTTACACTGCTTTGTTAAGAAATGCTCATAAATCTCAATATTGTATTTCAAAACCTTGACAAACCTCGTAAACATTGTATGCAGTAACAGGAGACGTAATTGTCCTCTAAATGAAAATATAATAATACTCTTTCACTTGTACGTGTATAAAAGCTGCTGTTTTGTGGGTTATATTTTGACTTAGTAAAATGATTACAGAATACTTGTCAGTGCCATTGTATATTTCATTGAAAGCGAGTGGGGCATGTGTGAAATCATCGCCAAACCAATATAGCTGGTACAATCTTCATGTATATAAAATTGCATTGGCATTTTATGCAACAAATCTTTCAATTTTTAAGAAACGACCACCACGTTATGAAAACAACATAATTTTGTTTTTTTTTAGATTTAAAGAAAAAAGAAATATATTTCATCAGATATTGCACAAATGATACCAGCTTCTGACATAAAATTGTGCGTGTTGCATGTTGTTGCACATTGTTTCTGTCCATGAGAATAAATCAACATCCTTATCCAACTCCTACATGTATGTACAAGTACTGGGCTAGAATCTTAATCCTAATAATGTACTAAGTGGAAAGTGGAAATTAATAACTTTTGGAGAATTATGAAATAGAAGAAATATGTACAATAATAAGGCCACGAATAGAGTTATTCTTCGGGAGCATGAAGGGACTTTTGACGACCGAACACGAAACTTGAAAAAGTGTCTTTGAAAATGCTTCTTTACTGCAAGCCTAACATAAATATTACAGACTTAGAATACTTATTAAACATGCAAAAATACAACCAACTTTCCTCTTTACTTGTTTATATATTTAACAATTTAAGGTCTTTTTGGTTATCAATTTCTATTTTTTATTTTTTTGCAGCGTTCCAGGATGTGCACGTGATGATTTTTATAGGATTTGGGTTTTTGATGACGTTTCTGCGACGTTACGGTTATTCTGCTGTCAGTTTGAATATGTTCATTTCATCTTTGCTCATCCAATGGGCAATGCTTGTCAGAGGGTGTGTCTACGAGGGGATCTTTAAGGGGAACAAATTCCAAGTCAGGCTAGAGGAGTAAGTTTTTCTAGGCATAATATGTCTTTTCAATGAAAAAACATGTTCTTATCGACTTGACCTTTCATTTACAGATTCAACCAAACCGACGGGCGTCAGTGGCCGAGTGGTTAAGGTCGTTGACTTCAAACCACTTGCCCCTCACCGCTGTGGGTCCGAATCCTGACAGGGATTTTGGATTCTTTCATGTGATGAAGCTATCAATGCTGCTAACGGAACGTCGGTGATTCTACTCATCAGAAAAAAAATGCATGGAGTTGCACCTGAACTCTTCCTCCACTAGTCGGAAATTCGCCATATGATCTTTACTATGCCAGTATGACGTAAAACCAAACCAAAAAAACAGCAAAACAACCACAGACACTTGGGGTTTGGAGCTCAAAACGCTTTTAAAATCCAAATAAAATGCATATTTGTCAATTGCAGCACTGTACTGATCATATATATATAAAAAAACCCTAATATAAGCCGTTTGGAAAAAATTTCATATTTCAACATCTATAATAATACACATTTTTTCCGGCGAACATTTTTATCTTGTGTTGAAATATGAATTTTTTTCAAAACGGCTTTTGATATATATGATCAGTACATGTGCTGGGATTGACAAATATGCATTTTATTTGGATTTTAAAGGCGTTTTGAGCTCCAAACCCCAAGTGTCTGTGAAAACAACCAAACCAAATATGATGTTTTCATATATATTTTTCTTGTTCTTATTGTTTCCGAAGGATCTCCCCTTTTCCAGTTTTTACTATATGTGAAACATGATCGGAACTCTTGAAGGGTTTGAACCCACGGCTTCTAGTTATGAGAAAAACACATCCTTGTATTTCAGGATGGTGACAGCAGATTTTGCTTCAGCCACAGTTCTAATATCGTTTGGTGCTGTATTAGGTCGGACTAGTCCGCTACAACTTCTCATCATGGGATTAATTGAGGTCATTGTTGCCCAAGTCAACGGATACGTCTGTCATGATGTGTTACATGTAAGTATAGGATCAGTATGAATCATCTATGTCTGTTTTATTGAAAACACACGAACGGTTTTTGCATTAATCAAAACTAGCATGTCTTTACCTATATATGCAATGTGTTCATTGAAGTCTGTAACGTTTTCATCCAAATTAAATAACATTGTCGTCTACGAAACAATGTCTTTACACCGTGTTGCCTTCTTTAAAATCTGTTACACAAAACGATATCGATGAAAAGAAAAAAAAACAAAATCATAATAATGCACACCTTTATCATCACCTATAATCACCTGACTTTATCATACAAACAATTTCAGGCGGTAGATGTAGGAGAATCTATGTATATTCATGCGTTTGGGGCATACTTTGGTCTAGCTGTTTCTAGGGTACTCTACAACAAGCATGCACAGAGCCATCACAAGGGCGAATCTTGTTATCACTCAGACCTATTCTCTATGATTGGTAAGTGACAGGCCGTATCTCAATTAGAGCCTTTCTAATTGACAGATCGTGTTTCTACGGTGTTCCGTTAGGGCCACCGCGGTTTCGCGCTGTCGTTCTAAGGGCGAAATCACGAAAACACGATACCTTGACGCGAAAACACGATGCGATGAAGCGAAATCACGATAAGAGATCGCGAAAACACGATGCGAAAAATATCGCGTTTTCGCGCTATGAATATCGTGGTTTCGCGTTTTCGCCCTCGATCTCCCATCGTGTTTTCGCCTTCGCAGTCAGTTAGCGAAAACGCGAAAAAACGATATTAATAGCGCGAAAACGCGATAATTTTGGCATCGTGTTTTCGCGATCTCATATCGTGTTTTCGCGTTTTCGCCCTCTCAACTGCGAAGGCGATTTCAAGCGCGAAAACACGATGTTTTTATCGCACTTTATTAAAATATCGTGGTTTTGCGTTTTCGCCCTGGATCTCCCATCGTGTTTTCGTGTTTTCGCCTTTGCGGTCAGAAGGGCGAAAACGCGAAAACACGATACAAGATCGCGAAAATACGATGCGAAAAATATCGCGTTTTCGCCCAACTGACCGCAAAGGCGAAAACACGAAAACAAGATGGGAGATCAAGGGCGAAAACGTGAAACCACGATATTAATAGCGCGAAAACGCGATATTTTTCGCATCGTGTTTTCGTGATCTTGTATCGTGTTTTCGTGTCAATTCATCGAAACCACGATGGCCCTAACGGAATTCCGTATGTTTCCGTGGAATCACTCAGACCTTTTCTCTATGATTGGTAAGTGGCATATCGTACCTTTGGGTAGATATATAGAAACATTCTCTATATCATTGGTAATGGACACATCATTTTTCTGTGACAGACTGTATTTGTCTGAAATCATTTAGAAATGTTCTCTCTATGATTGGTAAGTGATAGGTCGTATCTCCATGGAATCACTCAGACCTATTCTCTAAGTGATAAGTGATATATAGATTTTCTCTGGAATCATTTAGAAACTGTCTCTGTATGACATATCGTATTTATTTGGATTTTTTTTTTTATTTAATCATTAAAGATCTCTACATGATGATCATATACAATATGATGATCATATCCAAAGATATTCTCTAAAACGTATTTCTTTGGTTTCTTCCGGGGAATCATTCACAACCGTTCCCATTTATCATAAATAATGCAAATGTAAAATTTCACGAAATCAGTTTTTCGGACCAATTGTCGAAGTTTAATAGTTGTGAATTTCTGCTTTAAGTTCTTTTTATGATACTTAACGAACATTTATGTTCGCGAAAAAAATCACACAATTTTAATTCGCGAAATTAGTGAACACCAGTCCTTCGCAAATATTTCTGATTTTACAGAACATAACTGATCATTTTTCAGGAACTATTTTCTTGTGGATGTACTGGCCCAGTTTTAACGGTGGTGGATCTGAAGGGGACGAACAACACAGGGCCTACATTAACACCTACCTCTCGCTGTGTGCCTGTACGGTGATCACGTTCGCTATTACAGCTTTAACAGATAAGAAAGGGAAATTTACTATGGTAACATACCTTGTATTATAACTTGATTTTTTTTGTCCATAGCAAATAATAAGAACATATCACCTTTATTTGGTGACATTTTATGGTGGTGTGTTTGACTGGTAATGGTAATATTTTTTAGCATGTTCAAATGCAAATATCAGCACAAGTACAACGGATTTATTTTCGGTTCAAATGATAATTATAATGTTTTAATATATGCACAACCGGTATATTACTGACAATATTGTTAACAAACAAACAAACAAATAAGAACCTTTAATAGTTCGCCTCAAAGGATATTTGTTTGAACTGAACCACTTTTTTATTTAGAAAACTTGTTCAGAATAATACATGTAGTCGTAAAGTAATAAAATACCAGGATATTTTATTTGCACACATACTAGTAAACAATTTTTTCTGTTGTCTATAAAAATTTTATATTTCTGTATTCTATAAAAAGCAATATTTCCATTCATTTTGCTGAGGAAATACGGTATTCGGCTTTTTCTATATTATGATTATATCTCTTTGGTAATATGCATGAAAAAGACATTTTTTAAATTATGAAGGATATGCATTTTTCCTTTTCTATAACAACAGGAATTCATCCAGAATGCTACACTAGCTGGTGGTGTTGCCGTGGGAACTACTGCAAACATGCCGCTACAGCCGTATGGAGCTATTATAATGGGATGTGTGGCCGGCTTGATTTCTTGTATAGGATATAGATACATTACTGTTAGTACCTTTTATAACTAACCTTCTTTAAAACAATTATAAGTATATAAACTGCACAGTTGCTCTCTTTAATCAGAGGACAGTTGCTCTCTTTAATCAGAGGACAGTTGTTCTCTTTAATCAGAGGACAGTTGCTCTCTTCAATCAGAGCACAGTTGCCCTCTTTAATCAGAGGACAGTTGTTCTCTTTAATCAGAGCACAGTTGCTCTCTTTAATCAGGGCACAGTTGCTCTCTTTAATCAGAGGACAGTTGCTCTCTTTAATCAGGGCACAGTTGCTCTCTTTTATCAGAGGACAGTTGTTCTCTTTAATCAGAGGACAGTTGTTCTCTTTAATCAGAGCACAGTTGCTCTCTTTAATCAGAGGACAGTTGTTCTCTTTAATCAGAGGACAGCTGTTCTCTTTAATCAGAGCACAGTTGCTCTTTTTAATCAGAGGACAGTTGTTCTCTTTAATCAGAGCACAGTTGCTCTCTTTAATCAGAGCACAGTTGCTCTCTTTAATCAGAGGACAGTTGCTCTCTTTAATCAGAGCACAGTTGCTCTCTTTAATCAGAGGACAGTTGTTCTCTTTAATCAGGGCACAATTGATGAAAATCGACGCGACAAAGGTGAAGTGTTGTAAAAGCCATGTATGTTTTCTGTTGAAACAATGTTAAATTTTCGAGAACCGAAGATCCGATTTTTTTTTTGGCATTCGTATTGATTGTTTCCCAACACCCTGTCTCTAGATTTTTTTTCTCATAAAAATTGAGCAATATCGAACGTCATGTTAAGATAATATAGTTTGAGCAATGTGTATTGTATTCATACATGGTTACCTTTCTAAATTTTCTAAATTTAGGAATTTTTGGCGGAGAAACTAAAAATACAGGACACATGTGGTGTTCATAACCTGCACGGAATGCCCGGGGTTCTAGCTGCTATTGCTGGTGCTGTCATGGCTGCTATGGCAACGCAAGAAGATTGGGGAGTGAGGTAAGTTCCTTTAAAGGAATATTATGCCTTTCCATTCTGTAAATAATGGCAAATATTTGTTTGATAAACTTGTAATATGGATTTAGAACATGTGAGACGCTAGTAATCTGAAGAAAATTGCGCTTAATGTGAATATTATGTGAAAATAGAAATAACGGTGTTAGTATTTTTGAGTCTCAATAGGCTTTTGATATAGTGACTTATCGTAGCTTTATACAGCATTTTACATAGAAATTATGTGGCATTTATCGTATACAAGTACTGTAATGATTCAAACTAAGAAATATTTTATTGCAGCATTTATGATATTATATTTCCCTTAATTTATTGCAGCCTGTACGAGATATTCCCCTACAGAGCCCCAAAACCAGACGACATAACTAATGAATTCCAACGCCAATTTCCGAGCGTCGATGTAGAATCCGGTAAAGGTTGGTCCGCCGGTAAGCAAGGTGGTTACCAAGCACTAGCACTGGCTGTTACTTTAGGAATCGCCATCGTTTCCGGTTTAATTACAGGTAAAGTTGGTTTGATAGGAAGAAAAATCACGTTTTGTCAACCTAATATGTATGTAACTTTTGCATAAGCATTAAACTGAATAACAAATAATGTCACGCGATTAAGCTTTTTTCCACTCGATGACATGACTTCATATGCTTTGAGGAATTCGTGCGAATAAAATTACTCTACAGTATAGTGTCACTATATAGTGTGCACTTTGTGAAACGTTGTGAGCACACTTAGATTTCTATTTTTCTGACTAACGTAGATGTACGTAACTTTTAAAGAAAATGCATTTGTATTTTTTTAAACTTACATTTACCTTTTGGATCATGCCTCGTACAAAGACCTTTTTATTTTGATTACTTATTAAAAAAACAAATATAGCAAACCTTTTTTAAAAAAATGTACACATATAAATATACGACATAAATTCATGTATTAACATCACAAATTATTGCAACAAAAAGCTTGTACAAAAGTTGACATTACATTTTGTAGGATTGATTCTGAAAATACCAATATTTGACCAAGTGAATGATGAGGAGGAACTATTCGAGGACATGATGTTTTGGAATGTTCCCGAGGAAGAAGAAGAAGGAAAGTCCGAGGTGGAACTTGCCGCAAGGAAATATATCCAAGACAAAAAGTAAAGAACCTACCTAAATATAACACTGTACATTGATATAATAATGTTTTATTTTGAATATGAAGAGATACATTGTATATGATAAGGGCTGTATTTGCTTGGATCCATGGCCATGTATGAATTATAAATATATGAGTATAAATACATGTGTAAGCATCAAAAAGTTAATAGAACAGATACATTTTCTTTATAATACTACCAAGGTTCTCGGTCATTGAAAATAATAGATGGGAGGCAGCTTGTTGGGTATGTAATTAGCAAACTAGAGGGTATTCAAGGCGGCCTGTAAATGTACACCCTGTTATGTATATCCAACTTTAAGGACAGGGGTGTTCGAGTGACCAAAATATGTAAACCCTGTTACGTACAGTTTGATCCAAAATATCTGATACCATTTCAGTGTCTGTATGTTTTACATACATCACGCGATTTTAAATGTCAATACACATATTTAAACTAGAGATTTTAAAGTTTTATTTAACATAAAAGTCATTCTGTAAAAATGAATCTCACCAAACAAGATTTACATCAAATGTTCAATGTGACGTCCGTTTTGTGCTACTACTAGTACCAGAGATAGGGGCCATTTATTTCAAATGTGTGTCCAAAAGTATAATTGGTCTCATTTGAAAGCAAAATAAGTACAGATTCCAAAAATCCATTTCTTAAAAATATCCTCTTTTACAATCACCGGAAATCCAAGATGGCCGCCAAGATGGCCGCCAAGTTTTAAGAAATCACCCTGTATAATAAAAATATATATTTCTGAGTGTATCTTTTGATATCTAATATTGTTTTATTACTGCAAATGATAGAATGTATATTATTTTACATGAATTTAATGCTTTTAAAATAAATATGTATCTTTCTAGGAGGAAATGTGCCTAAAACCAACAGAAATATGCTAAAATTAATGATTTTTTGTGTTAAAAACGTTTTTTATATCTATCAGAAAGTGTTTTTATGTGCAAATTTTATCATTTTGTGTAGTTTTGGATAGAAAAAGTTGTTTGATACTGGCACAATTGTTTTAAGATAATAATTTCTGCTGTGAAACTGAGTTTCATCCGAAAAGTGGGTGGGGTAAATTAAACCGATTTTGAAAAAAATAAAGAGTTTCATAAAACAATAAGATTTTTTCATTTCCAACTTTTAATTTACTTTTCTGCTATGCAATTAATGTCAAATGTAATATAACAGTTTTGGTTATGTTTTATTTATTTATTTATTTATTTATTTATTAACTTTCTTTTTTTTGAAAACTGGTATTCATGTGGAAATTGGGTGGGGTATATTGACCCCTGATTTTGAAAACAATAGATATAAGTTAACATTTAGATTCTTCCACTAAAATATTTTCAGATATATAAAATTGAATTATTTAAATGAGGTAAGATTATATAACAAATTTTAGCTTCAATTTTCAATACGAACGTGTTTAACATTAAGACGATGCAATGACAGAAGCTATAAATAACAATTTCAAGTGTTTTATCAGTCATGAAATGCAAATCATTTTCTATTATGTAAATATAATGTTTTCAACATACTCTAATCAATAAATATATTTATCTTATTTATTGTTAATAGAAATCATCATGTAATAATTTGTCAATCATTTCATGGTAATGATTTAATGTCATTCATTTTTGAAGACTGTTTCCAGCATAATAGCATGAAATTACTACTAATTACTGATACAGGTTATGTGATCCCTTTCATGCTCCATCGTCGTCAGAAATCTCTGAATCACTGCTACTACAAGAGTCAGGTTCTAGGTCATGTGTTTCACTTTCTTCCAATGCATTTGTTACTAGAAGATCAACAATTGATTCTGGTAACTGATCGCCTTCAAACCAATTAACAATGAAGCAGTTGTCACTCAACTTCCATCCATGGCCATTGGGCGATTCTATGACAGGATTTTGATATTTCGCCCTCTTCCAGACAGCTGCTACATAGTTTGCTCGCTTAATTTTCTCTTTCAGGACCTTTTTACAAGGTGGCATGCAACTTGGATTCATACCTTTAATTTTTGACAACGGAGCATATCTAGAATTTGAAGGATTATAGGAATACTTCTCTTGAAAGAGCGAGAATCGAACTTCATTTACATCTGTTGATCTGTATTTGCCATATAATTTGCAAACGAACGATTCCAAACATTGAACTGTTTCATCTTCAGGTATAAGTGGATCTCCAAGTGCAGCAAACACCTTAACAAATTCTTCTTGTTTTTTCATCAGATCTAATGGTTTTACTTTTCCTTTATTCATAAACGAAGCTGTGTAATCTGATCCTGTGAATGCATGGAATCCTGGGAGAGCGTCTGTAAATGACGAGCCAAGGTTCTCTTTAAGATATCCAATATTGATAAACCTTCTTGTGTTATGCTTATTTAGACCAGCATCCATCCATACATTGGACTCTGTGACATGATAGAGAAGCAGCACAAGCACGTCAGTATCATTGCTTCTTATCACACAGTTCAAGTTGTTGTTGTTCTCTGTCGTGAATACGTTTAATTGATAGATAAGTCTTGTATCGGCCTCTTCATGGTGACAATCATACTGTTGTGCATGCATACGCACTGTGGCACCATCCTTCACAGTGAAGCGGTAACATATGTCATCAAATCCAAGATAAACGTCATTATTTTGCAAAATCGTAGAATAAGAGGTATTCTGCCAATCAGATGCAAGGAACCTGAAGAAAGCAGTCTTGAAGTGTGATGACTGCAGAGTTTGCTGCCAATTTCTTGGCGTTTTTTGGTCTCTTCCAATTGTTGAGTAAGCTATGTGACTTTCACCACGTCTAGTACGTTCCGTTTCCTTTATTGATGGTGTAATGTATGTGTCACAAATGAAATGTACCACTGGTGACATCTTGCAAATAATATGTAGCACCATCCTAGATAATTCACCCATTGTACAAGGTATATTCGATAGGGTGTGAAGAAGAAATACTGCATCAACAAATGTTGCATCAACATCGTCTGGTGCATGTCCTTCTGCAGTTGTCATTTTCTCCAATTTGTGCATTAAACTACTTTTGTCAGTCTTGTAAATGGAGCCATCTATGTGTCCTATCGAAAGTGGAACTGGGACAAGAGGGTAACTAAATACCTTTTTCAGATCAATGTCTCTTGTTGAGCTTAAATACAACAAACGACCAAACAAGTCCCTTGTACCTTGCAACTCTATGATTTTCCTGTCTTTTGATGTAATTTTTGACTTCAGGGCATCTGCAGCAAAATTTCTTACTTTTCTTCTTGGTATAGGTTTCTCAAAGTTTGTTGGATCTGAAAAGCAGCCTTTGATAAATTCTGACTCCCATTTTTGGCCAATGTCAAAACAATTGAGAAGATCATTGCGTGTTTCAGAGGTACACTGTTTTCCCGTCGTAAGACAGTACAAATTGTGATCAGGTGCAGTATCAAAAGGGTTGAGAGTTGTAACGATTTTGTCTACAACTTTTCTTACATCCTCGTTGTCTCTTTTAACTCTTGAATCTTTCAATGTGGTAGATACATCATCCACTGACTTTAATCCTGCTTTCTCAAGTAAGCCTCCAATAATACCACTTCTCATAGATCGAGTCAGCATCCAACGTCTACGTGCTGATTCGGAGTTGTTAAAACCGACAATACCAGTTTGTCTTGAAGCTGCATCAGCATTAATTGTTTGCTCAAGTGCCATATCGACTGGTGTACGAGAGAAATTTTTATCTGTTCTTCTTATAGATAAAGCTCCACCTTCTAAGACTTCTTTCATCCCTGGATGAGTTTCGGTGATGTTAAGTAGGTTGTAGTAATACCTGACCATCCATCTGGCATAATTGGGCCGATTCATTGCAAAGAAAACTGGACACATGTCTTTTAGTGAATCAACAAATAATGATAGATTGTTCGTTCTACTGGCTCGATTGAATTTAAGGTATATGGAGACCAGATTTATATATATCATCCAGAATTGGGCAGTACTACCAAGATCTCCTTTGAGTGTTTGCTCTGTAAAGGCTTCATAACGTGTCATGAAATCTTCGTACTCTGGAGAGGATTCAATTATTTTCATGTGTTCCTCAGATGGGTCAGCAGCTAACGTCGTCATATTTTGTACTAATGCTTCAGGAAGATGTCCTTCTTCTGAAAAAAATCTTTTGACATGTAGAGACTTAAAGGCACACATCAACACCTGATGAAGTCTTGTGCATCTGTTAAAATGTTTTCCCTTTAGGAATCCATTTATAGATCCATCAGCTAACACTTCAGTGTCACTTAAGATTTCAGGAGCACCAGAACCATCTAGGAAATATCCAATTGCTCCGAAGTAGGACAGAATGATATGAAATGCACCAAAACATATGAAAAGATTATCAAATGCTGGCGATTCTGATGCTTGAATCTGCAGGGCTGGTCTTGCAACAGCAAGGTCATATGTAACTGCCATGTATTTATCACCACATTCTTCAGCAACTTTCTGGGACCTGCGCATTGTTTCAACTACTACATCAAGTCGTGTGGGTGGAAAGGAAATATTTTCCATATAGGATATTCTCTGTTGAGGCAAATGGTCTTTTTCAAACAAAGAATTCCATCCTGTCCACATTGGAGTATTATCAAGGACTGAAAAATTCAATATCCAAAATGTATCAAGTCTCTCTATTCTAGTAAGGCATTCTGGTTTTTCTGAGTCCTTTATCTGGTACTGAAACAATGACATTTTTGGTTTCTTTCTGTATGGTGCGAGTTCCGTATCATTTGCAAGGAGACTTCGTTTTGAACGAGACTTTAAAGGTTCTTTAACCACTTTCGCAAGATATTGTTCATCAGTCTGCATCTCATTATGATGCTGCTTTTCATTTCCAACAGGAAAGGGAACATTATGTTGAACATTCTGGTAACAAATTCCAACTGTGTCATGAAGAGTCCCAGACCCAGAAAGTGTTTCTGTGTTTTCATCATAGTTGTCCCAGGCAAGTCCTGTAAAAAGACCAGGTTCCTTAAGAATGCCATCAGGCGTTGTCATATGTCTATCTATTATTTCAGAGGCTATCTGTGTTTCTAACTCTTCAACAATGTGGTAACTTACTGAATGTCCAAATCTATTCATAATTTCTATAATCTTACGACTACCTGTCAAACTCTTTAATCCGAGACCTAAGCAGATATGTTTTCCTGGTTTAACCTTTCCTCTGGTGACGTTGAAAACAACATCATCACTGGTGCTTTTGGTAAGTCTTTTCAATTTGTCTTGCTGATAGTCTTCAGTTCTGCCGCTGTATAGAACATTAAAAAATTCCTCAAGCTCTGGTGGTGTGGCATTCTGGCCTTCTTTTAACAATTTTTCTGAATAAGGTGTTGGTATTTTATCAACATCTGCTGCCATTGACAGTATCAGTGAACGAAGGTAATAAGCCGTTTCTTTAACTAGACTGCTGTTAAAATTGGCTCTCATTGTAGCTGTTTCTTGAGACAGGCTTTTATTGCAAAGTATCATCCCTTCTTTATTGCTTGACTTGTAGGTCTTCAGATCATTCGGGTACTCACCCAACAGCTTTTCACAAAGATAAAATGGCGCATATTTTTCATCAGTTTCTCTCTTTTCTGATAAATAACGTTTATACAGGGATGTAATCTTTTCAGCACCACAATTATCAACAAGGTTTGTTCGTACATAGTCCTTCAAATGCTCATATGCAGTATGCAGTACCTCTCCCGAATCACTACTATGAGCTATGTACAGCTTTTCGGGATTACTTACTTTACCATTTTTAAATCTTTCACTTTTTTTATAATATGCATTTCTGCATGTGTGATGGAATTTTGCTTCTTTTGCAATAAGATCCTCTCCAGCTATTTTTGATAACAGAACACCATCAGTTAGATTAGTAGCTGCTTCAAATATCTTGTCTCTGGCAGATTTGGTTTCAATTGTTCCAAGTTTCTCAAATTTACCTTTATTCCATCTACGAATTTCTCCGCAAAACAAACACACTGGCTTAAACACTCCGGTACTATTTGAACATGGATGTTCAACCTCACTTCTCAAAGTGAGTGCACATTTTTTTTCAACATATGGTTCAATTTTATTAAGCTGTTTTGGTACTGCAGTATAAGTTTTGTAACAATTAGAGTGGTAATACATATGTGAAACATATTGATCTGGAATAGTAATATCGAAAAAATGTGAAGTTTTTAAATGTTCTTTTCTAAGTTTTTCAGCTTCCTTTACATTGACCCATGACTGTTCAGTAAACTGTTTCAAGGGTTCATCAGATTTCCCTTTAGCTGTCCGGTGTAATATACAAATAGGTTGAATATCACTCATTGTAATAATCTGAAAAGGCAATATGATATAGTCATTCAACATAATATTTCTTTTTATGCATGTCAAATGTAAAGTATCGATCTTTTGTATATCAGAGTTTTGCCTACAATTTAATTTGAATAATTTTTTCTTTCAAAGTATGAACAAGATAAACCAACAAATAAATCAAAAAGTCCTTGGGTCATGACTTATTAGCGTTAGTACATCATCAATAGCAAACTGTAAACTTTCTTTGCAATAATATTTGATTTATGATTACTTACCTACAGTCTAGAAAATTCATTGCAGTCTTAGTTACTCTGACAACTCATCGCATCACAATATGTATTCCAGGATATCACTATTTCTGTAACAGAGAAATAATCATTTTAAGCATAAAATAGTTACGGGTATGTGTCATTTAATTGCTGAATTTTAAGAAATGCATTCAATGATGACTTTCTAGCTTAATCATGAATTATATTTATTTGATTAAAAAGTTTTCCTTCAGCATTGTCTTGTAATACTATTTACAATATACATGTTTGTTGAATAACCGCTATATCTTATAAAGCGAAATGTTTAGTTGTAGACATAAAATGATTGACCAATGGCACTGCTTTTCTTATTGCAGAACAAATCACAAGGGTGTAACTTATCATTTTTAGTTAAATCATTTTGTAGTTTAGAGTAAAATAGAAAAACAACATCTCAAATTTAATAGTATAATAGTAAAAGCAAAAAAAGTTTTTATATACTTTGTAACATACCTTTTGACAGACTGGTGGTTGTTAGACTCACATTCTATATAGATTCAGTCTTGTTCATCGGTTCTTTTATCAAAGTTATTTCTGTATTAAAAGTGTTAAAACTTAGTACATGTTTTAGCAAAAGAAATAAAATCCAACACAGGTTCATTCAGGTGAAAATAATAAAAAGAAGACTTAAACAATAAAAAAAAAACGTTTATTATTCTTAACTATCTGATAATATTACTAATGTAAACTTTTTTAATCCAAAATAACATATCAGAATAATATTCATGTTTAAAAAATAGTTTTTAAATGGCCCTCCTTAATCAGATATAACTTTTATTTTGAATAATACTTTATTTTATCTTAAGATGTGATATAGCATACCTTATGACAAGGGCTTATAAGCTAGTAAACTCCTATTCTATTAAAAATTCAGCTCGACTTCTCTGTACAAATGCTGCTTCGATCTGCATCATAACTAAAATAAATATATTTTAGATGATAAGTAATTAAACAAAGGCTTCTTAATAATTTATTAATAATAATTGGAACACTTTAGTTCTGTCTTTTCTGATTTTATAGAAGTCATTCTGCAAAGGTAAATAATTGTATCCAAAATTATGCCATATCCGAATACTATTCAAGTTTTAAAAATAATTTTGAAATGACCCTTCTATATAATATATACTCTTCTTTTTAAAATATAAAAATTGTAAATAACTAATTTAAAACATTTTGCACTTACACGATGGTATTATGATATGTAAAGGTTTGGAAAAATAATGTATCTGTATATATTGATGTGTCGTCTGCACTGTTGAACAAATGGCGAATTCTTTGCAAAGGGAAACAACTTTGCAAAACATATTTTATTATCAGGTTATAAATAACAAAGAAACACCTACCTTTACAAGCTTTTCTTTTGTTAATAAAATCTGATTCGTCTAATTCACATTTTGAAGCAAGCGTTTTTAATATTTACCAATAATAATGATAATCAGTATTTTAATTCGTATACATATCATATATAACCTTACCCCACCCACCCTAAACTAAAATTTGAAATTTATTACAAACTTTACATAACCAAGACTGTTATATTACATTTAACATTAATTGCCTAGCAGAAAAGTAAATTAAAAGTTGGAAACGAAAAAATCTTATTGTTTTATGAAACTCTTTATTTTTTTTCAAAATCGGTTTAATTTACCCCACCCACTTTTCGGATGAAACTTATTTTCACAGCAGAAATTTTAATCTAAGAACATTTGTGCCAGTATCAAACAACTTTTTCTATCCAAAACTACACAAAATGATAAAATTTGCACATAAAAACACTTTCTGATAGATTTAAAAAACGTTTTTAACACAAAAAACCATTAATTTTAGCGTATTTCTGTTGGTTTTAGGCACATTTCCTCCTAGAAAGATACATATTTACTTTAAAAGCATTAAATTCATGTAAAATAATATACATTCTATCATTTGCAGTAATAAAACAATATTAGATATCAAAAGATACACTCAGAAATATATTTTTTATTATACAGGGTGATTTCTTAAAATTTGGCGGCCATCTTGGCGGCCATCTTGGATTTCCGGTGATTGTAAAAGAGGATTTTTTTAAGAAATGGATTTTTGGAATCTGTACACATTTTGCTTTCAAATGAGACTAATTATACTTTTGGACACACATTTGAAATAAATGGCCCCTATCTCTGGTACTATACGACGTCAAGTCTCTTTTTAAAATTTTCAATAGTTATGTATATCCAACTTTACGGACAGGGGTATTCGAGGTGGCCTTAAAATGTAAACCCTATTACGTATATCCAACTTTAAGGGCAGCGGTATTCGAGGTGGTCTGAAACTGTAAACCCTACTACGTATATCTAACTTTAAGGACAGAGGATATTAGAGGTGGCCTAAAAAAGTAAAACCTCTTACGCATATCCAACTTTAAGGACATGGGTATTAGAGGTGGCCTTAAAATGTAAACCCTGTTACGTTTATTCAACTTTAAGCTCAGTGATATTCGGGAAGGCCTGAAAATGTGAACCCTGCTACGTATTTCCAACATTAAGGACAGGGTTGTCCGGGGTGGCCTGAATATGTGAACCCTCTTTATGCAACTTTAATGACAAAACAGTCGAGTATGGCTTATTTACTCTTAGGGTTGCAGCGCCTGAATTTGACTAATACTTTAAGTCTTAGATATGAATATCTAATATGTTGATTTTTGTATTTAGTGTGTTACTTCTTCTATTTCAGCGGTACACAAATGACAGAAAAGTTGTAACCAAATTATGTATACTCGGATTATATAACCAATAGGTGCTTGTATGTGTTGTGTTATTTCTTCTAATGTTGTTACTTTATATAGTCATTTATGTTTTCACAAAGTAAACAATGTAAAATGACCAGATTATTTAATTTCGAGGCAATATTTGCTATCGCCTATGTTGAACTGAGAAATTTTACATGAACCTTTTAATATGACAATGATATAAAAATAATGCTTAGACTTGATTCGCTGTAATTATACTCAAATTTTAATTTAAATTTTAATTCACAATTTTGGGAGTACGGTATGTGGCATAAGTTTTGTTCTTCAATAAACTTTTATGAAAAAATACAATTTTCAACGTAGTTAAAATTTAAAATAACAAATTTTGTATATATATCTACTTGTAAAAAATACATGGTTTGGTATCTGTAAATTTCTTTAACCAAAATGTTTCATAATTCTAACCACTGTATGTTTATCTGTCCGTCCGTCCGTGTAGTGTCTATATATATTGTTGTGATGCATGTAAACTGTTCAGGTATTTGGATTAATTTGAGCAATCTTAATTGAAATAATATATGCATGTACATTTGTGTAGTTAAAATACAAGTACATTTGTGTACATACGAATTACTATAGTTAAAATACAAGAACATTTGGGTACATGCGAATTACTAATTAATAACATTACGATTTTGATATTTGTTAATATTATGCAAGCAAGTCAAATACCTTCCCTTCAGGTCAACATGTAGTATTTTCTTCCTAATAATAATCGTTTTTATCTTCGATAAATACTAATGAATTTCTTTCATCATAATTATATTTAAACAACATTTCACTATTTTTTTTAATTTCCAACTTCCATACAATTTTACTTTTAATCCTGTTAGTGTCATTTTTCTTTTTCAGTTTAAAAGTATGAACGTATGCGAACACGGGTATTGATCAGAATTATAAATACAATTTTTATTTCCGAAGAATATTAGAGTAACAGAATAGTGAAATTTGGGTTTAGGCATATTTACTCAATGTTATCAGCGTCTTTCAAATAAAGGGGTTTTGAAAAGTTGATTAGAGATGAAAAACAATATTACCACCACCAACAACAACATCCAACAACAACACCCTGTACCATCGACAAAAAGAACAACATTAACGACAGATGCAGCTGCAGCAGCAGTAACAACAATATCAACAACAACAACAACAACAACAACAGGATTGCTTTAAATACGTGAAAGAAAAATAAAAGAGTGTATGGATTTTTCAGATGCAAACTTCCAGAGTAAAGGCTTTTTTTTAAAGAATTGAAGGTTTGTACAAGTGTGGTGATAAAAAATTTGCATATTACATGTAGTGTGTGTTGTCAACGTTGTGGCCGTATTAAAGTAATATGATTTTTTGTTTGATGTATAAGTATTTTAAAATAATTGGTGTAAAGATCATGTGGTAGATATTGTACATGAACTGTTGATTTGTTTTGTATTAACGTTTTCGTTTTCTATATACATGTATGTGTCTACGTGTATTATACATGTAACATTTATATTTATCTTTCACTTTGTAATATCAGACCAAGATATTGTATATGCTTTATTTTATCATTATATTACAATAAAATATAACTATACACTGTTATTGTATTGACAATCAAAGTATATCAAATCTCAGATGACAGGTGTGTATTATACAGTGTATCCGGAAAAAAATATGGTCGAATTCTGGTGTTATTTTTTCTCCAATTAGGCAAGATTTCAGTTTTTATCATTTGAAATTTTAGCATAACTTTTAAAAAAGATATTAGATTTATCAATCAGATTTTTTTCTGTTGTTATTGGTAGAACTAATCCATATTTTTGTAACCATGGTAACACGTATGCAAGAGAAACATGTTCCATTAATTTGTTTTCCGTATACCTATTTTGCGCACTGATTCCATATGTATTTTCTAAACTTTTAAAATTTACAGACGAGGCATAAAATGTAAAAAAAAAGTTATATCATTGTTGTATCATATAAAATACTATATATATCATATATATTCATTGCGATTGCAAATGTCTTTGAAATACATGTACATGCGCATTTATCTTTGAATAAAAGGGTACTTTTGATATTATTATACAATCATATATTTTTTATCATTTTACACATTATATACAAATCTATGTTGAAATAGAATATATCTTTATAATTCAAGTGGTATCGAGAAATAAAATTGTTTTAATATTGTACTTGCCATGTGTTATTTTGTTGATTTATTTATTTCGCTAAAAATATCTTTTTAGATAAAACCAAGAAATTTAATGTCCACGAAATTACGTGAATTCGCTAAAAAAATATCCTTATAGATAAAACCACGAAATTTAATGCCCATGAAATTAAGTGAATTCGCTAGAAAATGCCCTTTGTGATAAAACCACGAAATTTCTTGTCCACGAAATTAATTGAATTCACTAAAAAGAATGCCCTTTCTGATAAAACCACGGAATTTCATGTCCAAGAAATAAAGTGAATTCGCAGTACTATGGAAAGATCTAATCCCTTCCCTGTGTAATGAAAAAAGTCGGTGTGACTGAAACCGTCTTCCTTCTATCGAATCTTAAAATTCCGCCGTATGAGACAAATCATTTCAAGACTGGCGGTGGTCTAGTGGTTAAGGTGCCTGCCTCCTACTCTGTATGCCCTAATCAGGTCACGAACATGTTTCTTCATATGACATAGGAAGAAATTTATGTAAGTTGCAAGAACTTGTTGCGCAATTGAGCGTAAATAAATATGTTTAATCTGCTTAGTATTATTGAACATATTGATGACCTATTAATTAGTGAGGATTGCAATCTATACTTATTAAAAGCTTGAATAAACTGGTAAATTTACTATGATTTATTTTGCAACACTACGGTCATCTGTATATAAAACACACCTACTCTTGCGCAGCCGTTTTCCTGTTCAACATTTCTGTATAATTTCAGTCGTCTTTGCACAACAAAGTGAATGATGCTTGGCTCTTAAAATGTGTCATGTTGTCCTAGGACACACAACCCTAGGACTATTCGCAATGTCGTTTCAGCTGAAGTAAAACATTTTAATTGTTAATTGGATACAGTCCATTATGGGATAAAACGTATTTTGGATTTAAAGTAGCGTGGAGTAAATGACCAAGAGAGATAATATCGACGCGTAAAATACGAACTTTGAAAAGATTCGCTTCCCTTTATATGAGAAGTTACATTTTTCATAAACCATACGTCTCGACTAACATTTTCAAGAAAAATTCTAAACTTCTATTCAACACGTTAATAAAGTTACCATACAATCACAAAATAAGAAAAAAGATTCAATTTTCTTATTTTTATTTAAAATTTAAGTTTATTTAAGATTGTAAAGTAATTAATACACATGCTGTTAATTTATTCTTAATTTAAACCAAATATTTTCACGTTATTGAAATATTATATAAACTATAAGTTGAACACGGCGGGTAACCGTCCTTATCTTGGGTTGCGAGCTTGTTCAATGAGCGTATAGTGAGAGCAAGACTGCTGACGCAAGCATAAAACAAAACTTACGCATCGCTCGTCCTAACGGATGGGTCTGGATGCAATTTCTGGAACCCAAAGGGAACATATGTTGTAATCCAAAACAAATTGAAGCAAACGATTATAGTAGTATTCTGGGAGACAACAATAATACATGTACACTGTATGTGGTAAAAATAAATTCAACACAATTCAATATTTATATTAAGTGAAGAAAACTCCCAGTGATTCCATTGATTGGATTTGCTAAGATTGCTAACGTGACCAAAACAAACTTACGTGCACTGTTTATACGTAGTTCTTAGCCCTTTTCTCCCATGAGCATATTGTGAAAAATGGCCATTTTCACTGAAAAGCCTCCTCTTACAAGTTCAAACATCCCCCTTCTGGCAACACCCTGATGTATCTTTTGGGTGGGGGGGGGGCGGCGCCGAAAAAGTGCTCACTTTTTTTAGCAACATTTCTCAAACGAAAACATGTGTTTGGGGCCCAAATAGGACATTTTTTTTCACTATTTCAGGCCTAAAAAGGGGGGGGGGGTCGAAAGTGCGTTGTTTCGCGTATATATGAGGTAAAGGGTTAATTAACTTTGAGAATTCCTATAGTCAAATTGACCTTACGAAAATCGTAACAGAAAGATGCAAATGCACAAGAAAGGATGCCGTCGTGGCTAGGATTTGAACCAGCCTAATAAGCAAATTTGTAACAACACTATCACCAAAATGAGGTGGTAAAACACTACCGAGGATTAAGGTTTGTATTATCTGTTTTGTAGTATTAGGAAAGATTTACAAAATACTCATCAAATATTGACAGCAGTCTTATTACTTCATACAGACAATGGCTGCTCAAATATTTCGTAGATAATTTGAATGACCATCACAATTTAGTTTTGGTTGACCCAGTGCCCTATTTTGAAATTAGTTTGCTTTCCTGCACTATGACTAAAAGTAATGGCTAGGGACTGGCTTCACCCTTCGCTATTTTTAACAGTTGGCACTGCATTTTTAAATACAATTTTCATACAGATTTATTATATCCACAGTTATGCTGCATTCGCACTTCATTTTGTTTTGGATCTATTTCATACATTGATTTTATTTATTCCTACACGAGGGAACTTTTCATTATGCCTTGCTAGCTTAGCAGAGATAATGTAAGATGCATCAACTCGCGAAATGCAAGTTGCATCGTCCGGTTAGCTATGTAGGCACAGCATTGGACTGAATCGGGCGATCCAGGTTCCCGGGTGGTGCAAGCCACTTTCGTTGTGATTGATCATGAAATCCTTTCTATGGTCATACGCACTGTACATCTGCTCTGGCATGTACAGACGTTATCAGTTCCTTGAAACAGTGAAGGCAACTGGTACTGGTAAACTACTTGACAGCCTGCCCAGGAACAGTGGCTGAACTGTAAAAACTACCAACACAACGTTCAAATCCCAGTCCGATCAGAAGTCAGTTTAAAAACAATTTGATGGAAGAGTTCATGCAATGTCATTATTTCTTCAATACTGCCTCAAATGATTTATGTAAAGAAGGCAGTTACTTGCTATAAAAAGTTAGAACAATCTAAGGGTCATAACTCCAAATATTTCAAACAATATATAATATGTACAATTTGATGGCAATCACTTCGGTGAACGTTTTATTCAAATAAAGACTAGAGGTTGTGGAGTTAATTGGCAGAAGACAAGATTGTGCCAAACGTGCGAACGTTACAGTTTGAAGATATCACTTCGCTGAGGGTTTCAAACAAATTAAACTGGTTGTTCTTGCGATCAAGCGCGGACATGATTGCAAACTCCAACACACTGGTCTCCCAAACGGACGAACGGCGACAATCACTTCAATTTGCTGGAGATAAGCGCAGACCAATTGTACCTCTACAAAAATATTCTGTTTCCTTATGGATTAAAATTACTATTTTGTGTTACTTAGTATATAAAAGATTCACAAAATATTTTAGTTTTGACTTCATAGAGGCTGCTAAAATGTTTAACATAAAACTTAACAATTTAGTTATGGTCCAAGGCCTAATGTTGAAATTAATTGGCTTTCCAGCACTTTATGTAAATCAACATTTTTTTTTCCACTGGGACTGGCTGCTATCTTTTATAGTTTTGCACTGTACCTTTTTTGTAGTTTTCATGTCCTTGTTTTCCAATGTCAGACCGTATGTATGTACGTAAATCTAAATATTTTAATCAAAATAATAGTACAACTAAGCCTAATGACATTTACTTCAATGAAAGTTTCATTCAAATAAGACCAGTTGTGTCAATGAAGCACATTGATAGACAATTTAGTTTGATGTCATTTACTACATTAAAGATTTCATTCATTTCAGACAGGTGTTTGTGGAGATGAAAAGCACAGACAACATTGTCCTGAAATGGGACAAATGGTGTACCTTGACAAACACTTCAATTCAGGTTTCATTCATTCACATCAGACAGGTGCTTGTGGGGATTAAGTGTAGACCAGATAATACCAGACAGACAACAGTGCAGTTATACAATCTGTTGAAGGTTTCATCGTTGTGAGTGTGAAGCTGGACAACATTGTGCCTGATGGACGAACAGTTCAGCTTGCCAATCACTCTGGCGAAGGTTTCATTCAATCTGGAAATCAAGCGTGGACAAGAATGTGTCCATTTAAGGACACTTTGCTGCCTATATCAGTACAGTATTAGAACGAATGCTGCAAGATTATTTGCAAACCTTTTCAGGCAATTATTTTTGCAAATGAAGGCAATCAATAAATAAAAAGACAGGATCTAAGTTGACCTTGTTTTAATGAGCAGATGACTTGTATACATATTCAAACATTAGTTTACAATTTATAAGTATATAACATTATGAAATATAATTTGCACATAAGTACAGAATAAAGCTTTTCAAGACTTACATTTAATGCCATGTAATAATTTTATACCTTCCATTTTTTATGTAGGCAATAACGACTTATCTTATGTAGAGCAGAAGACAATTAAATCTATATTAATTTATAAAGACCAGAAAAGAACATTATAAAAAGTGACCCCTAAAAATTTGTACAATATTTGACATTTCTAGGGGGAGGGGCAGCTTTTTTTGTCAAGTGTCACCTCACACAAACATGTACAGAATCATTTCGTGTGGTGACTTCTATTTAGAAAAGTGAAGAAAATATCACATGTCCTGTAAGTAGGACAGAAAAAGAAGCTCAGATAGGAAATAAAATGGAAGGTATATAGCTTAAAGAAAAACAAGTTACAGTTAATTGAAATGTATGAACAAATTCATATTCCCGCAACTTGCTTAAGTTATAAAAGGAAATTGATTCTCATTTTAATTTTACCAATTTGTTTTTAAAACAGTACAACAAATAATTTTTTCTAATATAAATTGATTTGATCTGAGGCACACTTGATTAAGAAAAGAAAATCATGATTCTATATATATATATATAATTGAGCAGCGTCACGACAAAACCAACATAATGGGTTTGCGACCAGCATGGATCCAGACCAGACTGCGCATCTGCCCAGGATCCATGCTGTTCGCTATCAGTTTCTCTACTTGTAATAGGGTTTGTAAGCGAACAGCATGGATCCTGATCAGCTGGGCTGGATCCATGCTGGTCGCAAACGCATTACGTTGGTTTTATCATGACGCGGCTCATATATATATCGCTAGAGGAACTTTTTAATCAACCAGTTGGTTTGACCATACAGCTCTAGACCACTAAATTCCATCAAGAATAACGCCACAACATCTCTGCATATGTCACATAAATAACGTCAAATACAAAATTCATTATTTTGATTGATTACTAAAATATCTATAACTAGCATGTCAATATCCCAAAATTACTTTTGCAAAACTTTTTCAGACAATTATTCTGCATCTGATGGCAAGAGAGTTGATCAATGCATCTTTCAAGGAGTTATCATTTACTCACAAGTAACTTAATAATTTTAATTTTTAAGATAATGCAAGAACTGACAGAATATGTACAATATCTAATAAAATCTTTTTTGGTTTACATAGCAACATTTTTTTTCTTGCTGAAAGTAGTTTGCATTGTTAAGAAATGGTCAAAAAATAAATCCACTTCGGAATACTTTTGTCTCTTGGTCTTTCAAGTTAGAATAATGAACCTATAATTTTCCTGTAAAATATGTATTTTGAATCACAACATCCGTTTCATTTTTCCTATTTTTATTCTCATAGAAAAAGTTGGTTTTATTTTCTGTGACACATGCAAAGAGGTTGGGTTTTATTTCTATTTTCTGATATACACAAATGTAATGACATGAACGTGACCAAATCATTTTGGCGTGATTTACTTTTTTAAATTAGATTATCAAAATATGTACATCTTTTACAAGAGGGGTAAGGGAATTACACACATCACTCACTACTTTTACATTCTGTTCAGATATCTTATTTCATTTTTCTGTTTTATTTTCGTATCATATCTGATACTGGTTATATATATAAATGAACAAGACTTTAATCAGAATGACTATTTGCATTTACAGAAAACAGAAGAAAATCAAATCCAGGGAAATATTTCTATATTTTTTTTTTTTGTACAAACAATACAAATAGAAAGGGGGAATATAAATATAATGCCATAAGAGCAAATAGAGATCTATCGTATATCAAAACTTATCCAGTTAACAACATATCAACTTAGTTCCTGGTTTCAAACCAAACTTAATCTATATAATTAATTTACTGACATAAATTTATTCTTTATCTTTCAATGGTCAAGATTTTTTTCTCGCAAAATTAAAATTTGTTCTTTTGTTTTAACAAAGGAAAGAAATTCTGATACTGGACTTAACTTTGCATAAATGCCTTTTAAATTAAGGAAAACTTTTAGTTTAAAATTCTTTATAATAATATTTAAAATTATTACATAAATTTAGACATTTAAATGTATAAATACACAGTATTTGAAGCAAATTTTTCACATTTGGAACTATTTCTTTCATATAAACAATAGATCAATTCCTATTTATGTAAAACATAGAAAATATAGCTCAATTATTTTTTTCTTCGTATAGAATAAAAATCAATAAAACCTATTTATATTCTTTTTAAAAAAACAACAACTCATAAGTGAGTCATTAAGAACTATAACAGAGTTAAGAATTTTATAAACTTGTTGAAAAGTGACAAAATTCACACATTTTCTATCAAGCATTTGCAACATATGATTTTGTTTACCACTGTAAAAAGCACCTTTGCAGAAAGAAATGATGTGAAATGACAAATACTATGTATGATAATATACCATATAAACAGACTGTGTTAACTTGGCAAGTCCCTTTAAAATTATCTTATTTTCACACTGTTCTTTCAAAACTAAAACCAAAGATCAAAGTTTAAATTTTTCCAGTACTTGCCAGTACATTTCTCACTTTAATATTTTAAAATCAGAAAATAAAATTCAAAGATTAAAATGTTATCAATATACAAACATTATCTTTAGTAAAAATTTCTTTATATATCGTATAATAATACATTGCATAGATTAATGTGAAATTCTATTTAAATAAATATGTAACTTCTTATCTTTAATGCACACACGTTTTTTCTAGACACTTTAAAAATTTCAAGCTAAAACAAGTTCTTTATATATAAAAAAACCAGAGAAAAGAATGACTGCGTTCTTTTTATAAAAGAACTTTTTCTTTCCTATTTGCAAGTTAAACAGAGCTACGATAAAAATTTATATGACAATTGTTTCAATTAATGAAAATGTTTAATGAACACTGAATACTGATGTCCACTTATTTGCATCCAGTTAAACATTTTGTCCACATTTTACAGTACATATACATATAACCATGCCGGCAAATACACATATTTTCAAACCACTATACATTTCTTTTATTTATTCACAGTACATAGAATATGATTAGCCATGTCCATAGCATGTAATACAAGTTTCACTAATTATCTATCCTACACTTAATCACATTTTTTTGTTAGCGACAACGCAGTCTGTAAGCCCCCCGTGCACTTCTGAACCACAATTCCTCCATCAACGCCAAAGTCCTCGGACCCCATACATTGTTCTATTGACACTCAATTTTCTTCGCACCTTAGCAACTAACCCCTCTATATCTTGGAGTGAAACTAGATTGTCATTTTGTTTTCACAAGCTTTGCTTGCTTATAAGGGGTGTAAATGACAATCTATTTAATGTTTTCATTGTCTATCCAAGAATATACAGATTCTCCCATCTCATCAACTCCGTAACCATGGTATCACAACTTCTTTTCTTACTATGTGATGCACTACTCATGAACTTCTGTATTTGCAAATGAGCGAGTACTGATGCATTTCCTTACATTTTATGTCACTATCCCTCGCATGCAAATTAAACAACTCTATGTCCTCTTTCCCCTTACTATTTACCGGCACACTGATTGCCATCGTGATAAACACAATGCTGTGACAGCTCGTAATTCATTTCCATAGCAACTAAAGGAGCCAACGACAGCGCAACCAAAGCTGGTACGACGACAAGCATGAAATCCTTCCACATGATGAAAATACACATTCGTTTCTGCTTAATAAAACATATGCAGAAACACTAACACTTCAGACATCACCCATTTCATGACAATGAACAAATATTTCAAACATAAAACCTAGAGTTGAGCTGCCGTCAATGACTTGCTACGGGACTTTGTTGAACCACAACACCGACCATTGGGGATTCATCTCCCCTTTCTGAAGAAGTCCTAGTGTGTTGCACTGTCGGGTTTTCTGGACCCGGTAATTGTGTCTCTACTCCTGTTGCTATGGTGAACGGAAAGGCTCCTCCCCCTGGCCACTGAGGTTGGGGATATTGTCCATACTGGGAGGGGTACCCAGCTAACTGCATATTTACAGCCCCAATTTGGGGCGGATCTGAACTACTGTGTACCCGCGTGTGAGTACCAGGCACAATGTCAACAACCCGCCCAGACTGGGGAGGCTGAGTGGCCGAGGATTGGAATCCTGGCGTGATTATCAAACTTGCTGAAGTCCCATGTGTTGCAGACAACTGACCACTAGAAGGGGGTGACAACTGCCTATTATGGTGATGCCGATGGGACTGGGAATGTGTATTGTTATTTGACCTCTGCCCCTCAGGGGCGCCCGACCAGCTCTGTTGCGTGTACACCTGCGGATGAGGCTGTCCTTGACCTCTCTGACCTTGAGGACTTTCACACTCCATGGTGGTGTACTGGACTGGGTTGCCATGGTTACCCTGATGAGCAGAGTGTGAATGAACATGCAAATGGGTATGGTGCTGATGTGTAGGATCTGACCTTGCACGCCCACTCCCCGAATTTCCAACTGAAAAATTACAAATAAGAAAAGTAAGATTCCACCTTATATTGTATTATATATGATATATCAACAAACAATATAGTAAACTTTTTTAAAAATCTTTCTGAAAATGCTAAACAAATTATTTCCTCTCTCTCACAGAAAAGATTTACAGGAAGACTTTCACACATAAAAACACAGTATACAGCCTTCCTACACATACTTAACATTTTGACATACTTTCTACTTATATTATATCCATTTGTTCCAGTTTATGGACATAATATTGATCATATATTAAAACATGTTAAACTAGTTCATTTACATAATGGAAAACAGATGCTAACAACTTCTCTTCTATATATTTTTTTTGTTTTAAATCTTTATCACATATGCGTCATGCTTTCTTTAATAAAGAAAAAAAAAGGGCAGTGCAACATAAGGCAAATGAATCATGTATTAAATGAGAAAAGATTCTTAAAATAACCAGCTCTTGTAATAATAACCTAATGAGAAATACTTATACAGATATAAGGCCTCTCATAAAGAGTGCTTGACATAAGAAAAGCAAAATATCTTTTCTAGGTAAAAGTGTCATTTTCTCCAGTGCATAAATCATTAGTGGTATACCAGTGGTCAAAATAAACACTAGCCCAGCAGCCAAAAACTAGTAGATTTCCTCAAAGTATAGTAAAAAGTACATATTTACAGAATAAATTGCATAGTCACAAGCCCATCAAGCACATATATTTCATTCATTATTTTAATGACCGTCTCACAATAGTTGGAAAAATGAAGTCATATTTACCTGTGGGGCTACCAACATTATGCTGTTCCATGGCAGGGCTGGTTGATGTACTATTTGATGTATTTGTACTCTCGTCTGTCGTCTTTTTGAAGAAATTGTGTTGTAACGCATAATACGGTGTAATTCGTGTCTTAGGATCATAATCTAACATTCGCAATATTAAGTCTTTAAATTTGAGATAATCTGCCACTGTATGTCCAGGTTCTCCCGCTCTACGACCACCGGGACCACCAGTTTCTGCACCTATCACATCGTGAAGTTTTCGCGTACCTGCATGCTTGTACTGTAAAATAAATAGAGAAAATAGTTAATAATAAGTGAATATCAGTTAAAATGATGCAAAATTTTCAAATTCAACCCTAAATGTGATGTAATTTTTTGAACCGTCTATAATTTAAATTTAAAGTAAGCAAGCTAACATTGGTCAGACTGCACTGATGTGCAGACTTGCCTAGTTTTACCCAGGTGGCTAAGGGTTAAAGCCAGCTGGCAGCAAAAAAACGGAAAATGTCATCAGTCAAGAGCTATGCCAGCTTCTGCTAATGTGTAGTTTGACTTTATACTTTTAATTTTGTCATACTAAACTCCCATTAATACATGAATGAACTGTCCCAAATTCAAAGTCAAACATGTAATCTCAGCAGAGCAAGGGTTAAATTATCTATGAACTTTATTATCAAACTTAAAAGCAATATTATCTTTACAGTATTACAATGCATTCTACATCAGTGTGTAATATTATATCATTTAAAACTGTAAATCACATCTGTATATCTCTAATCTAATGTCAGTGCAATATGACTTATTATACAGAATGTCTATATCGTACCGATATAATCACTTTGTTTAAAATTTGTCTGTCAAGTTTCATATGACTTCTCCAACAATAATTAATGATCTCTAGAATAATTACATGTAAAAGTAGATATCAATTGTACACAGACAAACATGTCAATAAACAGACGACAGTTATTGACATATTTTCGCTGAATCTTAACTTACGGCCTTGACCTTCCATTAACTAGCTTAATACACTTTATTATTTTTTATAATTCAATGACTTGTTGTCATACCATGTCAGTTTCTGTAAAATATTTAATGGGAAAAATATTTCTGCTATTGTAGAACAATTAAAAGTGTACTAATTGCCATCTCTTACAGACATTTTCTGTCTGCTGCAAAATCACATTCTTTTTTTCTTTCTTTTTTTTTCAAACTCACCTTTTTACCATCCTTGGGTTTTTTACAAATGTAACTTCCATCGGGCAGTTGATCAAAGTACTTGCGAGCCTTTGGGGCCTGGTCTAAAATATGTTTAGGTGGCATCCCTAGCACCTCCACTATCTTCATCATCTGATCAAACTGGAAAATAAAATCATCACTTTTCATCATTCATAATCATTTATCATCACAATCATCACTTTTACTTTTGTATTTTTCTTTTACCTCAATCAACATTTCCCATACTGAAAATCTGTCCTTAACTCATCGTAATCATAAATAGATTTAAAATAAGATTTTTATACAATGATCATAACGTATCCTGTTTCATTAATATCTTACCCATATTACAATCTCAAACATGCTTGTAAATATTAAGCGGCACACTTACAAATTCACCAAACTAGGATCTCTCTGGAAAAGTGCTTGTAACAATTTCTAAGAAACTTTTTTTTAATTTTTTTTTTTATACAATTTGCCTTTCCCGGACTTGACATTCACGAGATAGCTCGACCCTAGCGACAGGATTTAAATTAGTTCTGGCAAACTCAGTTACAGGAAATTTCAAAATCAAAACTTTCGGTTTTACAGCAGACTTAATGTCTGTATATTAAATTTCTCGAAAAGCCATAGGGATTTTACAATGCACAATATCCAAACTTAATCTAAAATATCTGCAACAGCCTGAATACATAATTAGATTGTATATTGAAGTCACTTGTTATATCTGCCCCAAAACATTTTATGGATGGAAAGTTAGTTCTTTTATATTGTATCAAAAGGTTCCAAGGATCAGACATTTTTTCAATACCCATTTACATTGTCAAACATGTACTATTTAAATTCTGCCTGTGTATGTTAAATTTGTCCTAATTTTTAAAAACCTTTATTTGTATCATAGGTATGTAGCTCTTGTTAGCAATTCCAAAAATAGATCTTATATCGACTGATCCATATAAATTTATGAAATTAGAACCTAGAAATTTAAGTGAATGCCCTAGTTTTGACAAGAGTTTTCACAGAAGGTAGATTTAAACAAATCCTTTATTAAAATAGTCATATGTGTGGACAGAAATATCTAAATCTAACAATGTAGCAACACAATTAAGTTAGTCTCAGATATATGCATATCTTTTATGATCTAAGCTTTCGCACTTAGCAATAAGTGTTGTTAAGCATCTATAGCCCACTTTTTTTTGACATCTCTTCAATTAAAAAACAATAAAAGACAATTACACTGTAAAGATCAAAATAAATCTGCCAAAAACATCAAAGTGGGTGTAACAACACTTTTGGGAATGAAAGCTCAGAACTGACAGTCGCAGAGAATATGTTTAAGTAAGTCTGCAAAGCTTTTTAAATTTGACATCTATGTAGACGGACTCGGAAAGATTTACTGTCACCTAACCCATCTACAATAACATAGGTTAAATAGCAAAAGACTTACAATAGATTTACTCCACAAGGAAAAAACACACACTATGGAGTGACAGACAGAAGAATTATTTGAAAAAACAAAATAGATTTACCATAGATTACCACTTTAGTCTAGACAGTGCATTAAAATCTGATCTTTCTAATGCCTGTTTTTGTTTATAGATAAGATAGCATCAACGCCATCGAAAGGTCATTTCACAGACTCTCGATGGTTGATCTCGGTAGAGATACAAAACATTAACACCATCATAAACAAACATTTCTCCCGTGATTTATACAACTTCAGTAACCCAGCAATCCTGTAATTCTTCTGTAATTATGTAATTGACATTTGTAATTTGAGAGAAAGATCAACTTGCAAATATTTCTCTCAAAACTACAAACATGTTAATTAAATTAAGGTCATCAGAATCTAGGAAAATTTAGGTGACACTATAACTTATAAGGATTATTCAAACCATTAAGATGGTAAGCCTGAAGGAAAATCTGACATTCTTTGACATTTTTCGATCAATCTTTCTACTTGCACTTAATGGAGTCTGAAATCTATATGCACACCCCGCTACTCAACAATGGAATCATACGACAAATAAAATACGACAGTAACGTACCTCATTAGAGCCAGCGAAGAGTGGTTCACCAGTGTGCATCTCAACAAGTATACAGCCGAGACTCCACATATCTATGGCTAGATCATACGGTATTCCCAGTAAAACCTCCGGAGATCTGTAAAACCTACTCTGGATGTACTGGTAAATCTATAAAACAAAAATATATACCCATTAATCATACAGTTTATAAAGTGCTGACATAACTTTATCATAAAACGAATTATACTCCAATCAAAACATAATCCAAACTTAATCTATAATCAAACAAAGAAATTTCCATTACTAACCCTTTAACTGTAAATTTTAAGACACACTTAGCAAATCTTTACTAAATTAAAAAAATTTTGAGAAAGTTTCAAATTTAGCAAGTTAAAATGATACTATATAACAAAATTTTACAGAATTCTCACAAACAAAATAATCAATAAGTGAATAACAGCAAATTCTCACTAACATTTATCAATATGAATAAAAAATTCAGGTTATAATATATCATAAATGTATCAATAATACTTACACGCTGCCCTAACTGACAGGAGCTACCAAAGTCAACAATCTTGATTGCACTTCGTTTAGGGTTGCACAAAAGTATATTTTCTGGTTTTAGATCACAGTGGATAATGTTTAACTCTGGCGTCGCCAGAAATAACAATGCAGTACACAATTGCTGCGCAAACTTTCGAGTCAAGTTTAATGAAACACCTCTAAAGTTCGTATTCCGTAGTAAATCGTACAGATTATAAGACAAGAGTTCAAACACTAGGCATAGATGATTTCTAAACATAAAATGTCTTTTCAGTTTCACTGCAATAGAAATAAAGAAATTTGTTATCAACTTTGACATGTGAAGACGAATATTACTATGAACAGTTTGATGTAAAATGGTGTTTCAGAAATGAATTTCAGTTACCTCCCTTTACCTATAATGTATGGCAACCTTGAATAAATTTTAAACTTAGCAAACAGAAATTTTGGCAATGATTTTAAACATTGTGCATGAATTGAAGTTTTAGTATTTAAGTAGAATTGATAGGAATTTTTAAAACGACTCTACTACTATATAATTTCAGAGTGGTCATGGCACAATATTTAGCTCTGGATTCATTCTTTTATATTGACCAAGTTTTAACAAATTAAGCTATTTAACTAACAGAATCTTCAGAAAACTTGATTCTTCTGATAAAAGGTCATAAAATTTGACTGTATCTTAAAACTTAATAAATTCTTCATCAAAAACAGATAATCATCTTTAATAAATAGAAGTCCTGACACTTACCTATATAATATTTGTTTTCCGCGTCATGTTTATTCATGAGCTCTAATAATTTAACCTCAATCTGAGCTTGGTTCAGGAAAGGTTTCTTATTCTTGATGATTTTAATGGCAACTGGTTCCTGATCAGTGTGGTCGTACGCTTTCACAACCTGAACATGGAAAACAACACATTAAAACAAATAGAACAATTATCAGTTAATATAGACAGGAAAACAAAACAATAAATCAGCGGGATACAAGCATGTTTAAAAACAAGGAAACAGCGTTTTAAAAATAACTGACAATAACAATGACAGTAAAATAAACAGTTTGCAAGAAATAATCCTAGAAATCGTCTCCTCTCTGGGATTTAAGAGAAAACTTGGCTCTTAGTTCATAACATGTACTTTCTAATGAACAATATGTTACAATAAATATCTATATCTTATAACAATGATTTGTTTGAAAACTGCAGGTAAGAAAAGCTGAAGAAAAAAAACAGTTGTCCTTCTTTGAACACAAGCAGTTTCATTGTTAATATATTTTTTTCTTCTTTTCTTTCTTTCATTTATTTGTATGCAAGATTGCTATTTTGCTTTTTAGATTTTAAAATGTCTAAGTCATTAAACTCATGTTGTGTTTTTAACCCCTAAGCTGTCTGGTACTGAAAGTGGTAACAGATTAATCTTTTAGCCACCAGGGTAGAGCCAGGCCAGCCTGCACAATCTTACAACGCTCTGAACTGTTGGTATTCTGAAATCCCTAATTTTCAATATGGACTGTTCCAAACTCAAAGCTGGGCATATCCATTTCACAAATTGAGCAGGGTTAGGTTACTATTTTTCAGCCAATCAAACTAAGCTACATGTAGATTGTTGTGTAATGTTCAGTCAGGCAGCAGTTGCCACATTTTTGAGGTTATACAGTACCTGACTAGACAAAGGATACAAAGAACCTTAAATGACATCACACTCAACCAATTACATCAACAAATTAAGTGGGGAAAAATAATGATGCAAAAACACACTCATAAAAGGGCACAAAGAGCTTCAACGCTTGTACCCTACAGCCAAAGTAGGTTTGCCATTTCCTTCATTAATTTATAAATCAGTTTGTCTACAATTTTGGTTCTTTGAAATACCAAGACATTTCTCTTACATAACTTTCCATCGACATTTTCCTGCTTTATTTTCCAATCTCATGTTTTAGTTAACCAGGAACTCTGAATTATGTGGATTTAACTGCCTGTTTTTCAGTACTGACTGACATTTCTCCCCCACACATGTTCATAATTATCATTCCTACAACTATAACCTCAAATTATGTAAGAAATCTTTAAAATACAACAAACTACAGATCTGGTTGTTTTTTTATGGCTTGCTGGCATTATACCCTAGCAGACAATCTCTCCATTTTCTGTAAATACTCTCTAGATTACCTGTCTCGAAATAAATACAGATTTCCTGCTTATTGGAGAAGACAATAGAGTCGAGGTAAACTATGGAAGGTAATTGACTATTACACTTCCTCATAGTATAGATCTGCCATGATAAACTGGCAATTGTTTGGGTGTAACTAAAGTATTTAATAGTTTCAACAAAAACATCGTAGGAAATGCAAGTCTTTCAAAGCCTTATCATTAAAATTGCAAATTACATCGTTTTGAGCAATCAGAATTTATTTAACCTTTCACTTTTCTCTTCTCTTTTCGATCAACTTCTAATGAAATAATCATCGCTGTAGATCTATATCAAAATCGTATACCACACCTGTTGAGTAATTAGTGTGCATAACCAATTAAGTGAGTTTTTTTTATCTTGCAAAACTTTAACTTTTTCGATTCTTTTGTCTATGCCAAATCTTGCGTTATAATCAAGTGATGTTCTTTACAAAGGATTTTTTTATTTTGCAAGCCATCAGGCAAAAACATTATGTATGTTTTCAGTGTGTGTGTGGTTTTATTTATGCATTATTTAGTTTTGTCAAGTTTGTGCAAATTTTATACAAATATTCTGAGACATTTCTATAAAGCAAAGAACAACAACACAAACCGTTAAATAAAATATAAACGAATCTTTCCCTATAACCTTTCCTTGAATGATATATTCTGACAAGAAAGTGGGCAGGCAGCATCTATTTAAATTATGCTGTATATTACGTCGCTATGCGGCAAATTCTGCAATGTCATTCTAAATATTGCACGCAGCTCCATGTTCCAATACTAATCAATATTCACCAATTTGTTGGTTATGCATTTTTTGTGAAGTGCTATCGCGCATTGCTTCTAGAATCTATTATCAGCATCGCACCGACTAGAAGAAGACAATGCAAGCGGATCAGGGTCACTTGAGAAAAGCTTACGTAGCCATTTTGTTTTTATTCCGTTCTTGTCTGGCTCCACAATTTATTCTGCTTTTATTTTTACATTTCTTCTAATGATGTTCAATAACCCAGTACAATAAAACAAGGCCTCAACATTTTCAAGACTCTATACAGCCTAGATTGATGTGTTCTTTTGCAAAAAGTAATCTCATTCAATGTTTTAACAAGCCAGTATTTAACTTTGAATAAATGTTTAAATATTTAATTTTCATTTTTCATGGCCAGACGGTAAAAAACGGCAAGCAGTGAACTTGTTCAATTGCTGTGCTGACCTGATGTCAACATGTGACATCGTCTCACCATCACTTAGCAGTCGTGATTAAATGCCATCTATAGTTAGATATAAATTAATCAACAATGCATAGACAGGTAAATATGCAAAATGTAGTATTCAAATTAAAAATATTATAAAATCATTTGGACATTTAGTACTTTCAACCATAACCTAATTCTACCAAGAAGTTCAACAATTAGAGCACTTTAGTAATTAGATTTTTTTCTTCTAAAAATCAAACACGAACATTTTTAAATTAGAAAGGCACTAATATTCAGAAGGTTAACTATTTCATTTATTATTTTGTAATGCAGAAGTTTTCTCCTTAATACACGACACATTTAGTGCTTACAGTCTCTCGGAATCTGCTGAAAATCCCCGGTTTCTTATCGCAAATTCACCCAGACATATTATGCAAATATTACAAGAATGTGGACATAAGACATGGGAAATGCACAATATTTAAGTGCACTCGCAATGAAAAAAGAAACAATGGCGGAAAATCGTTTCGATCAAATTGACAGCAAACAACAGTTATTACACCTTGAAAAGATAGATCCGTCTGACCTTTTTAAAACTTTCAGAATAATTTTTTTTTTTCTCAGACACTGTAGACCAATCCTTCGTTACGTAATATGTTCTTTTAACACTTTCTCACGGTTTCGTTCAATTGTTGTTTTCTTTAAAAAGTTACTCATTCTGACTTCAGTGATGATTTTTTAAACACGCGATTTTTATTCATTATTTTATTTTTTTTATATCTAAGACAGTAAGACTTCCTGTTTGATTTCAGAAAAAGGAAGTAAACATTCAGTACTATAGTACTTTTGAACTAGGAATAGCAAGTTTATTTTCATCTCACTTTTACCTTGTATCTAACCGACAATAATGACTCGTCTATCCATGCAAAAATAATAAATCGAGGCCAGCCTGCATGTAGTGCTGGCTGCTCAAATAAAGAAACCCGCTTAAATTAATAATCAACTGGTCCTATTTCAGAGCAGGGCAAGTCCATTGCATAAATTCAGGACACTTTTCTATTTTCACTGTCAATAAAATCAGATTGAAATGTACCTGTTAAAAATTACATTCTGAAGTATAATTCAGGCATCTAAAATGATCTTTCACATTCAGCTGTATTACATCTTTCAAGAAAAAAAAGCTCTGCTATGACCTTTAAACAAGATCTTACGCTATGACCTTTTTAAAATAACAACATCTTACGAAACACATACATAACATTCTTATTTGATGATTAACATCATGTTTAGAACATGTATACTTAATATCTAATTTCCATGCTGATGGAGGCTTTACCTCTGCTATCCTATAGAAATTGCACAGCTGGTTTGTATGATTTACTTTATATGGTGTATAAAAACAGTAAGGTATGCAATCCTGATTGAAAGCTATCCATCACAGCTTATTTAGTATACACAGTTTTTCAGAGTAACAAGCATACATTATATATACATTTCATAAAAATAATTAAAAATATATAAGGCCAATAAGCATGAAGAAAACGCAACGGTCGCTGTGGTGTGGTAGTTAGAATACTGGACCGGCACTCCAGAGACCTGTGGTTTGAGTCTCAGCTGCGTCATGCTGATTTCTCTTGTGATTTTTCTGTGTATACAGATGAGAAGGGGCCAATCTGCTCTATACTCTATAGCCTATAGGAGTCATTAAAATTGCTTATACTTCACTTATATCTTAAACCACAGAACTAAAATCATTTCTTAAGTATGCCAATTAACAAAATATAATTTCCTGTAGGAGGTCAAAGGTTACCCTTTAAAACTTTTACCAGTTGTTGATCAGGATTACTGTTTTTCCAGGATGGTCAGTTGGACATCTTACAATCATTTCACAAGCAAAAAGTCAATAACATAATATTATTGTTTCCAGGAAATGACAATTCAAAATTCCAAGAAATGCTGACGAAGCAAAAATTCATAACAAAATAATGTTTATCAGGTAAGAAAGAAACAGCCCAGAAACGAACCAAAAAAACAACAACCAAACCCACACAACACTAAAGCTTGACTCAACCAGTATAAAATTTCTGTCAATTCAAGCACATATTTTTTACTGATGAAACTGCTATGCATGCTTTTTCAACTTTTGAGACAATAAAAAAGCTTTGTGTAATGTTTTGCATTGATTAAAGCCTTTCCTGTCAGTTCCACTTTGTGGCCAAAAGGTTCACAGATGATACAGGCAGAGGGTACAAGTCTTTGATATACTCGTGTCTAATCTATGGTGTAGAAAGAATATCTCTACATGACAGCTTCCATAAATAATGGAGGCTTTTTCTTTAATGTTTGTTTCACTTCATCAAAATCCCAGACAAGCCTTGTCATAGACTTCACTGCTTCTGCTGCTGCTATTGCGTTTTTTCATTGATTTTTTTGTGTTTGAAAGCTTTTATCATATCAACTTTAGTACCACAATAACAACACATCCTTTCTCCTACAAAATAGGTGTGTCCATTAATAGAATTTTCTGACACTTTTGAAGTAATAATTAAACTTTATAAACTTTTGATGGCCAATTATTTTTTTTAATAATACCTGGATTGCCCTTTATTTAAAAAAACTTCAAATTTTCATACAAGGAAGCTTTCAAAATTTAATCTTTTAAGATAATAAGAGTATCAGAAAGGTAGTGCAGGCTCACTGAAAAGTAAACTTGAGAAAAACCCACACATAATAAAACATACAGTGTGGCTCTTACTGCTGAAAGGTCAGATGACACTATTGAATTTCATTCTTTAAAAATAATAATGCGGGTCAAATGACTCTAATAAAATGAATGAGGCTTTTTATCTATAATCTCCCTTTTCAACTCAACAGATCTAATATCTTAATATAAGGTGCAAACTTCATAAATAACATTAAATATTATGCACAGACATTCTGATCTTGATTTTGACCCTGACAATGTCCTTGTGCGCAAGTGGCTGGCTGGCACTCAAGAGTGAAGCGAAATTATGAAAATTTGTTGAAACATGTTACCCACGGTTATCTCCTTAACACCCTAGTATATAACCTCAATATTCATTTTTTTCCTCCTGTATTAAAACATGTCATGACTCATTCCACTGATTAGACTCTGATAACAATGTTTTACTCTAGTTACCTAACTCTGCACTTTTTTATTTGTATATTAAAGTTTTGTACTGTAGGATATAATCAATATCACAATACACGTTCAGACAGGTTATATGATACACTTCCCCCCTCAACACTGCATTCATTTTGTTCAAACCACACTTCAGACATGCTATGACTGTGGGATTTCTGCTTTTTTTTTGTCATAGTTTTTCCCACCAGCGATTTTCTCATCATAAGCAACAATCAAAACACTGCAACAAGTTTGCAATGATCAACTAAAATCCAATTAAAATGTAAAGAAAATGTGTTTTGTTGTAACATTTAACAAGCTTCAGACACAGTTCTTTTGCTCTCTCTCTTGAATTTTGTCAATTTATAGCTTTATATATAAAATAAACTGGCAATTTACAAGACATGCTCGCCTATTTGGTTAAAATGATGACCAAATGACATAAAACTTGTCTAGGAAAAAAATTCAACAAAGTTTAACTTGAAATGACAGATCTTCTAACCACTGGACACAGAGCGGACACACTTCCTGCCAATAAAACTTTACGAAAACTTTATATTACTAGGTCATATTTCTGCGCAATTTTCGCACACAACAAAAATGGTTGCATGTTAGTCAAATAGTCACGTAACACAGCATGACATGCTTGAAAACTAATTGCATGAAAAGACAAAATCTTTGTGCGCATCGCGATATCTACACTTCATTAACCGGGGACATACAACGTTTCGTGCTCGATCACCATCATTCTTTAACTGTAACTTTTATTTTTGACAATTTTTTTACGGTCTTAATTTTCTTGCAATCTTCAAAGAGCTTGAAGCTATTATTTAAAGCTTAAGTTAGCATGCCAAGATTACATAACCAAACATTTCATCATAAAAGTAGAAGACATAAGATGTCAAAAACAGACATGAATTTCTCAGCAGCTACTGAAGGTTGTAATTTAAATATTTATATCGGAAAATAATTGACGTATCATAAGAAAAGCAACCTTTGAGATATTTCTGTCATATAAAAATAATTCAGCGAAAATCATCTTGAATCATTGTATTTCTTTTGCCACTAACATCATTACAATAATAATTGTTTGTCCAATACTCAGAAATTTTAAAAGAGGACCTCTTTTTAAAAGATGAAAACAGAGTCTACCATTGTGTACATCTGAATTTCTTTAACAATGCCTTCTCCTCAACATTCCTTAATTTCATAATCAAATTTGCTTCCACTTAATTGGCAATCCCTCCTGCATCTTTGCTAAATGTCAATCCAAGTTTATGAAAAGGTTACATCATGCCCTTTCTTCATTTAACTCCTTCACAAAGACTTTTTGTTAATCAAAGCGGTAGGTTCTTTTTTCTCTTCCAAGTAGTTTTTTTTATCCCCCCCCCCCCCTGCAGTCTATTTAACAGACAGTATCATCTTCAGTAATATTATTTTTCCCTAACAATTTCTTTTTATCAATTTGTGTGGCACTTTAATCATTACTGGTCCACTAATACCATGTCTAGCCATTTCTCCTGCATTCCAACCCCCCCCCCCCCAACAAACTAAACATCAAAAATGTCTAGCCGTTTGACATCTCTTAAACTAAGGTCAACAATAACGGGCTTTCAGTGCTCAACTATTTACCAAGGTTATCATTACAATTATACCGTTTTCCTTTTCAATTGAAGAAATAATTTGATATGCACAGCTGTATACGCTTGGTTTATTCAGCATTTCATTTCGATTCTCTAGCTTCTTATTCCATTCAAATTATACAAAATTTATTTCGGTGTTGGTCACAATGCCCAAATTGACTGCGTGTTCAAAGGACAACTGTTTTCAGCTTTCACATGTTTTGGTAATTTTTTTAAGTAAAAGTGAGAGTTGTAAATAAGAAATGATAAATGTTCTTAACTTAGAAATGTACTTTTTTTAAATAAATGTGTAATATTTGATAAATGTTCAAGAAATTTAACTACACATAAACTACTATTCTATATTTTAATTATATTTGTTATTTTGAAGAAACATAAAATATTTGTTGCGTTTCATTCAAGTTAATATAGACACTTTGAAGAACCACCCAGTAGAACCACCAACATCAATACATATGTGGATAATTTTACTAACATTTATTTTATCACCTTTCATCGGAACATAATGTCGTAAATAATATTAAATTTACAATTACATGCATTTCTTACCTGACCAAAAGAACCCTTGCCGATTAAAGAGTCTATTTCATAGCGGTCCATCCATTTCTCGCCGGGGTTGACAATATAATCGTGATTTGCGTCATCGTAACCATCATTGTACGCGTGAACATTGACCTTGCCTTTCTTATGCCCGCTTTCGTCTCCTTGGGCACCGGGAGCTGCTCTCCGCTTCTTCTTTGCATAATAAACCTAGAATAATGATAGCAAACATATTGTTATACTCTCGTTAAATGCTTTCTCCACAGGAAATTACCAACTTCTCCACCATAAAAAGTCTGCCAGTCGGGGACATATGAATCAAAGATACATCAAAACATTAGACCCGTCACAGATTACATTTCCTAGCATCTACAATATAAATTAACAATTATCATCTTCAGAAAAAATGTGAACCAGGCCAAACAGGAAGTGATTATCATACCATTCATTGAATACAATATTCATTTAGAATGTTCATTCATATAGCTTAATGAAAGCAGGTTAAAGTATATAACATATAGCTTAAATTTCCTTATTTGCATCATAACGAAACTTCTCAAAGAAAGATGATTGAATTATTGTTGAAAATAATGCAGAGACATCACAGTAAGTCAGTAATGTGACTTACAATGAATAAACAAACCTTACATTACAGGAACACTCACCTCTACATGTGGTGTGGCCAACTCAACAATTACCCACCTTGTCTTTTATGTTGTCTTGTATCTGATAACATCTAGGTGATCATTTTATCCAGAGGGTAAATGAACTTACAAAAATATCAAAATATAACAAGAACGTTTCACATCTACTCACCTCAAGGTCATGGTCGTCAATTCGCTTGAAATCCAACTCAATCATTGGTGCAAACTTAGTCTGATGACTAACGTACTTATTTGGAATATGATTGGTCGAAAGTGTTTGCAGGGGCTTGCGTAAGCCCTTTGCCACTAAACGTAGTAGCAAACCTTGATGCATAGTTCCTTTTCTTTATTTACCTTTACACTATTGGAATAAGATCTCGAAACATTTAGATATGTCCATTTGAATAGAGTTTAATATTTATTTCACAGTACAACTTCATATATTACTGAACACATGCTAGCTGCATGATTGTAAATGTTATCAAATCTCTTTCATGCTCACGAAATTAAGTCCATCTAGGTCAAAGGTGTTTGTTTTAAACCTGTAAACATTGAACAGAGTAGTTGTTTTCATGCTAGATAACAATTCTCTCCCTGTTTTATCTCCACAAAAAAAGACACCACTCTATCGGTCAATGCCCCTTACAGTTAACACAGAGTCTAGACTCTTAAATGCCAAAATCAAACTTAAACACTGGTTATAATATAAATATAAAATCTTTATACACTTTAGAAGCAGAACATGAAACCATGAAGAAATTCCAATGTTTACTAAGTGTTTCAACTGTTTATACTTATCAAGATCTAATGTAATTATATATATATATACATGTGAATCTCCCAGGGAGCTCAAAGAACCTCTTTCAAACATTTTCCTGGCTTTTTAATTATCTTGATTCTACTCAGCCCTACATCAAACAATTTTTATAAATTTATGTATAATCAAACTGTGAAGAACAGATAATCAACCAATCAAATCCACTCTTACATAATATACAACACCATACCTGGCTTTAAAGAAACTTGCCCCTGACACAAGACCAATCAAACACCTATTGTATAACTGTGACCAAACTTACAAACAAACAAACTGAGTAAATACACATCATCAAGCCAATGTATATATTAATCAATTCCAGCCCTACTCTCATATAATAGAAAAACATAGATCCAGTCCAAAATGAAATTTCTTACAATTTTTCAAAACATCCTCGTTCTTGACCTTTATAAAACATTATTCAATACAGTAAAATTATCTTTCAATTTAAAACCAATTTATATAATATCCAATCCATTATAAATCATGAAACTGAAATCAGAAAATAAGTCTCGAAAAACAGCATGAGGAATTTTAATTAAATTTTATTAATCTATTTCATCCTTGAATGATGTTTTAATATCCTGGTAAACATCCTAGTTAGCAAAAACATCCTTGTTTAACAACACTTTTATATAAGGTAGTAACTCCATAACGAAAGGTCCTATTATCATTGACACTAAAGTACAAAAAAAAAATACCAATAAATAAATATCCTTACAGTACATGGAATCAAAACAAATTTAGATATTTATAAAGCCAAGTATAAACAAGTTAGAAAGATAAAAAAGATAGGATTCAACAGCTTTTGAATTTTATTTAATCTTTGTTCTAAAATGGTGGTATTACTAATTATTTTTTCATGTTCAAATTCTAATTTATCTAGTATATCTACTGTACATTACTATACATGTACTATTCTATGATTTAATTATATACATATTTCTTTTACATGAAAAGAAACCAATCCTCCACTATATTTATATAAAACTGTACAGATCACAGAAAGATTCGGATATACCCTAATATTTATAAAGAAGTTATTCATATATATACAGTGCTTATAATTCCAACGAGCCTTTGGAAATAATAAAATATATTGCAACAGATGTTGGATAAAATCCAACCTTTACGCACTCATGCAACCATAATAATATATAGACCGACCAACAACATCAGTACAGTAGCAATTTCACAATACACGTCTGAAAATATGTTGTTGATTTAACCAACGTGATTAACAACATTATGGTGCATGGGACGCGTAAACAAACAAGTAACAACAATATTCTCAATAGAAGTCTACATTCAAATGCATAATATTTGCCACTGGTAATTAATTTTCAAAGCTGAGACAATGAATGTTGGACACCACAATGGAAATAAGATTCTCCCTTTTTTGTGCTATCCTTGGTGTTGGTGTGCATGTCACACCTTATTTATTCTCATGTATGTTATAAATTTGTGTTGTACATGTTGTTTTAATTGTCCATGTATATGTATTCCAGACCAAAATGAATCTATCTATCTAATTTTCATAACTAATCTCACATGTTTTTGTGCCAACATAAACTAACATAGCATCATTCTATTCAAAAAAGAACTTGAAACAATAAAAAATCAACAACACTAACAACACATAAATCTATAATTTTCACAAATTCAATCATAAAAATTTAAAATAACTTTCTTTGACAATGCTATGCACTGATATCAGCCATAGGAACATATGGGTTTTTTTTGCTGTTTATTTCCTTTTGCAAACACATTTATACACATCATTAACTTTTTAAACATTACTGAAATTAGAAACATTTACACAGATAAAGACAATTTCCAAAGCGTGAATAATGTACATGATGTCTGAATTTCTCAAAAATTCCTCCACACTATCACCGCACAGTTCCATGAAAAAATAATCCAATATTCTTGTACAAAATAAATGAAAACACAGGAATTTAAACTCTACTTTCACAAACTCAATTATACCATGTCATTACATAATAATCAAAGCCGGGGATAACCACTTCATCTGCTGCTGTGCTTATAATATTAAGTACTAACATAAAAATTAAATCAAGTCGCCAGTTTCATTCTTTTCTAAATTACGCATGAAAAACAATTTGTTTAAATGTAAACAGGCATAATTATATAAATAGACTCTTAAGAATGAATGATATTTACAAAACATGTTTATATTCACGTTATCACATCAAATAACCTTGACATTGTGGAGCTCACTGAAGGTCGACAATTTATGACACGAAAATCATCTTATGAAACTATTAACAATGTTAATTAACATCCTTGATTGACTTAATGATTTTTAAATCTTTAATTTTTTTTTTTTTCCCCCAATATTTTCTATCTTAAACCAGTAATATTTAATTAATATCTTTTAGAAAATCTTTTAATTACATGTTGAACTTCAACATGCACATTCTTGACTCTTTTTGCAGTAGGGCCGATTGATAATAATACATATTACATCTGGGTCATCCTGGACAATATTTATGCAAAAGATAAGATGGACAGTCAATAAAGTCTGTTTATCATATACACAGGATATCATTTTCAGTGAAAGCTATAAATAGTAACAGAATAACCCGCCTTTTTTTCAATTTGATCTGTCACCAATACTTCTTGTCGACTGAGATGTTACAAGGTCTATCTGACTTAATAACCGAATAAACATCCGCTACTTAACCTCGTTTCAGAATTTTTACTATTCCGCCAAAATTCAGTTTTTGTTTACATTTAACCATTTGTTGGCGGTAAAACATTTTAAATCAATACACTGTCCTGATGTATTGACACACTTTTTGGACAAGTGTGCTGCTCTAAGGGCTGGGATAAGTGGTGCAGAAAGATGATCAACCATAAATTTACTGTTATCTGATCCCCTCGGACTTCTTCCTGTCTAAAATTAAAATTATATGAATCATGCCTCTACACAGACAGATACTGTTGTCAATTTTTATTAACTATTGAAATTGATGATAGAAGCTTCAAAACTTTGTCAGTTCAGGCATTTTCCATGCCATTTGGGGAAAAAGTACCTCAGTAACCTAGCCCAGTTTGGGAAATTTTGTATCATAAAATTGCTTAATTGGGAAAGAATATTTGGTACCTTTTGAAACCTCCTCATGCTCTTTTGGCATAGTATTTTGAATTGTGCAAAATTGTTTATTCCATTATTCAAAGCATAAAATATACATTCACATTAAACAATGAAATGTGTCGAAACATCAGTCTACATATTGAAATTTGTCAGTTTTAATAGCAAGAACTTCAGTTCCATTGGGGATTGGGAAAAAAAAAAGAGCATATTTGCCAGGGGGAATGGGTCTGGTAATCTGACCTGTGATGACAATGGGAAAAGGCATGCAGTTACCAAGCAATACATTGACAAATTCAAATCAAGCAATCACACATATGTTTTTTAAAACTAAAGTTTATAGACAAAGATCTAACATCAAACCATAATGAGAATTTCAATAGAATTTCATCATTTAGCTGACGTGAAAATAACCGTGTCACCTTTTATTACAGTCTTGTTGACAGAGCATCAACAATTATTTTGCCTCAGACATAATGCTTATTAAATATCACTGTCTAGTAGTTTAGAGTGAAGAAAAAAAGCTCTGCTCATTCTCAGCCATACCTGGTAATTCTGTCTAGGGTCTGTCCTCAAGAAAACAGTTTCATCTTTTTATATTCCCTGTCCAGACAGTTTTCGCAGCCAATTGAAGCGTTTAATTTAAAGGTTCTGCTCAATGCTGTTAAGTTACAAATGAACAGTTTTTTCTCACCAACGAAACAGCTTTTTCTCACAAAAAGTGCAGACATCATGTAAGGAATACAGATACAGCTACAACTGCTCCTACTGAAACTCCAGTTATTGTTTGTCCAGCTAGTATTGTTTCATGTTGCCTTAGTTATTGTGGTGTTTAACCTTAAATGACACTACTGGAACACTTAAATGCTCTTGCTACTGAACATTTACTGATTCTAGAGTCATTTTATAGCTATAAATGAACATATACTGATACTAGACTACAGATATAGCTATAAATGAACATTTACTGATGCTAGAGCCCTTATATAGTTATAAATGAACATTTACTGATGCTAGTGCCCTTATATAGCTATAAATGAATATTTACTGATGCTAGAGCCCCTTTATAGCTATAAATGAACATTTACTGATGCAAGTGCCCTTATATAGCTATAAATGAACATTTACTAATGCTAGAGCCCCTTTATAGCTATAAATGATTATTTACTAATGCTAGAGCCCCTTTATAGCTATAAATGAATATTAACTGATGCTAGAGCCCCTTTATAGCTATAAATGAATATTTACTGAAGCTAGAGCCCTTATATAGCTATAAATGAACATTTAATGGTGCTAGAGCTCTTATATAGCTATAAATAAATATTTACTGATGCTAGAGCCCTTATATAGCTATAAACAAACATTTACTGATGCTAGAGCCCTTATATAGCTATAAATGAACATTTACTGATGCTAGAGCCCTTATATAGCTATAAATGAACATTTACTGATGCTAGAGCCCTTATATAGCTATAAATGAATATTTACTGATGCAAGAGCTCTAATATAGCTATAAATGAACATTTACTGATGCTAGAGCTCTTATTATTATATAGCTATAAATAAACATTTACTGATGCAAGAGCTCTTATATAGCTATAAATAAACATTTACTGATACTAGAGCTCTTATATAGCTATAAATAAACATTTACTGATGCTAGAGCCCTTATATAGCCTATAAATGAACATTTACTGATGCTAGAGCCCCTTTATAGCTATAAATGATTATTTACTAATGCTAGAGCCCCTTTATAGCTATAAATGAATATTAACTGATGCTAGAGCCCCTTTATAGCTATAAATGAATATTTACTGATGCTAGAGCCCTTATATAGCTATAAATGAACATTTAATGGTGCTAGAGCCCTTATATAGCTATAAATAAACATTTAATGGTGCTAGAGCTCTTATATAGCTATAAATAAACATTTACTGATGCTAGAGCCCTTATATAGCTATAAATAAACATTTACTGATGCTAGAGCCCTTATATAGCTATAAACAAACATTTACTGATGCTAGAGCCCTTATATAGCTATAAATGAATATTAACTGATGCTAGAGCCCCTTTATAGCTATAAATGAATATTTACTGATGCTAGAGCCCTTATATAGCTATAAATGAACATTTAATGGTGCTAGAGCCCTTATATAGCTATAAATAAACATTTACTGATGCTAGAGCCCTTATATAGCTATAAATGAACATTTACTGATGCTAGAGCCCTTATATAGCTATAAATGAATATTTACTGATGCAAGAGCTCTAATATAGCTATAAATGAACATTTACTGATGCTAGAGCTCTTATTATTATATAGCTATAAATAAACATTTACTGATGCAAGAGCTCTTATATAGCTATAAATAAACATTTACTGATACTAGAGCTCTTATATAGCTATAAACAAACATTTACTGATGCTAGAGCCCTTATATAGCTATAAATGAATATTAACTGATGCTAGAGCCCCTTTATAGCTATAAATGAATATTTACTGATGCTAGAGCCCTTATATAGCTATAAATGAACATTTAATGGTGCTAGAGCTCTTATATAGCTATAAATAAACATTTACTGATGCTAGAGCCCTTATATAGCTATAAATGAACATTTACTGATGCTAGAGCCCTTATATAGCTATAAATGAATATTTACTGATGCAAGAGCTCTAATATAGCTATAAATGAACATTTACTGATGCTAGAGCTCTTATTATTATATAGCTATAAATAAACATTTACTGATGCAAGAGCTCTTATATAGCTATAAATAAACATTTACTGATACTAGAGCCCTTATATAGTTATAAATGAACATTTACTGATGCTAGAGCCCTTATATAGCTATAAATGAATATTTACTGATGCTAGAGCCCCTTTATAGCTATAAATGAATATTTACTGATGCTAGAGCCCTTATATAGCTATCAATGAATATTTACTGATGCTAGAGCCCTTATATAGCTATAAATAAACATTTACTGATGCTAGAGCTCTTATATAGCTATAAATAAACATTTACTGATGCTAGAGCCCTTATATAGCTATAAATAAACATTTACTGATGCTAGAGCCCTTATATAGCTATAAATAAACATTTACTGATGCTAGAGCCCTTATATAGCTATAAATAAACATTTACTGATACTAAAGCTCTTATATAGCTATAAATAAACATTTACTGATGCTAGAGCTCTTATATAGCTATAAATAAACATTTACTGATGCTAGAGCTGTTATATAGCTATAAATGAACATTTACTGATGCAAGAGCTCTTATATAGCTATAAATGAACATTTACTGTGATGCAAGAGCCCTTATATAGCTATGAATGAACATTTACTGATGCTGAAGCTCTTATATAGCTATAAATGAACATTTACTGATACTAGAGCTCTTATATAGCCATAAATAAACATTTACTGATGCTAGAGCTCTTATATAGCCATAAATGAACATTTACTGATGCTAGAGCCCTTATATAGCCATAAATGAACATTTACTGATGCTAGAGCCCTTATATAGCCATAAATGAACATTTACTGATGCTAGAGCTCTTATATAGCCTATAAATGAACATTTACTGATGCTAAAGCCCTTATATAGCCATAAATGAACATTTACTGATGCTAGAGCCCTTATATAGCCATAATTGAACATTTACTTATGCTAGAGCTCTTATATAGCTACTTATTACCATAAAGGTCAAGGACTTATACTATTGCTATTTCTATACAATTACTTTAGCTTCCACTCTAAGTATATAACCTTATTGGACTTAAAAGCTTATCAGTAAAATTAGTTTTAAGATGTCAAATTGGCAAGAATAAACCACGAAGTAGCTTTTCTTGCGAAAATCCATGGAGACCAAGAGAAACATTATACAACATGCAAGTTCTCTATTTTGTGACTATCCCAGAGCTATGCATATTTATGAGAATTATGTCTATGTCTGGAGTGCTATACCCAATAGACTGGTTCCTATATCTGGACACCAGACTACAGACAGAAAACCCAGTCTATAGTCCCGTTTCCGTAGCAACCATTCTCTTAAAAATACAATAGACAAATGTATCGATCATGTCTTGCGAGATTATCTGCTGGAATGGGACAGGAGAACTGAACAGCCACTAAATACAGAACTTCTCATCAAAATTATATTACTTTTCATTTAAAAGATCTTTTTGAATAATGGCACATTATATTCAGGAATCTGCTATGGAGCATGTATGGTCTTCCATACAAGTCGGTGTCTTTGAAGGACAATCATAAATAATAACAGGATACCATATTCACGACTTAAGTCACTTAAAAGGTTAGTTGTAATTGCTCAGTTAAAAGCTTGCCATCATTTAAACCTAACTTATGACTGTCACAATTGGTAACCATATGAGTAACATACTTTTCTGATGATTTCTAAATTAAGGGAAAAGTACTTTAAAAAAAAAACCTTTTTTTTGTGTCTGATTATGATAAAAGTTTCTTGCATCTTAAATTAGAACATTATTCCTTTTTGAGTCAGCTTCCTGGAACTAACCAGTACTGGTGTCATACAAGTAAACCCGCTCGTGACCCGGGTAGGGCTCGAACCCACAGTTCCTGGGTTGAGAGGCAGACACCTCATCTATTATACCATCACTCCTCAAATCAACCACATTTAAACATGTGATAAAAACTTCATTGAATAAATACAAAATGCTTCAATTTTAACTCCATCCCTTCTGTATTGACTCAATCCCAGCCAACAGATATCATTGCCTCTAACAACATAAATATGTCCTTTTTTATGCTCAATCAACAGATAACACGAAAGGAAAATCAATTTTGACCTTATTCTTTCATTATGCTGCATATCAACTGGAATATTTGCAGCACTGGAAAAAAGAAAGCACAAGGAATCCATCTCATAAAAACATTCATCATTTCTCTTACCACCTACATAAAGAATGATCCTCCTACTATCTCAGACCGCAGCTGTTCTTACACATAAAAACAATGATATTACAAGATGGATATAAGAATATATTTTAGGAATTTATTATTGTTTTTCATATTCACCACAAAGTCTCATATCTTTTGAAAATTGCCATTTCCTTACAGGTAGAAATGTGAAATATACACCCTGGAAACAAATTTAGCTCTCGGAAATCAATTTTTTTCTCTCTAATATTCTTTCATTATTAAATTTCTGCCCATAAATTTATTAAAGAGGAAATTTATATTAATACCTGGATCAAATAAAATTGTTTTGCGGGTGAACTAATTAATAACAAGACCATACAATTTATATCCTTGCTAATGTCTTCTCCTTACCTTCAATTCCATGGCATCCTGACGTAATAAAATTGTCATGTTCTTCTTTACAATATTAAAAAAAAATTAATTCTCAACCTACCTTCAGTGTTATTTTTAGATATATCCCAGCTTCTGACTGATCTAGAAATCTATTTATAGACAATGTGAGCATGTGTTACCATTTTCAGAAAATTTCTCCTGTGAAGAAGGAAAACAGATCTGTCATGGAAGCAGTCACTTCCTTTATTTGTCAGTTTATATAATTATATTCAAGATTAAATATAGAGTGGTTAAATTCAGCTATATACCTCATTGATATGCTTGTATGTTTTGATGAGGTCAACACTTAGTTTGCGTAGAGGCGCGGCAGTAGCATCGCGGAACGTTGTCGGTATTCTATTTTGCATGGCAGCCATCTCTTGCTGCTGCTGCTGCAGCGTGTCTGCCATTATGACAAACTGGTCCGCCTCACTCAGTCGCCCGTAAACCATCGGAACATGGCGACCTTTTGACAGCTGGCCTACAAATACAAAAAAAAGCATTTAATATAATTAAACTAACTGATGGGAAAGGAAGGGAAAATTTCCATGTCTTCAATGGTGCTAATTAATAACAAGCCTTTTCATTAGCAGTTGCATGTGTAAACAATTTAGAATAGTTTTCTTTGCTGATTTGCTGCAGTAACATTCTCATATTTTCATTTCAAATAAAACTTATGATCCATTTCAGTTTCCTTTTTCCAAAATATTTTCTTCTTACCAAAATAAGTAGGTCAGGCAGAAGTGACATTATTCATAATCATAATTTAGCATTGGAGTCTGCCCGTTTCAAAATCAGCAAAACAAACTTATATACCACTAATACCTTAAATGCATTTGTTTTCTTGTTTACCTTCAAAATCATAAATTTAATGGTAGTTTGATATAAATGCCCTTGATAACACTTCTCGGTTTTTATCTTAACATTATGAAAAGAATAACGCACAAAACTTAACATCAACATGCAAAATTGATGTCTGCACAAGCCAAGTGCAAGCTATTACATGTAAACTCAATTACAGTACTTTTAATAAAGCTATTTAAAATGTTACGCAACATTTTGAACACAAACGGCAAAATAGAAAGGTCACACCAGTACAGAGCCAAGATCGCATGGGCTGCTAGTGACTTGATTAACTTTAACTTCATAATACTGAAATACTACAAACAATCAATGAAATCTTCAATATTCAAAACCGGAAAAGTCCATACCATACTGTCCTAAATTTACAAAATGGCAATACCTTTAATTGAATATCAGATACAGCTTCATTTGAGCAACTGTCAGACCTACACAGATTGATATGAAGATACTTGCTCATCAGTTTTCACATCAAAGGAAAATAAAAGCTCATGACATTTTATTTATTGCTAGAAATTAACCGGAATATTTCACCAATATTGCACACCAAATCATGAATAACCACTAAATCCAACATATGGACTATCTAAATCAACTGTGTTTCACATAAATTTAATCATAAACTTTAAATACATTGGACATTGTCTTACATAAGGTTGTATATATAATATATAAATCTTTCATCGCCCAACAGGGTTTACTGATAAAAGTAATAATAGCAACTTATAGAGATATACCATCAACAAGATTAGACAGGTAGATTTATAAACCGATCAGCTGATATTTCACATTGATTTTATACAACAAGTTCATTCATAAATCCACTCTCCCTCCAATTTTTTCTGCTCTCTCAAACCTACCTGGATATTAGAGTACATTACAGTTATTAATAGACTGGAAAAAACTTTCTCACAGCCTGAGTCCACATTAATGGACTGTAATCTGATCAAACAATTCTCTATTGGGAAAAAAATTTGTTCACAAATATACATCAAAGAAAATCTTACCACAATCATGTTTATACATTATCATAAATCGAAAAATCGATCTTTTGTATACAAGTTCACATGCTTTTAACCTAACCAGATAACATTCAGTTTCATTTTTAAAATGGTTAAATTAATACAAATACATTATGAATCAAATGACAAATACTTTATATTTAGCAATGAGTTTCAATTTGTAAAGGTTCCAAACTTATATAGTCTGCTAGGGCTAACAATCAGAATATCTGTACAAAAGAATGGAAGAACGAAATTTTATAAACTTAACCTCAAATTTCTGGACAATGGAGAATATTTTGCCCTGTCTTTGCCTTCACAAAAATGTATTCCAAAGCTTCCTAGAAAGTAACCTGTTCCGATATTTTTCAATGTAGACCTAAGCATGCAAGTTTAAACCTATCGTTCACAATACACTGCCATTTAATGTAGCATATTGTCAACCTACAGTTTAATTTAATACTCCTTTGAAAATCTACGTTCCATTGCATAAAATCACTGTCACAATAATAGTTCCTCAATGTCAAATTGCAGTTTACTGGAATAATTAGTCCTTTTTTTCCATTGATTTTTCCAATAAAGTCATATCCCTGTGATTTTTCATACCATTTGAAATGTAAACAAAAGAATCATGGGTAGAAATGCCTTCCGATCACCTAGTACATGTGGAAAGCTGCCATATAACACATTGGAGACATTTAAATACATATTAGGCAAGTACGGCAGAACTTTAAATATAGATCAACTTGAATGGTATTTAGTTCAACTTTGCACTAATGTCCATAAAAAAATACTTTAGTCTCGGTTAGAGGACATGTATATCCAAAGGTGTAATGTACACTGTCTGTTATTAAGAAGTTAAATACATAACAAATACGACATTGATATATTTAGTTGAGAAAAAAAACAACAAACAAACAAAAAACCCTCACAAACAAACAATTAATATGATAGCATATTTAGTTAAACTGAAAGCAAAAGAAAAAGTCAATAAACATTGCAAGCTTTTACTAGATTCAAGGCAGATGGTCCAAAAAATTTATAGATTGTTGTTTTTCTTAAAATAATTATTCCATTTAAAGCAGATCATTCAACAATATGATATGTTCAAAGAGAACTTTAGCCCTTAATATGTTCTCTCCTCCTATCTAGAAAGTTGAATTACTAGTATCAAATATATTAATTGAGAATACTTTCTAAGCAGAATTTAGACATATATTCAAATTTATGGGAATAATGAAATTTAAATCAACTTGCAACAAATAGTATGTACACTAGAAATGGAGCTCTGGATTATCGTGCTACATAAGCTTAGTACAGTAAATGCTCAGACCCACAGCTTTATAATGACTTGATACCGCTTTGAATTATTATACAATACATGTATGAAAATACAAGTTTTTTGAGTTAGGGGGAGGGGGAAAATTAAATTTCTGACAACTGTAAATTGATTTTAACCTGAACTATCTCAAGAAGTCAAAAGACATTAAATACCAGAACATGAGACAGTTTGGCCATATATGGCCAAAATTTTACAATGAACAACAAGGAACTTAATTATATAAAAAAGAATGCAAATTATTCAAAAACATTTGTATATCTACATTTTATACATTCAAATTCAAAGACAACTGTCATGAAGTCAGTGTAAGTTTCAGTTGTTTTTTTATGTTTTCCTTTCTCAAGTTTAAACAGACCTGTAACCAAAACTTGCTGACCTTGCACTTTTTCATTGAAAACATGAAACACAAAAACTGTGCAAACTTAATGACAGCCAAGTAATTAAATCAAAAAAAAGACATTAAATTCATTCCTACATATTATTATATAAATATGGTATTAAATGTAACAGTCCCGCATTTTTTACATTCCTCGGGTCGTCTACATTACTACATACCACAAGATCAAAGAAGCATTCACTATATGATACATAAATAAGTAAAGGTTTTATCATTTATCATAGATGCACAAGAATTTGTAGATAAACCAGCCGCACAGAGATATCTGATGCTAGGTACATCACCAAATATTTATAACTTTTTTTCCATAGAATAAAATTTTTGCAATAATTTAGAGTTTTCTTGCAATTGTATAAAGTAAGACTGTTTTTGATTGGTGAATATTACTGTAAAGAAATTTTCCTATTGGATTACATTTAATGATGAGTGTGTGTTTCCTTCTTGTTTCTTTTTCTGGCAACATAACTTCTTTTAAAACATTTGAATACCATTCAGAACCCACTTTAAGTATAGTATACATTTTGTTTTATACCTCTAGCAAAGTATCTGGTAACTCTTGCTTTGTCATTTGTGAAAAAAAAATTATATATTTTCATCAAGAAAGTAGAAAAAATATCACTATTTTCATAATATAAAAGAGCAAAGTTCCATGTTTACATTATTAGAGTTATTTGCCTAAATCAACTTCATTCATACACACACAAGACACTTGCCAGATGCCATATGTCAGCAACATCCAGTGTATACAGTTATACCAAACAGTGAAATTCAAACTAACATCTGGGTCAATAGGTCATAGACTGGGACACAGAGTCTGACCTGATTGACCTACATCTATGACCACATCTAAACCTGTACAGATCTCACTAAAATGTACTACTTGTCTGGACATAACAGTAAATAATTAGAACTCCAGGAGAGAGAAAACAGACCTGTATCAACAATATGACATACAACACCAGATGTTTGAAGAAACTAACATGAATGATCTATGTTTGTTGATGCAGTAACCTTCCTGATTTGTGAATTGCCCACTTTCAAAAGTCCAGATTTTAAAACAAGCTAAATACTAAAATTGCACTGCCAACACAACAGTGTCACAATGTAAGATACCATGGTTGGCGCTGCACTGTTTTGTAGTGTAGGATAGGTATGTTTCACTAAACGTGTGCCCAACAGCTATATCTAACATTACACGTCCATCTTTATTTTTCAATTAAAATCATTGCAAACATTCCAAAGATAATAAAATATCACCACAGTGATCATCATTAATATATTATACTGTTAAAAAGATGTTTATCTGGCCATCTTGCTTTCTGTCCGCCTATTTACACTGACACAATTTGCCGTAGGGACTGTCACTGCATACCTGTCTTGCCTGAACATTCCATTTCCTACTTCAGTCCATTGAAGGCCCTAGTCAAACAGTTAAAGCACATGTTCAAATTCTGCAGAACATATGGCCCAGTTGTTTCAATAAGTTGAAAGTGACCTTGTTCTTTAGTTTGACTAAACTCCCTAATTTCTTTAACAAGGCAGAAAAATTTCTTTTTTATGACAGATTTCTTTAAACTTTTCAATTCATTCTTGGAAAAAAGGATTTTGAATTATAAGAAAAAAGTTTTTTTCCTGAATAACATGTTTCCTAGAAACAAGACAAAGTAATAGGATTATAATCATCATTACATAGGGAAGAAATAAACGTGTAACGATTGTCAATTCACAGCCTTGACAATTGTTAAAATGTCCTTATATACTGCAATTAAATCTTTAAATTAAACAATTCAACAGATGAGATATCTTCATTTAGCGGAACAGGGACATGAAATGTTACGAATCTCAAACCAAAGACTTATCAATTATAATCATTCTACAATAACTTATTTTATTTTTATTATTTTGTAAAAATACGTAAAAATTACACATTAACTTCTCAAACTTTTAAAAATTAACATCTATTAGATTATATACACAATTATATCAATATGTAATAGCTAATAAAAGCATCCAAAGATTTTTGCGACACATACAATTTATAAATGATGTTCACAGACATTTACCAACATTATAAAAGTACGATATTTCATAAGGGGATGAAGATATTGCATCTATCATTCTATGGGTCTTTTGTTTAATAACAGCTTGTTTATATATAAGCATGATAGTATTGTCAACTATTACAAAGAACAACATTGTAAACTTGACAAATCTATATGACTAATACATCCTTGTGCCAGTAGAAAATAGCACCTTATTGTATAGCCATTTCTTTGTGCCATTTGTTGTTTCTGGGCGTTATACACACACATTTTTACATAGTACCATTTAAGTTATATCATTATTAATAGACAAGTGCTTTTGCCAGTTGTTCCAAAGAGCTCACTGGTTGCCCAAACTTCTTCAGATGAAACAAACATAACTAGCCAGTCAACAATGCAACCCCAACTCATCAGAAAGTGGGTCACAAACCATTTGCTTTAGAATAAAATTGGTATATGGAGTTTGGTATAACGTAAAACAATGTATGAGAGCTATTAAATAATTATTGAAATACATTACAAATTAATAAGATTGTTTTAAAAATATTTCAAAGAACGTTTCAGCGTTTGATACAATAACCTGTATGTAGAGAATTTAGAATAGTACCTTGTGGATCGGACTGCAGATGGAGGCCGCACATGGAGTGTACCAGTGCCTCACACTTCTGCCTATCAACCGGGTAACCTTGAGTTTGATACACCAGGGAAGCAGGATGGAGCATCGACTATATTCCGCAAAAATAATAGCTACAATACAGCACTAGTCCTCATGTGTGTTAAATGTTAACTTTGCTGACTGGTAAGTGTTAAAATCCAAAAGTGTAAAGTCCATTCAAACGTTTTGTGAATAGTTGCAAAGTTAAAATATCCAGTCACTTTTTTTTTTAAATCACTAAATTCACTGCAAACAAAACAAAGATCTCAAAATAAATCAACATAAATCCTTCATCCAAGCAACAATGTAAAGCTTTTACAGAAATATCAAACGATATACTAAAATTCAAACCATAACAGGAAGTTCAGATTTTGACAAGTATGTACATGTACTTAAACATGAATGAAACTGTCAAATTCTATAAATAGTTCAAATGAATCTCCCACCTTGGTGATAATGCAGACATTAACAGCCTTTTAACATCCAAAAAAGCACTTAAAGTATGTGATGAACATATATTTGACAAGTAATCAATAATGAATGTTTATTTAACCCATGGTCATCAAGAATTAATGACCTTTACATCAACTAATTAACCCATCTGTCCTGGCTTGCACAGGTTTAAGATTTGAACTATCCTAAACAATGGTGTACATTAAAGTTGTGAATGAAAAGTTCTAAATAAACTGTTGTTTTCACACCCTAGTATATCACAAAAACACCAGTAAATCCAACTTTACACAAACAATCAATAATTGTCAAGAAAACAATGAATATGTCAAACCTCAATAAGTAATATAGTCAGCCATGCTTGAATATTCTCCAGCTGTGTTTTGGTCACATGACCAGTTCATTATCATATGCTTCAGGCATATTATTCTCATTGAACCAAAGCTTAACCAATCAGAACACAGTATTCCCATCTTAATCTAGCTGTTGCTGTGCAGCACGTCTATTAATAGAACAGTAGAGCGTAAAAACCAGGTCATGTGACTGAAAATGTAAAAGTTGTGGCCAGTATGCTTGTATGTATTATCTTATGATCAAATAGCCACTGGGGTTTTAAAGGTCACGGTTCAATGGGTCATAAGAGGGACAAATGATGACCACACCAAGGTAATCTGATAAAACTGTATCTACCTGTGTAGTTTAAAACAGGTAAAGTACAGTTAGTTGACATACTTGGAAGCCATTCATGACTACATAATTTACAGTAGTGTATACAAGTTTTTCAGCAAATCTGTTTTACTCTAATTAAGTTATGATAACAGAGTGGATAGGTTATTGATTGAATAGATTATGTAATGTCTGAAATGTGATAATTATCAGTTATTATCGAAGTTTATAATCAGATTGCTATGGACTTTATCACATGATACAAACTATCAAGCGGCTCGCCAGTTTATAATTATGAAAATAACGAGTCTTAATTGATACTTCAAAAATATTTAATAAGAGATTACTTCAAAAATTATCGTCAAAATTAACATGTACATTTTCTGTAAAGATGACAAATGGAGTACAAGCAGACGCTGAAAGTTTGATCGAATATTTGTCATTCTTTACATACTTACTGTCATCTAACAAGATGTTTATACACCTGACAAGTCTGACCGAAAAATATTATAATATTATGTAAATGTCATTTTTCATATGGACTCAGTTTATTTTCAGACATGAGGATATTTTTAGACATCCATATCCGAGAAAACCAGCCCACACATCTGATGCTTCTGTAGGAGCTGGGGTAATAATGGCTTTTCACATAAAATGTCTCTCAATCAGTCGATATTTGAGTCAAGTTACAACATTAGCTTTTCTCCCACACACTTTAAACATACTTTTAACTCACAACTCCACTGGAACAGATGAATGTAATTATGCCTCCAGAAGAATGCAAATATATAAATAGAATGCAATTTTATAAACAGCTTTTGATTTAGATTTATACTGCAATGTTGTAAGTATTGAGTTTAATTAGAGAGCATACTCAATGGAACAGTTGCCAGTATAATTACTCAACAAATTTTTAAAAAAATCTACTGCTTCAACACATTTTTAGTTATGAATAATTTTATTTTTATTCCTCTTCCCCCAATTCTACATTGTTCTCTTTCTCCTCATATAACTAACAACTTCTCCACAAAGGTAACAAATGCTAATCAAACCTTGCAGAGAAACCAACATATTTAATGCTTTAAATCACATCAAATGAACTTGCCAATTGATGCTCAATTCGGTCGAAACCATTCATCACTTTTTGAGAAATTTTCAAATACCAGTATATGTATGGACTATATATCATAATCAGATGACATAGATGTACTGGCTGATCTTAATCTGTACTGGTTGCATGGGTAGATTTAGTCAGCCAGAGGTAAATTATTATTTTACTATATTTATTTATTTTTTAATTATCATTCATTTACAAATGTTATTATTGCTAAAGGTCAATATTTAAAGACTTATAAATAAGAAACTCTTTTAAAGCATATATCAATTCAATAAGTACTCATCATTGTAGATGTAGGGGGGCAATAAATGAATCAGCTGTCATCATCACTCTATTATAAGCACCAAATTTTGCTTTGGCATTTAAAGTTAAACATGAAGAAAGGGCATTTTAACCTTTGTACATTATACACAAGGATGAAATATCAATTTTTCTTAACTGTATCAAAAAGTGTTCAGGTAATCCATAATGAGAGGTGGATTGGGGGGGGGGGGGGGGGTGTAGACAGAGACCCCCCCCCTTCATTGCTACAAACAGAACTTTTCTGGGAAATAAACTTAAGTTAGCATAGTACAACTTGTTTACAGAGAATGCACTTTTAACATTAATAAATATGCTACTGCGTAGAACGATTTTTGTTTCAGACATAACAAATTCTCATCCCATGACTTGAATTATAGAGATACAACCATGATATCATCAGACACTTTTAATTACAGTTCATCCATACTCCATCTCTATTGGTCTCCTTCATAATATGATATTTCTATTTACTTCTTTCTAGCATCAGAGGCGTAAAAAGACATGTAGAAAGGAGGTGAAAGTAATATAAGGCAAATTTCTTTTATTAGGCTAAATATATATACAGTGCTTTTTCTCATTTAATCGAAAGAGGCCTTCCGCACTTAGCCTCTTGATTTTGGGATGAATTATCACTAATATTGCTAATCTGTGAGGAAAAAGAAACTAGAGCAAGTTCAGATTTTTAGGAAAATTGCATTTTAAATAAAATTTCCATATGCAAATTATATCAAACACTTCCGAAATGCATACTCACTCAAAATCTGTTAGGGTACACTGTATCTATGCTTACTTCAAACTACTCGATATATATCTTGACTGTGCTCTAATTGCACTTATTTCATTTAAACTATCAATATAAAATGCAATGTCTGTGACTTAAAGTTACTTATAAGTTAACATGAGACATTTTGTCTAGACTAGAGTTAAATTAGTCACACGGAGACACCTCTATATTGATACATTTAGATAGATACAAATTAAATACAACTTGTAAATTTACCTATATACTAGACATTTAAAATCTGCAAAGTTATGTGTAATGACATTCTCCTTTAGAAAATAAGATGATTTAAAATAACCCTGATTAGTTTTTGAAAACAACTTTTTTTAAATGAATAATCATCTGTTTCTAGGAACACTGCATACTTAATGCAACCAACAATTATACATTTTGGTCAGACTGTAAGAATAAATAGGCTCGCTAGCATGTTGTTATCATCTTGACCCTTCTATGAGATAACACCCACAATTTACGTCCATTATTATCTTTTATATAATATCATGTTATATAGGACCACAGACATCACTGCAGAACAGGACTTGTGCAGTTTATTATTACACTGCCATTAGCTTTTATAACAGTTTTAGAGTTAATATCATTTATAACACAAATGATGCTTTTTACCCCCATCCCACCCCCTCAAATCACCTTCAGTTACCATATGCAAGATAAACTAGTTATACCCAGATCCAAACATAATCGTTCTAATGCTGGTCTTTTATTTGGTCATAACAACTGTGATAAGGTCATTTCAGGCTTACCAGACGGACGAAGATGGTCATATAACTATAAATTTGCTTACAATTTCGGTAAGTGGCTTCAAAGTCTGGACATTTTCTTCCAGTAAATCATCTACGAGCCACAGACCAATACATCTATATCAGTTAAACACAGCTATTTGCTTGACAAAAAAATCAATCAGTCTAGACCTACAACAGTAACTTAATAAATTTTCTCCGTTTACTTTCCGACTTCTTGTCGTATCTCTAATAACTCGGCAATTTTCTAGCCATATGAGATGAGATGCTCACAGCTAAGTTTACCGCTACTTTTCATTAAGACCATTTCTTGCTGTTTAGCCTAAAAGTTTCCGACTTTGCTTCAACCTTTAAAAGCCTACATTTTTTAAAATGACATATAAAAAATCTTATTAGCCCTTGCTAGCACTAAAACAACATAGCCAGCCCACTAAAACATTTTAAAACTAGGAAATTATTCTAGTTTGGTAAAAAAAAAATGTGAAATTTTCACACGACATTCCTGCATTTAATCTCCCACTTTCATTAACAGATCCTTTCTACAGGCTCTGGGGAATGATTATTGCACACAGGATGATGTCATCCAGCTATTCGGAACAGTTCATTCATAAAACTCTGGTACAATAACCCAGAATATTTTACCATCTCTGTTATTATTACATCCTTAAACCAACTGTCAAACAATTTGTTTCTCCAATTATTCCATAGAGGTCCATATAGCTTTTTATGACCCCATTTGTTTCAGACCTGGTTATGTATGCTTTGTTGTTCTTTTGTCAATGTTTCCAGACAGTCAGAAAATAGTCATTTAACCTAAATACTTGAATACAACCATTTCTCACCAAATTATCTCCCTTTTCAACATGCACAAAGCTAGTTTTGCCACCTACTATTAGTACTGATAGTAAAACCATATTCATTTTGATTTTATTCAAGTCACTGCCTAAAGAACATTATGTTGGAATTAAGATATGAGAATCAGTGACAGAATAATTACAGATATTTTACAATCGCCACTGCCTATCAAATTTTTCTTATTCCTGAAGTCAAACATGTCATCGTGGGAAGAATAATCATTAATGTATAAAGAATACTCCTATACTTGCAAAAAATATAACTCAAAATACACAGTCAAGGTCATAATGTCCACATCTCATTTTATTTTAAAACAAGAGCTCCCCCTAGACTACTCTCAATGTTTGATGGTTAAAAAAGAACTTACCAAGACTACACTCAATGTTTGATGGTTAAAAAAGAACTCACCCTAGACTACTCTCAATGCTTGATGTTAAACAAGAACTCACCCAGACTACTCTCAATGTCTGATGGTTAAACAAGATCTCACCCCAGACTACTCTCAATGTTTGATGGTTAAACAGGAACTCACCCCAGACTACTCTCAATGTTTGATGGTTAAACAAGAACTCACCCCAGACTACTCTCAATGTTTGATGGATAAACAAGATCTCACCCCAGACTACTCTCAATGTTTGATGGTTAAAGAAGAACTCACCCCAGACTACTCTCAATGTTTGATGGTTAAACAAGATCTCACCTCAGACTACTCTCAATGTTTGATGGTTAAACAAGATCTCACCCCAGACAACTCTCAATGTTTGATGGTTAAACAAGATCTCACCCCAGACTACTCTCAATGTTTGATGTTAAACAAGAACTCACCCCAGACTACTCTCAATGTTTAATGGTTAAACAAAAACTCATCCCAGACTAATCTCAATGTTTTATGGCTAAACAAGATCTCATCCCAGACTACTCTCAATGTTTGATGGTTAAACAAGAACTCACCATAGACTACTCTCAATGCTAGATGTTAAACAACTACTCTCAATGCTTGATGTTAAACAAGAACTCGCCCAAGACTACTCTCAATGTTTAATGGTTAAACAAAAACTCATCCCAGACTAATCTCAATGTTTTATGGCTAAACAAGATCTCATCCCAGACTACTCTCAATGTTTGATGGTTAACAAGAACTCACCATAGACTACTCTCAATGCTAGATGTTAAACAACTACTCTCAATGCTTGATGTTAAACAAGAACTCACTGTAGACTACTCTCAATGTTTGATGGTTAAACAAGAACTCACCCTATACTACTCTCAATGTTTGATGGTTAAACAAGAACTCACCCTAGACTACTCTCAGTGTCTTGATGTTAAACAAGAACTCACCATAGACTACTCTCAATGCTTTGATGTTAAACAAGAACTCACCCCAGAGTACTCTCAATGTTTGATGTTAAACAAGAACTCACCCAGACTACTCTCAATGTTTGATGGTTAAACAAAAACTCATCCCAGACTAATCTCAATGTTTTATGGTTAAACAAGATCTCACCCCAGACTACTCTCAATGTTTGATGGTTAAACAAGAACTCACCATAGACTACTCTCAATGCTTGATGTTAAACAACTACTCTCAATGCTTGATGTTAAACAAGAACTCGCCCAAGACTACTCTCAATGCTTGATGTTAAACAACAACTCACCCCAGACTACTCTCAATGTTTTGATGGTTAAACAAAAAATCTCATCCCAGACTACTCTCAATGTTTGATGGTTAAACAAAAAACTCATCCCAGACTACTCTCAATGTTTGATGGTTAAACAAGAACTCACCCCCAGACTACTCTCAATGTTTGATGTTAAACAAACTACTCTCAATGCTTGATGTTAAACAAGAACTCACCCAAGACTACTCTCAATGCTTGATGTTAAACAACAACTCACCCCAGACTACTCTCAATGTTTGATGGTTAAACAAAAACTCATCCCAGACTACTCTCAATGTTTGATGGTTAAACAAAAACTCATCCCAGACTACTCTCAATGTTTGATGGTTAAACAAGAACTCACCCCAGACTACTCTCAATGTTTGATGTTAAACAACTACTCTCAATGCTTGATGTTAAACAAGAACTCACCCAAGACTACTCTCAATGCTTGATGTTAAACAACAACTCACCCCAGACTACTCTCAATGTTTGATGGTTAAACAAGAACTCACCCCAGACTACTCTCAATGCTTGATGTTAAACAAGAACTCACCATAGACTACTCTCAATGCTTGATGTTAAACAAGAACTCACCCCAGACTACTCTCAATGCTTGATGTTAAACAAGAACTCACCATAGACTCAGTGTCTATTCTAGGATTTGAAAAACAGGGGGGATTTTTATCGAAAAATGAGAATTTTGTTACATCTGTTGATTTTTTTCCTTCTTTCTCTATGTAAAATTTCCCCCCTGCCTCTGAAAAACTAGGGGGGAATTCTCAAAAATAGGAGTGAATCCCCCTATCCCCCCTCCTAGAATAGACACTGTAGACTACCCATGAATATATATCATTAAAGGGGAATAACTGTGCTTGATTTAAGGGTCTTGGTCATTGACCTAAATATTCACCTAGATAAAGGTTATGACCTTGAAGACACACATTTAGTTTTAAATGAATAGCTAGAGTAGTGTTAGAGATCGTGGAATAATCATGTAAAAGTATGTGCGAGTTATGGGTCTTTAATACAATTTGTCTAAACAAGAGTCATATAAAAATTATATTACACACAAAAAACATTTATAAATACAACTGTATATTTTTACTTCCCTTGGCAGGCAGTCACCAAAAATGATTCAACAGTACACAAACTGTTTTTCATTCAAAAAGTCACATATTTAATAACAGGAAGAGTTAAAACATCAAAAAATAACCTGAATTTAGAAAACAGAGTCTGATTTTGTTGGCTGAATTTTCACAAAATTTGTAATGTTAAAACATCAGCATACCGTGCTGTTTTTACCTGATGACAGATAACAGATATTTATACATCTATACATACTTTTTTGTATACTTAACAGATGTAACATTGATAGACAACAGAAAATGCAGCATCACATTCATGATACTCTAATAACTTGAATTCTTCTCATACTTACACTGATATCAGATAGTACAGAACAGTCATATAATTCAATATTATTGGCTGAAGGCTTTCTTGTCACGAAAACAAGAAAACAACATTTTCAGCAAATAGTGGTCATATGATTTCATTTTTTTCTTCATAAAAATACGGAGAGATTTCAACATTTTGTTAAATGAGTATTAATTTCTCCTCTTCAGGTTCAAGTAATGCCTGCATTTCCCCTTTCAAGAGGGAGAAAGATGATGATGAAAATAACAAAGTTTTAACATTCAAAATACTGACCCACTGCAGTTGGTTCATTTTGGTGCCAAACTGAGGGGGATATAATTATGTCTCCCTAACAGTGAATGGGAAATAATAAAAAAGTTGTGCCATCTATTCCTTATCAGTAGTGTAGCCCATTTGACAATAGACCTTCCAAGAATCATCACTTTTAAATTCTTAAGTGGGGGTGTGTCTAATGATGTGGGTGTGTCAACAGAAAGAATAACCCTGCAGAACATACAGACACCATAAAACTAATGTCCTTTATTTCTATTCAATATTCAGACAATGCTGGCCGAGACAAATACATCTTCTTTACAACCTATTGGGCAGAATATGAAATGTCAGTCTTGTAAATATGGTAAAGGTCAGTATTCTATTACCTGATATTTTTTCATAAATATTTCTTTCTTACTTATAGAATGCTTAAATCAAGCCGAAGTAACTTAAGTTTTCCTTAAAAAATCTCTTACAGTACATAAGTTTTTTTGATGAATCTGCTAAAAAAAAATATAAATACAAAAAAAAAATATATATATATATAAATCTACAACATCTGGTCATTATTACCTGCTGTTGGCCAGGGCTGGCCACACTTCATTACAAACCATAAATAACTGGCCTAATCACCAGACATATCTTAATCTGTTATGACCTCATATCCCTTAGGTGAACATATAACATAACTGTTTTCTTGATGAGTTTATGAGTTGCACAACACACATAGCCTTGATTCATTCATACACCTAATGAATTATTATAGTTACTAATCAACAAAAGCTGGTCAGACAAACTAGCAATAAATTGTTGACCTGTCATAGAAGCCAACATAGAGAAAATTGCTCTAAAATTGTATACAATAACCTGTGATTATGTCCATGAACACCAGTATGAATTAAATATACCTACAAAAAAAACACACATTCCCATATATGTCTGAAATACTTCTAAAAATTGTGCTGAACCCAACAATACAAACAAAATGCAAAAATTTATGCACAACTTGATTGTACTAAAAAAAATTCTTTGGTCTTTCTGACCGGTGCTTCAAATACATAGACAGTGGCTTCTATTTACCAGTACCATCAATGAACAGACTCAATCAAACAAAGTCCCAACATTTTCAATTGTGCTGTTTTGGAATTTTTTTAGGAGTTTCCATTTTTTTCAACACTAAGCATGACTCCAGCAAGTGTTAATATGGAGAAGTAAAATGTATTATTATACCGGTAAGACATAAATGAATTTTTAACTCCTCCAGTCCAAAGTGGTCTAGACATCAAGGAAGAACAAGATTAACAGAGGAAGTTAAACAAAGATAGGCCAACCTGCCATACAATACATATACACAACAGCCTCACAAGATAAATGGTATGTTAAATTATACATTAACTGCTCTGCTACATATAACAAATATAAAGCAAAATGCCAAATTCTCAACATAAATATATGTTATTTTCTTAAATATATATACATGTACGTTAGAGGTGTCATTGATAAGGATTTTTGTATCGATATATCGGTAATGAATTATCGGCGATACAGCGATATATCGATTGCCAGGCTAAATTTTAGCTTTCAAGTCTTTTAAAAGTTTCCTAAGGACACTCACAAAGCAGTTATATTAAGACAAATGCAAAAAAGATAAACTATGAAAACTGAACAATTTGTTTCTTTTTTTATCATATAGCTATAAATGAAAACTAATGACTAGTAACTATGAAGTTTAAAGCCTTTTCCATTTTACTTTAGTTGTTGTTGTTGCTATTACGTAGTTACTGATCATGCTAAATCCCATTCTTGCCGTTTCAATTAAGACGGGTTTAATTGGCAAATTATAGTGCTTAGAACCTGAATAATTATTAACGTTTAACATTTTGTTATCATAATTTTTACAAAGAAACACTGACAAATTTGTCTTGGCATTTTCCGTATTGAGGGGTCTTGACATCCACTTAGCAGACGTGCGAGATTACAACGAAATTAGTAGTATTCGTTAGAGACACTGGGAGGTAACTTTGGCATTGATTTCCGTTTTCATTATAGAAAGAAAAAATGTTTCTGGATATGCCGCTTTTATTTTGACGTTTTGCGACAGTAAATATGTCTATCTGTACTATAAAACCTGTTCGCTGAAGTCTCTTCAGCTAGAAATATATGTGCATTCGATATCCGATATTTAAAAAATGGAATCGATATCGAATCGGATAACAAAGATCGTTGATACACCGATATCGATTGAATCGATGACACCCCTAATGTACGTAACATATATAGGTATACTAACGTTTCAGCTTCATGGTCTGCTTATAAGCCTCCTGTTCATGTTTAAGCCACAGAGTGCGATCCCCAATAGGGAGAGGGTCCTTGACACCACCTGTACCAGAGGTATCCATGTCAACCATCTCGTTGCTAGGCAACTGCCCACCGCTCACCATTGGTGGGCTGCATTAATTTCTACACAGATCGTAATATATTGACCTTGACCTTGATGGCAAGTCTTACTTCCTATTAAGATTTTAATCCAATTTACGTTAGTTTCACTTTAAAGTATAAATTTAGATGATCTTATCCTATAATATCCATAGAAAATACACTGCTAGCTTATTAAATTTCCTAAAATTATTTCATTTCAGTTACACAAACCACAAGGTAATTTCCTCCTTGTTTAAAAACAAACACAGAGAAACTATACATTTATGATAACATATTTAAATTCACACAAAACAGAAATATTTTGAATTTCCTGTATGATTCATCCAATTTAACTATCAAGTTATTTCCTGTCTTTTCTAAACAGAGATTCCTAACACCAGACATCTACGAAGTCTCCCAAAAACTTATCAAATTTGATGATACATCTTGAACCTCCAGACTTAGAAGTCCAAAGATATTACGTAATTTATCCATATGGTGATTAGCATCCAATAATTCACATTTTAGCTTCAAGTATTTATTTCTTGTAACTACAAAAACTACAATTCTTACTCAACAAATTACTAACTTAATCCATGAGGTAAGAAAGTGTCTACTTTTTGTGGTTTATTATTGTTTTTCACAAGCTGGAAGGAATGTGCGCTGTTGGTTATTTCTTAAACTATAAAGTACATTTATTGACGCAGCCTCATTTGAACTCTTTGACCCCAGTCAGCTGATTTGTCTCCCATCAGCCGAAATGTCTGCCAGATCAACAAACTTTATTCTTCTAGTTTCAGACAATACATCCACACAAAAACTTCACCTGATAAATTCCATACAGTCTCTAAAGGTTGAAAGTTAAGAATTTCTGTATCCGAGACGTATTTTCGTTTTCAGAATAGAAAAGCTGCATATCAACAAACCAAGAAGCAGACTGGGTGATCTTAATTTAGAATAAATTTACAGCACAGTATACATAGAATCAGTCATAGGTCTTATTGATAAAGACCTTACAGGAAGCATCATAATATTTACATAATCATGACTTTCGATCATGACACACTGTCTTATTCATTGACCCGATTTGACATTAAACCACTCCTTTTTCGTCTCTCATTCAACAAACAGAGGCTTGTAAATAACACAAACACAATTATCCTAACATCATACAATGAATGTAGAGTACAAACATCTGCCTCCGTTATGAATAATTTAATCCAATTCAGAATGAATTTACACAAATGAAGTCAATTAGTCTAGTATATCTTGAACACGAATATTTCATCCAACACACAGCTTTCAAGTTGTGTATGACCCCTGACTATCCAAAATGTCACTGAACACCAATTGATGAAAAAAACAAGACCTTAACTTTCTATAATTATCATATAAGTCGTGATACTTTCTTGCCAGTTATAGACACAATTGAGTAATATTTTTCTCCCACGTGTAACAGTTTATCTTCGGACAACATTATTATACTGGGACCATCATTTATCCTTATTTTAAACCACAGATACTTCGCACTAACTTAATTCAAAACTACACTACCACTCTAGACAGATAACATCCCTCAGGGGGAAATTCTTTCACTGTATGACAATCCAGTAACACCTATGTGTCACTTTCATCCACATATTCAGTTTGAAAGGTATATATGTCATTTTTCACCTGTATACGGTAGGTAAAAGTGAGTTTTATCCACATGTGTTCAGCCAGCTGTGAGATCACATGAATGACAACTTTTCTACCAAAAACCATACAACACTGAACATGATTGTTAAACAAGACACTTATCAATAGTCCGGATAAACGATTTCAATTTACAATCAAAACAGAATCTTATCTGTATCGCCAGCAACATGTAGTCACACTTTTCCAACAAGCACAATCATGAGACGTATACCTTATAAACAAATCCACTGTACATGCTCACTGTATGCATAAAACACTTCTGTTCTCAGATAAAGAAATTATTTGCACATTCAAAGACATGTATCATGCTATTTATAAATACATTCGATTGTGATCACGGAAAGAATGCAGTGTCAATTTCACCCCAGGAGCAAAAGAATGTAACTCAATTTGTTTGACTAGAGTAACTTTATCAATATCCAACATCTGAAGTGTACTATATAGGAAAAAGGTACTTAACAGTTAAGCAAGCGTGAAATGCAGCCTACTGTTAAAAAGAAGATAATAGCATGATTTCATAACTAGCTTGACAACTAGACATCTCAGACTCCATAATTGGTCCAATAATTATGACCCTAAGGTCATGCATCATTCACCAGCCAATCAAATGCCTTGTAACAAACTTGCAGCAGACTATCTGTCTAGTCATATGTAATGATGAGCAGCAGTAAGTAAAGAAAATCTAGGTCATATCCAGGAGGCTGGGAAAGAGGATGCAGCTAAGCAACGAATTCATAAAAAATCAGTCAGCAATTACTTCCCTTGAATTACTTGCAGAATAGGCTCATAGGAAGGTTCACACTGTGCATTATTTAATCCAATTTAACCTTTTTGACCATCAAATCATTGTAAGACATCTTTTTAACACAAAATTAATTTTTAAAATTTTCTTTTTATATAGTTAGCTGAATCAATTAAAAAATGGAACTGTAGCATTTTTTAAAATGGTACAAATAATCAAATTTACAAAAATTATAAAGTCAGAAGATTCTCTCCCTTTTATCACAAAAAGTGATTTATGTAGTCACCTCCCTTGCTTAATATGAAATAAATTAGCCTTCAAGACAGTTTAGTTTTTTATTTACTTTAAGGGGAATGGTTGCAGGTTCCATGAAGAGGGGAAAATTGTGTTGTGAAAGGGAAAAATAAAAAAAGTAAGTTTATAGAAACAAATAAAATAGCCCATTTTTTGTCAAATTGTGATACATTATCATTTTTTAAATGTTCTACAATGTCTTAATATAATGACAAAAAGGACAATTTTTATTTTTTCTAATTACTAAAGGAGGAGAATTTTTTTCAGAAATAGGGAAAAATATGTTAATTTTTGGGGGTGGAATGGGGTCAAAATTCAGCCCAAAATTGGCCGTTGAAAATCTCTGTAGGACTATCATCTATAATTGCATCAATGCACATAATCATGATTCCAAGTTTGATTCCAAATTAAAGCAGTTCAAAGTGTTTTTACCAATTTTATTTTTATATGACACCAGTAAAGACTCTGAAGTTACAAAACAACAGTAAACACCAAATTACATGAAAAGATCCAAAGGTTGGTGTTGTTATTACTCAAAGAAACTCTTTATTATCCATCTTTAATTGAAATATGCAATCATTAAGCAAACACGGTGCAATAATTTAAAATCCTTCACCTGCTGCAAACACTGTATACTGTCTGCAGTGTCTTAATACTAAATCATTTAAATTGCCCTTTAACTAATTGCCTTCTTGTCAATAGTTTACATATTTCGACCCACAGAGATGGGTGAGGTGTACCCATTACTAAAACATTGAAGAGAACAGAAAATGAAGTGGTCCAGGAACACGTTTGTGACAGAACACATATGAATGGAAAACCACAGAATAATTTGTAATAAAGATCATTTATTATAACTAGAGAAATAAAAAAAACTTTTACTTGTAATAAGCAATTCACAGACAAGTATAATATTAGTAATTACTGTTAAATAAATACATACACAAAATTGTTCAAAAACTATGGTTTCAGCAATTCTTCTAAGGCTTTAGCCTCTTGATTTAGGGGGAAATTATTACTGAAATATTGCTTCTTTGAGAAGTAAAAAGCTGACCAGTTTAGATTTTGGGGAAAACTTAAACTGCATATCTTAAGAAAGTTTCAATTGGGAAGAGGACTTTCATGGGACTCTGTTATATTAGATGAAACATAAATAGGTTTCTAACTGACATGACTTTTAAAATAGTTAGAAAATAAGTATGTAAATGGATGAATAATCGTAGCAGGGACTTGAGATTTATCAAACACTTGTAAAAGCCATCAATGACTGTAGGAAACCTTGCAAGTTCAAAGTTCTATGCTCTCTCCTAACACATTTGACCTAACTGGCCCAGTGGATACAGACGTTCCCTTTTTTAACAAATCTAAGAGCAAAATATTTCCAAACTCTGGAGCAGTAGTTGGGTTCAATTATCTGGTTCTCCCACTATAATAGGTATGGGGTGGGGTAATCCACACAACAAATTTCCAAGTTGCCAATGTATCTCCTTGTGGGTTAACTTGATCATAATTGGCAGTGCTTAATTTCTACACAAGAAAACTGAAACATGAAATTTTATGGTCAAAACAGACCTACAGTAGATAGAGTAGCCTCAGTAAGATTTTAAAAATACAGGTCAGAACTTAGCATGGACTCAATTTCAAATTATTGAGGTGCTTTGCTTATTCATTCATTGTTCATGCAAATGTTTATAAATAATAGGGTGATTAAATAGCATTTTGTGTAGTTGCATACAGTATTTAATCTAAAATGAAATTGTTATACTTAAAATCGTTCGTTTTGTTGACGACTGGATTTTTGAGAAACATGTGACGAGCTGTCAAAATTTGTAAACAAAGATTTTAAACTGCAAAAACGCAATTTCTGTCGGTAATAATTACTTTATAACTGTAAATTTTGATTATATGCATTCGTCAACATTTTATAAAACAATAAAAAACAGCAGAAACCTTTTAAATAAGCAAAACTAGCCAATTTTGCCCCAAATTTCCCCTCGATGTACAGCAACCCCGATGGCGCGCAAAAATGTCGATTTTGAATATCGGGTCACTTCGGACGTTTTAAAAAGTTAGTTTCGACTTACCGTGTATTTGACTTCATAAATCCTTAGTAAGCATAAAAGTATTTCTTGATTCTTTATTAATTTGACAAAATATATCTTGATATTGTTGAAGTACACGTGACAGGTCGTGTTCGCTAATTTCCGTGTTCGACAAGATGGCGACGAGATTCAACCCGCCGAAGCTGTTGCTATAGTGACGTCATCAAAGGGGCACCTTGCAGGGAATGTCTAGCAGTTTAACTTTGACATTTACAACTGAGTTTTGTAAAAGACGAACAATATATTATTATTGTCAACTTTTTAATCATTATATAATTATTGAGCATTAGAGACAAAAAAGATTTGTGGTATTTTATTTTAAAAGGAATATTTTAGTTGCAGAAATTACTTTAGAATTTTACCATGTAGGTTAATAGATCGATCTACAGCAAAAATGAAATGTTTTATTTTCAAAAGCTTTGTAATTTTGATTTCCTGTTAGTTTCCAGCAAGTTACTTATTGACCATATTTATTAACCATATTTTGCTTCTTTTGAGTTTTGGCAATTAGTAAAGTTGTACATAAATCTAGTGATCATTTGTATGGAACTCAAAATTCCACTTTAAAAATGTGTTTACATTTTGATTTTATAAATAATTTCACACGCAACACTATTTTTTCAGATGATAGGCATCTCACTTGTTCTTGATCCATTTTAACAACATTACAGAATATAGATAAATTACATGTACAGTGCTCAGTTCTGTTTTTAGGGGGAGAAACATCTATACAGTCAAACACGTCACACGGTTCCATGTAACTAATTAAGTTGAAGTCACAAGACTGTGCACAATGCTTCTCTATCATATCATGTCTAGAAGATATGTGGTATACTGGTTGCTCGACTTGACATAGTCGATTTCTTTTTACCCAAAATGTTCTAAGAAAATGTTTATATATATATTTTTTATAATTTGTAAAAGTTGATTCTACCTTTGAATGTTGTCGAATGACAATACTATAGTAACGGTTCAAATAAAAAACAGGATCGCTAATAATACAACTAATAAAGCATTAATAACAAATCAGCTGAATTTTGCTCAATGATTTGTACATCTATAAAAGTATTCATACATCAAGAAGAACTAACTAGTCCACAAGATGAAATTTGAGCTGGCCCACGTACATGTCCAGGCTAATTATTAGGACACCTGGAATTTGCTAGATTGGCATGTAAAACATATTTTTAGAGATTCATTTTGAAGGAGGTCGAATTGATGAGACGAGGATAAATTAAATGACAGCAGTTTATTTGATAGTTTTGTCGATTTATCCCTATCTCGAATTGTTTTAAATATTGCGCGCCGTCAGCCTCAAACGCAATACGAAATTCAGTGCACACAGCAACTTATTAACTAAATATGTTAATTAATACACTCTCTATTTATGTTCAGCTTCTTTTTAATGTTTTACACCACACTGACAAGCTCTTCGAAAATTATTCATCCCTTTTTTAATTGTTGAATTTAACTCATTTGGAGATAGGTGCGAGTCAACCAATCATGCAATGTGAATTTGAAAATTCATACAGCTCATTTGGAGATAGGTGTGAGTCGACCAATGGCAATTTCATTCCTCTAGAGAGGTTTCATTCATAGGTGCGGGGCAACCAATGACAATTTCATTCCTTTAGAGAGGTTTCATTCATAGGTGCGGGGCATTCAATTGGAATTTCAATTCCTTTAGAGAGGTTTCGTTCATAGGTGCGGGGCAACCAATGAGAATTTCAGTTCCTCTAGAGAGGTTTCGTTCATAGGTGCGGGGCAACCAATGAGAATTTCAATTCCTTTACAATGGTTTCGTTCAGCTCATTTGGAGATAGGCACGGTCGACCAATGCGAATTTCAGTCTTTTAGAAAGGTTTCATTCAGAACATTTGGAGATAGGTGCTGGGCAACCAATGCGCATTTCAATTAATTTAGAGAGATTTCATTCAGCTCATTTGGAGAGAGTGCGAGTCGACCAATGAGAATTTCAATTACTTTAGAGAGGTTTAATTCAGCTCTTTTGGAGATAGGTACGAGTCGACCAATGCGAATTTCAATTCATTTAATGTAGCTCATTTTGAAATAGGTGCGAGTCGACCAATGCGAATTTTAATTCATTTAATGTGAGGTTTCATTCAATAAAAGGGAGAAGTTAGAACATAAGAGTTTTTGTTAATATGACTTTCTACAGGATACAGGAAATCAACCAATTATGACCGTTATATAAAGCAATATAGTGTTTTATTGTTCTTTTGTTTTGCTGATGAGCCCAGTATTTTATTTTCAATCAACAAATATTAATACAACCATTATAACAGGGTAGATGACTCACGAAGTTTTCATTAATAAAGGTGATTATCCTTGTTAAGCTGATTTGTCACATTTTTTATGGAAATAAATTTAGTTGAAATATTTGAATTTTTAAACTTGCAACACCCATTATCTTTATACGTTAATCAAGATTATGACCGTAAGGAAACGCCTAGCATTTTTTTGCTATTCAAAGAATCACTGCATGTTTTTTTTTTTAAATTTGAAATAAAGTAATTCACATAATGACTCATGGTTATTCAATATAAAATAAATATACTGGAATAATTATCATAAGACATAGCCATGTGCATGATTGTCTTTGAATAAACGTTCTTTCATCCACATTTTTACCAACACTTTTCACGATTCTATTTTGTATTACATATAACTTTAAGCCATCTTACATGTACTATATTCGGTATATTTCTTTTTTATTTTATTACTGATGCTTAAGCTACAATGTTACACCAATAATAGATATAGTTCATAATCTAGAGCGTAATTTCAATGTGACCTTAATATCATGTAACATGCTGTAGTTTATACGACTAATGAATGCGTGACTGTACACTTTCATTATACTCACTGTGTCTGTCTCAATATTTAGAAAATTAATTCGACGTTCACGATGAAATGTGTCGTTTTGTTTTTACAATAAATATTATTTTGAAATTCTGGGAAACGAAATGAAGCTGCTGAGGGAATGTGCAGTGCATGGACAGTAATACACGTCAGTGCTATATAGATATAGCTTCCTACATGAAATATTTATGTAAAATATGCCTAGAGAGCGACTGTTAGTAAAGCATGTTAAGTAAAATGTATATCATAAATATCAAAGGGTGTGTCGTACAAATTCTTATTAAAATACCATTGGTAAACATCACGGCTTTTATCATTGCAATTAAGGCCTTGGTATAGTATTATAATCATTATTGATACAAATTGCCGACAATTTACTCTGAACAGATTTAGTCATTGGCAAGATAACAAATCATAGGTATAAATAGTAGACCTATGGCACAAATGGCACCACTAGCGAAACAACTGCATATCAGCTAGTTTTGTCAAAATTTTGAAATCTTTCCGTCCAATACAAATTTTAAAAAAAGTTTCAATGCCCTCGCTGGGTCGTGTTAACTAAAAGAATAAGGTCACAAGCATTCATGTTAACAAGTTGGTTTGATCTTTTACTTGATCTTTTTTGGAGTTATTATTGTTGTATATGTATTGTTATTCTTGACATTTATCAAATAAAATATTTGTTTCTTAATTAGTAATGGAAAATCATATCAGTATAACCATGTTGAATGACTTCATAACAGTAAGACCACGGACTTTAATTACACTGTAATTGAAGTCCGTGCTAGGACTTACCAATGACAAGTTTTTTTCGTAAACACTGGTATCATTGCAATGCCAATGGTAAGTAAACATCTAAATGTATGGTTTCCAACGGATTTACTCTCAAGGAGCTTCTTTGGTATGAAATGAAATATATTTTTAAGTATGTCTGGAGATGAATTTCATTTAAATTTGCAATAAAGGAACAAAAGATTAGTTTTTTTTTTAATTTATGTTTTCAGTTACCCTTTTAAGCACAACCACGCATTTTTTGGCGCACGGAAAGAAACGGGAATACAGATTTTTGTTATCCTGACTGTGTCCGGAATTTACCGGAATACGGAATAAAGTTTGCATCTCGTAACTCTCCACAGTGGAGAATGATCAAACACTTCCTCATCTGAATGATACAATTTATTATTTAAGAGTATTGTTGATATTTGCACACTATGGTCAGTCTATCAGAGGAATCAGACCGTGCCAGGGTATGTGTAAATGATAATGACACTGTCGTGAACATCGACGTACTCCGGAAAAAGATCTTTACAAATCCGCCCTTGAAAATGAATCCGGGTCAGCTCGGCCCTAAAACGTACTCGGCCCCCTCACTCGGCCGTATTTCTAACTGGACACGGTCAGATGCACTTTTCAATTAATAAATATTTAGGTTTGTTTTATAAATTTTTATTGCAATTACTTACTTAATCAACCATAAAGCATGTTAAGTAAAATGTATATCATAAATATCAAAGGGTGTGTCGTACAAATTCTTATTATTTAAAATACCATTGGTAAACATCACGGCTTTTATAATTGCAATTAAAGCCTTGGTAGTATTATAATCATTATTGATACAAATTGCCGACAATTTACTCTGAACAGATTTAGTCATTGGCAAGATAACAAATCATAGGTATAAATAGTAGACCTATGGCACAAATGGCACCACCAGCGAAACAACTGCATATCAGCTAGTTTTGACAAAATTTTTAAATCTTTCCGTCCAATACAAATTTTAAAAAAAGTTTCAATGCCCTCGCTGGGTCGTGTTAACTAAAAGAATAAGGTCACAATCATTCATGTTTACAAGTTGGTTTGATCTTTTACTTGATCTTTTTTGGAGTTATTATTGTTGTATATGTATTGTTATTCTTGACATTTATCAAATAAAATATTTGTTTCTTAATTAGTAATGAAAAATCATATCAGCATAACCATGTTGAATGACGTCATAAAAGTAAGACCACGGACTTTAATTACACTGTAATTGAAATCCGTGCTAAGACTTACCAATGACAAGTTTTTTTCGTAAACACTCAGACTGGTATCATTGCAATGCCAATGGTAAGTAAACATGTAAATGCATGGTTTCTAACGGATTTACTCTCAAGGAGCTTCTTTGGTATGAAATGAAATTTATTTTTAAGTATGTCTGGAGATGAATTTCATTTAAATTTGCAATAAAGGAACAAAAGATTAGTTTTTTTTTTAATTTATGTTTTCAGTTACCCTTTTAAGCATAACCACGCATTTTTTGGCGCACGGGAAGAAACGGGAATACAGATTTTTGTTATCCTGACTGTGTCCGGAATTTACCGGAATACGGAATAAAGTTTGCATCTCGTAACTCTCCACAGTGGAGAGTGATCAAACACTTCCTCATCTGAATGATACAATTTATTATTTAAGAGTATTGTTGATATTTGCACACTATGGTCAGTCTATCAGAGGAATCAGACCGTGCCAGGGTATGTGTAAATGATAATGACACTGTCGTGAACATCGACGTACTCCGGAAAAAGATCTTTAGACTTTACAAATCCGCCCTTGAAAATATTCGAACCATATTTATCCCTTCTACTCGGGGTTTCTATTTTGGTACACAGAGAAAGATATAATTTTTTTATCATGTACATAAAAGGTCATTATTGTAACAATTTGTTTTGAGTAACAATTATTCATTGCAATTACACTAGTCCAACTATTTGTACTGCGCAACAAGATGTGCTATTTTGTGTCAACGACTCAACATCTCGCGTATACGTAGGCCCTATAGGGAGATTCTGAGAGAGAACGAAAATATCTCAGAATCTAGCTTTGGCACATCAATATATTTTGACTACACTCAGATGCTTGATATTAAATGAACTTTAAGATGTAATAAATTTGGAGTAAAAGTTTAAATGTTTAGCCTACTGTGACACTTTTGTTAAGTTCTATATTATATTCTTTTATTATGTTATACCAAGTATTAATCTGTGTTGAGTTTTGACGAAAGCACTCTACAATTAATATTGTTTTATAGGAAAAAGATGAAAAGTTTAATGGAATAAAAGAATAAGTAATTTTATAATTTTTTTCTCTCCTTAAATGACGCTCTTCATCCCAACAATATCCATTGTAGTCCAAAGTTAAAAGAAATTATGCCAAACCAAATTACACTTTCCAAGTACAAAAGTAACATGTACAAGACTGGAATTGTTATAATTATCAGTACCACATCATCATGTAAGGTTTGGTAACATGTATCCTAACTATAACATGTATCCTAAATAGTTTTTTGGTCAAACATCTAAACTGAACATAATTCTCCTTTCCCAAAATATTTTTATAAATAATATCTTCTCTTAATTATACCAACTTGAAATATTTTTATATTGGTATCTTTGGTTTGTGGTTTTAAAGAAATTTTTGATATGCAAAATGTATTTACAGAGTCATTTCTTTGAGAAGGAAGAAGAAGAGGACCTTCTGACAGAATCTGCCACTTTGTCAATTGATGTAAATACAGAACAAACAGGCAGAACTATAAATACAACTTGGGTTATCTTTATAAACATTATCCTAGTGGTAAGATTCATATTAACATCCATTTGAAAGAGTTAAGTTACAAGTAAGCACTAGTGTTTGTGTAAGAATTAAAAAGATTATTTTCATAGGATTTGAGTATTACATAGCTTTTTCTGTACAACAATGCTCAGATGCTCAAGTCTTAGTTAAAAATTTCAGCTGAAATATTTAAAAGATTTTAGCTTGATTAGATTATGATTTTGAATGACTAACCCCTCTCTGCCATGGCTTTAATTTCTGCAAGGGAATTATGATTATGAATGACTAACCCCTCTCTGTCATGGCTTTAATTTCTGCAAGGGAATTATAATTTTGAATGACTAACCCCTCTCTGCCATGGCTTTAATTTTTGCAAGGGAATTATCATACTTCTGTAGGATGGAGCTCTTGTACTAGCCAGTGGAAATTTTATGGTTTTGCTCATTTCTGAATCCCTTACTGTGACTTAATAGAAACTTCAGGACTGAAAAGATAAGAATGATCTGGAATTAAAATGAAGAATGTTTATGATTTTTATTGGGAAGTTTGCTTTTGTATGTAGGATATTGATTGTATATGAAGTTATCATAGAAGATGATAAAGGAGGTGATTTACTAGGCAGTCATATTTTATAATAACATGTTGTTAATCTAGATATCTGACTTAGAGTTAAAATAATCAACACATTTTCAACAGAATTCATTTCTGTCTGATTTTCTAGTATCGAATAATGAGTAAAAATTTTATTGTAAGATTGATCTGCACTCACCATTGTGATAGACTGATAGCTTTATATTGATAGACAACTTTTATTGTTTAATTGTGTTATACATGTTTCATTTTGTTAACAGCTTGGTGTGTGGGTCTGCATATTCTTATTGCCGGTGTTATGTGAAAGTAACAAGTGTGGTACAGAACCAGTGGCCTTAATTTTATACATCATTGGTGGAGTTTGGTTTCTACAGCTACTAATTGACAGATATTACAGGTTTGTTAATGAATATTTCTGGCTTGAAAAGAACTTTTGAATTATATGATCATTTCAAATGGTGTTATGTTATACAACTACAAATGTTTTAAATCAATACAAGGTACAATTTGATACAATACAGATATAGATGGTGAAAAGAAGATGGATTTTAAAAAAATTTTCTTCCTTTTTTTTGGCAAAAGCTGATGCCTTTTAAATCTTGAAAATTTAGTAAAGTAAGCAATGGAAAAACCTTTATAACATCATGTGATAATTTTTTTTCTTAAACTCATATATTACATCTATATGAAATGACAATTTGTGCAAGATTCAATATAAAGCATCTTTTCAGAGCATCTTGCTTTTGGCTTTATGGCTGTTGCCAAGTTGGGAGTGTCCCGGGATGTTAAGACCTTCTGTGTTCCCATTTTATCTATTTTACTTACAAATTTTTATTTGTCTGTAGTAATTTCTATTATTGAGATAATGTTTTTGACAATACTCAATCAATGTTTGGTATTTCTATGTGTACTGCACTAAGGTTTATCAATTCCAAGCAGTGGTGTTTCCACTTTTGATGGAAAGGGGTCTTGGTATGCATACAAGCAAAAATGGTTATTTTCTACTGTATGAAGTCAAGGTCTTTCTATTTGAAAGACCCTGATGAAGTATACTTTTTATTGTGTTTTACTTTATTTTATTAGTGTATTATTGCATAAAAATATTAGATCAATAATATAACATGTTTTAAAAGTTTTATTAAGATCATGCTTTAAAAAAAATTGAAAAAAAAAACCTAAACAAAAACCAAAGTTCATGCTTTTAAAAAAATGTGGGGAAAACCCTTAACAAAAACCTGTATTATTTCAAAAACACTTCTAATTTCACTTCTGTTTCCAGGAATCAACATTACAAAATCAGACTGTGTGGGTACCTAAGTTTTTACAGACGCACCCGTAATATTAGACGTATGCCATTAATTATTGCTTCAGCAGGTATTATATATATATTTCTACAACCTTGACTATTTCATAGTACAGTGCTACCTGTGCAGAATAGCCCTTTATAGAACAGTGAACTCTTTAAAGAACATCTGTTCTTTCCAATGTAAGGCTTCATTACAAATTTAACCTCCCAAGAGCAACCTTTCTGAGCAACAAACAAAATTTTTGTCTCCAAATAGATGTTGCTCTGCAGAGGTTGTACTTAAGTAATTATGTTAATAGCAAACAATGTTGAAACAATGTTGAATAATAGTCAGAAAAATTATTTATGTAACTAATCATATTTCCATATTGAATGAATAATTTCTGTTCTGTGTTGGTTTGACGTCGGACTGTAAATGGCATTGTTAAAAGTCAAATGGCGAGTTTTCATCAAGAAGGCTTCAGGTGCTCCCCAAAGGGCCTTCATGTATTATGTTGTGTACAATTCTATATCTTTGTTGAGAATCAGCCATCTTTTTATGCTCTCTTGAAAGTATGCTGGCACATGAGAATGTAGTGTCTGTAGTTGGTTAGAACGATCAACCAAATTGTTATAGCTTTAAATGTTGAAAGTGAAATAATAAAAGTAACCAACTCTTCAAAAATTTGAAGTAAATCACACTTTCTTATTGTATTACAGCAACTGCATGTTTGTTAATAACTTGTCAGATATTGTCCGAGAAATGTAAAGCAGGGACGGTGAAATGTGGACCGTTACATAAAGATGGTTACATACAGATTATAGTCTCAATATCATGTGCAATTCAAATCATTTTACTTGTCATCTATAGTGGTAAGTATAACATGTGCCGATAGTGGTTTTACATGTTGTTTTTTAAACAGTTATTTAGTTATATTCAAGCAATTTTTATGACTTTTTGTTAAATTTTCTACTATTGTTTTGCTACTTTAGTTAAAACTGATCTATCGATTTCTGCATTTTATCATGATTAAAGTTTTGAACTTATTATTTATAATTGGTCTTCTAAGCTCACTGACTTAGAATCACCTGCCCCTTTTTAGCTCACCTGTCACTTTGTGACAGGGTGAGCTTTTGTGATCGCTTTTCGTCCGGCGTCCGTCCGTCGTCCGTAAACTTTTACTTTAAATGACATCTCCTCATAAACCACTGAGCCAATTTCATCCAAACTTCACAGGAATGTTCCTTTGGTGGTCACCTTTGAAAATTGTTCAAAGAATTTAATTCCATGCAGAACTCTGGTTGCCATGGCAACCAAAAGAAAAAACTTTAAATATCATCTTCTAAAAAACCAAAAGAGCTAGAGCTTAGATATTTGGCATGAAACATCTTCTAGTGAGTGTCTACCAAGTTTGTTCAAATAAAAGCCCTGGGGTCAAAATTGGCCCCGCCCCAGGGGGTCATTGATTTTCCCTATATGTATATAGTAAAAACTTTAAAAATCTTCTTTTAAAGAACCCAAAGAGCTAGAGCTAAGATATTTAGCATGAAACATCTTCTAATGGTTGTCTACCAAGTTTGTTCAAATAAAAGCCCTGGGGTCAAAATTGGCCCCGCCCCAGGGGTCATTGATTTTTCCTATATGCATATAGTAAAAACTTAAAAATCTTTTTTTAAAGAACCCAAAGAGCTAGAGCTGTGATATTTGGCATGAAACATTTTCTAATAGATGTCTACCAAGTTTGTTCAAATAAGAGCCCTGGGGTCAAAATTGGCCCTGCCCCAGGGGGTCATTGATTTTCCCTATATGCATATAGTAAAAACTTAAAAATCTTCTTTTAAAGAACCCAAAATGCTAGAGCTAAGATATTTAGCATGAAACATGTTCTAATGGATGTCTACCAAGTTTGTTCAAATAAAAGCCCTGGGGTCAAAATTGGCCCCGCCCCAGGGGGTCATTGATTTTCCCTTTATACATATAGTAAAAACTTAAAAAATCTTCTTTTAAAGAACTGTAAGAGCTAGAGCTTAGATATTTGGCATGAAACATCTTCTAGTAAGTGTCTACCAAGTTTGTTCAAATAAAAACCCTAGGGTCAAAATTGGCCCCGCCCCAGGGGGTCATTGATTTTTCCTATATGCATATAGTAAAAACTTAAAAATCTTCTTTTAAAGAACCCAAAGAGCTAGAGCTAAGATATTTAGCATGAAACATGTTCTAATGGATGTCTACCAAGTTTGTTCAACTAAGAGCCCTGGGGTCAAAATTGGCCCCGCCCCGGGGGACATTGATTTTCCTTATATGTGTATAGCAAAACTTAAAAATCTTCTTGGAAATAACCTGAATAGCTAGAGTTTAGATATTAAGCATGAAACATCTTCTAGTAAGTGTCTACAAAGATTGTTCAAATAAAAGCCCTGGGGTCAAAACTGGCCCTGCCCCAGGAGTGTTATTGTTTTTAAATACTAGTATATGTGTAAGGAAAAAACTTAAAAAATCTTTTTTTAAAAAACCCAACAAGCTAGACCTTAGATGTTTAGCATGAAACATCTTCTAATGGGTGTCTACCAAGTTTATTCAAATTAAAGCCCTGGGGTTTAAACTTGCCCCGCTCCGGGGGGGGGGGGGGGGCCTATATACAGGTGAGCGACTTCAGGGCCATCATGGCCCTCTTGTTTCATTGACTATGAATTCTTTCAGTTAAGAATCTATCTATAAAGCTTATGAAAGATTGGTGGTTCTTCTCAGGTGCCTTAGAGGGGCACTAAAGGATTTCCTCCATCATAAAGTCTGGCAAGCTACCAAGCAACCATTATTGTGCTGACATGACTTAAAAAATACCACAAAAAGAGCTTATTTTCAGTTGCTCTGTGACTGATGACTATGAAGACATGTGGCTTTAAAATCAAAACCCAAATAATTCATATAGTAGACAAATTCTATTATCTAATCTGTCAGTTGGTTGTTTAAGAGACTGTCATTACTAGATGATTTAATAAATATAGTACTTTGTCCAGAGTCTAACATTTTAATGACCAAGTTTTTAAATAGTGATTATAATGAGTCAGATTACATAAATAATCAGCATCTTATCATGCATGATAGATAATAAGTGTCTCATCATTCTAAAAATAGTTTTGAATTTAAAAAAAAGATTGACCTCATCACTCCAGCACAGATAGATAACTGTTATAGCTGATATTAACTAAAATACCAGTTGAAGGGAGCTAACTCTAAAAACATTATTTGACATGAAATTTTGAACTTTTTCTTAAGTCATTGACATTCTTTAAAAGCACAAATGCAAAGGGAGATTGATATTTTTACCTTTGTCATAATTCATTTAAGTTATTAAAACAACAACAACAAATTAATATTTATCTTTGAATTTTTTCAGTGAGAACAATAAATTTTAACAAAAGTGGGGCATCACCAGATGTAAACCAGGAAGAAATGGTGACCAGTTTTTTACAAACAAATTCAATCACCACTGATGTTGGATTCAGGTAATTTATCATTCATCTGCAAACTTTGATGTATCTGTTACAATAGCTTGAACCTTTTTTTGCTAGATAACAACTAATTACTAGGCACATCTGTGTGTTTATATGTATGGTATATATCCATGGCCTTGTTGTTTGATGTGTTCTGAAAATGGGCTGGAACCTACAAAAAAAAAATCATTAGATAAAAGCCATTTAATCAGAGACTTAGTAAAAAATTCATTAATTTAGAAGAAATTATTATAACTGCGGTATAGTACACACCATCAAAGGTTGATAAAACCTTTATGAACTTAAAATGACATCAGATAATTATTACATGCATGTTATACAAATTGCTTTACAATTTAGTTCCAAATGAAAGGGATGCAATATTTTTTGGCTGTTATGCATAGCATAATAAAGCATTGCTGTCAATTTTGTAATTCTGAGAGTGCTTAGCATATAGGTCTGCAATTAAAAGTAATTAAATCTCTCCTGAAAATCCTTGGACTCCTTACATTCAATAAATTTCCACTATGCAGTTTTATTTTTACATATTGATATTGTCATTAGACTGTTTACGGTAATTACAGAGATGGTGGATTAATGGACCAGGTATTGGAGCGTCAAGCTGATATGATACGGTACCTAAAACAACATAACGAGCAACTCAGCAAGAAGATTATTGTTCTCTCGGAGGAAAACCAGTCTCTTAAACAGAGAAGACAGTAAACAAAACGTGTATTTCTCTCAGTCAAACGGCAGTCTATATTTATTCAATTATATACCAGTTCATCTGCTGCTAAATGAACTTTTTATATTACATGGACAAAAACAAAATATAACGGAAAGGAAATTCGTATTTTATGAGTGTGATCCAGGATAACGTTGCTGATGCTAGGACAACTTTACATAACGGCCAAATACATATATTAAAATAAAAGTATGAGAAGGTATATAATGAAATGGTCATTAAAAGATTATCGTGATTTAAGATTAAGATTTTGGCTCTCATGGATATTATTAGACAGGATCACGCTCGGAGCTTTATGTTTCTAAGATCCTGGTCTAACAAAATCCACTAGAGTCAATTACAAGAATAATATCAAGATGATTTTATTATAATTTTTATTACATAGAAATTGACATGTATTGAGTCAATTATATGCACAAAGTATGTGTGTTGTTTAAATTGCACTTGCCCCTCACCGCTGTGGGTTAGAATCCCGACAGGGATTTTGGATTCTTTCATGTGAGGAAGCTATCCAGCTAATATGGTACGTCGGTAGTTCTACTCAGGTGCCAGTTTGTGCCTGAAATAATGCACAGAAGTGCACCTGAGGTCTTCCTCCACCAGTAAAGCTGGAACGTCGTCAAATGACCAATACTGTGTTGGTGTGACGTAAAACCCAAACACACAAACAAAATTGTTTAAATTGATGCATCTCTGTCTCTATATAGAATTTCTTTACATTTCTGTCAGTTGTTTATAATGTTAAGTTTTTATGAAAAGGGAAACTAGGAGTAATAGGCTATGAAATAGTGACAGATGGTTTCTTGTTTTACGTGGGGCTTTTTTTAGGGGCATTATCAAGAATGAGTGCAATATTATATAGAATTGTTATCCCCCGCCCATGGAATCGGGAGGGGGATATAGTTTTGGCGTTGTCTGTCCTTCCATCCGTCCGTCCGAATTTCGTTTCCGGAGTAGTTCTCTGCAACTACTGGCTGGAATTCAACGAAACTTTATGGGAATCATCAATATCAAGAGGAGATGCGCATATCGTCGGCTTGTTCTGGTCCGACCCTTTAACTCAGAGTTATGGCCCTTGATTAGTTATGTAGTATGCATATAGAGTAAAAATCGTTTCCGGAGTAGTTCTCTGCAACTACTGGCTGGAATTCAACGAAACTTTATGGGAATCATCAATATCAAGAGGAGATGCGCATATCGTCGGCTTGTTCCGGTCAGACACTTTAACTCAGAGTTATGGCCCTTGATTAGTTATGTAGTATGCATATAGAGTAAAAATCGTTTCCGCACTACTTCTCTGCAACTACTGGCTGGAATTCAACGAAACTTTATGGGAATCATCAATACCAAGAGGAGATTGGCATATCGTCGGCTTGTTCCAGTCAGACACTTTAACTCAGAGTTATGGCCCTTGATTAGTTATGCAGTATGCATATGGAGTAAAAATCGTTTCCGCGCTACTTCTCTGCAACTACTGGCTGGAATTCAACGAAACTTTATGGGAACCTTCAATACCAAGAGGAAGTGCTCATATCGTTGGCTTGTTTGGGTCAGACACTTTAACTCAGAGTTATGGCCCTTGATTAGTTATGCAATATGCATATGGAGTAAAAATCGTTTCCGGAGTAGTTCTCTGCAACTACTGGCTGGAATTCAACGAAACTTTATGGGAATCATCAATATCAAGAGGAGATGCGCATATCGTCGGTTTGTTCCGGTCAGACCCTTTAACTCAGAGTTATGGCCCTTGATTAGTTATGTAGTATGCATATAGAGTAAAAATCGTTTCCGCACTACTTCTCTGTAACTACTGGCTGGAATTCAACGAAACTTTATGGGAACCTTCAATACCAAGAGGAGATGCACATATCGTCGGCTTGTTTCGGTCAGACACTTTAACTCAGAGTTATGGCCCTTGATTAATTATGCAGTATTCATATAGAAAAATATTTGTTTCCTCGCTACTTCTCTGCTACTACTGGCTGGAATTCAATGAAACTTTATAGGATACTAAGAGGAGATGTGCATATAGTCGCCTTGTTCCAGTCAGATACTTATAACTCAGATTTTTGGCCCTTGATTAGTTATGTAGTATGCATACATCTCATTGGCATTTCCAGATTTTACTATTTAACACAAAGTTATGGCTCTGTTATTGCCCTGAATATTTATCAAAGTTCAAAGAATATTACTGTTTATGCCATGATTAATATATAAATAAAGCCTTATGTCTTCAGTTGTTGTGTTAATAATAACCAGTACTCGGCGGGGGATATAAATTCAACGAATTTGCTTGTTCAATATGTAAGTTGGGAAAAAACAGAGGATTTGTTTCAATTTAAGGCGCAAATGTAAAAGAAAGACATTGAATGCTGAAGATATTTTATTTTGTTTATGTTTGGATCTTAAGACACAAATTGTTTTCTTTGTAAATGTTTTAAATTTCTTTTTAGTTTCTCAGAAATATATTTATTTAGTTGTACACTATGCTACAAAGTATGCAAGATAAGTCTATTTATGCATAAATTAATATATTCATATATACATGATTTTATCAGTAATCATTCCATTCTTGCCTAAATACTGTATTTGTTAGTTTATAAAATGTGTAACTATGTAAGCCTTTAACCTGCTGGAACCAAAGAATGGTAAACCCTTTGTCACCAGTATAGAGCCATGCCAGCTTTCACCTCTATGTAGTCTGACCAGGCTCTATACTGCTAGTAGCTAAAATTTGTGAATCTTGATTATGAAATCCCTGTAACTTTTAATGGACTGTTCCAAGTTCTAAGCAGGGCAAATCCATTATACACATTCAAAAGGTTAAGGGTTAGAAGGAAAATTCCATTGATCTTGTTGTTGTGGTTGTTAAGATTTTCAAAATGAAATGGAAAATAAAAGTTTCTTTATCCATAAGTGATATATCTGTAAACATTAGGAGTAAATTGTAATAGCCATAGCCTTCAGATGTGAAGCTCACCAAATTTTAAAATGCAATACTTATGTAGTCGTCTTATTTGCATTGTGTTTTTGTATCAATTTATATTTATGCTAGGAAATAGTTCATGGTCATTAAATTCCTCTTAAACCAGCCGGCATTTACCATTTAGTGATTTTTTTCAATTCATTGGGAAGAGGCCTTAGCCGCTTGATTTTGGGAAAAAATATAGCTAAAATTGTTAATTTGGGAAGTAAAAAAGCAGGTTTAAGTTAAGATTTTTGGGAAAACTGCATGATTATAAAGAAAATTTCAATTGGGAAGAGGCCTTTTTTTGGAGTTTGTTATATAAGCATGAAAATCACTGCATGGATTAATTCAGTAAAAATGTAGAAAATTGATGACAATTAACAAAATTGTTACATAAAACCATGTGTCTTACCCAGAAGTCAAAAACCATGTGTTGTGCCAATTGCTCTAAAACCATTATTTAAAGCCAAAGCCTCTGAAGCCATGTGTCATGTCCAGGCCACAATGTTACAACAAACCTTTTTTTCAGAGAAATCTATCTTGAATTTCAGCATTTTCAATGGTCAGTGAACATTTTGTGTCAGTTTCTGTCCAATCAAATACAGGAGATCCTAGTTCAATATTAGAAAATTTCTTTATTACCTCAGACCTTTGACTCTAAAATCTTGGCCACTCTCTGGGCTCGACACAGTGATATAAAGTTTGTAGACTTGATGTTCTTTTTTCCAATCAAGCAGTTCAATAGTTTTATGGTTATTGAATTTAATTGTTTAATTGGTTTTTGTATGATTTTTAACTAACACAAGAAATACTAAATATGCGAAATGTGCCAAATGTTATGTGTTCATAAAATACTATGCATGTAAAAATATTTTGTGTATTTGAGAGAACAGTCATTGCTGTTCAAAAGTAAATATATGAGCAATTTATCTTCAAAGGACATTAAACATATCAAGGGCATTGTGGTATTATAATGATTTTTAAGACAGACTTGTTTGTAAATAGTGTATTTATTGCTTTTACTATATAAGTCTGTTTTAACTTAGAATTTCTTGTTCTTGCATATGCTTGTACATATATTGAGGGTTAATCGAAAAACTGCATTAACTTGTATGAAATAAAGAAGGATTTACAAGAGTCTTGTGGTCAACCCTCTGTATATTAGATTATTATTACATTATTATTGTAACCGGATGGTTCTATAGGGATGCCTCTTTACAATGAACTTATCAAATAAGTTGGTTTAAGAATATATTTTGGTAACACTTGTGAGTTTAAATCCTGTCAAGGACGTATTTTTTCATGTAATCAGGCTATCCAGTTTCGTGACTGAGGGGTTCCATTTGTTGTGCCAATTTCATTTCTCAATTTTAGATATTTACACATGCATATATATGTATGGCCAACTGAAGTCAACAGGAAATATTTTTATGTTAAGGCTGTACAATATTAGTGATATTACATTAATTTTCTTTGACTTTTATTGGTGAAAGGCAGTATCTTTGTTACAAGTGAGTGATATAATCTATATTTCACTTGTAAGGTTCTGTGTTAAGTTGATTGACATTAAATGAAAATGGGTCAGTTTGTAATATATGTAAAGTTGAAGATTTTCATTTTTATTTGAGTTTTTCTCATACACACAATTAAAGGGAGCTAACTCAAATAACTTCTTTGGCATGAAATCTTAATGTAAAATAACATTTCAATGATAATTAAGTTAGTACAAAACTATGTTTCCTCCTATAAGAAATAGCCTGAAAACATAAATGCATAAAAACAGAATATAAAGTATTGTCACCATTGTCTGTCATTTGCTTTTGATGTTAACTTTTGAGCTTTACTTTTGTTTAATTATTCCAACACTGCTGTTTGTGAATTTTATTAAGGCCTCAAATTATTGACGTTTTAAAAAGATCTTGTGGATGTCTTAAGAAAAGTGATGGCATAGTGGTTATGGTGTCTGCCTCGAAACTAAGGATTATGGGTTTGAACCTTTACAGGGTCGGGACAATATTTTCTCAAAATTATATCAGTAAAATGATAGAAATAATTATGATTTAAGTTCCAGGAAGTAGACTTAAAGCAACAAGATATCTTGACAATCCAGCTTTATTTGTGATTTAAGTATTTGAAATTTCATAGAAGGAAGTTCTTTATGCTCTATTGTTTGACTTTTTATGTAAGGTCTCTAGAAGGTTACTGGGTGTGTCTTACTCTAGGACACCAAATTTCGAACTGTATAGTAAAGAATATATTAGTCTTGTTTATAATTTGTTACTGCTATGTATTTATATTAATTGCTCTATTATTTATTTTTCTACATTTGAATAAAAAATTAAAAGAAAAAAATCTGATTTATTGTTTTTCATTATATTATTTCATATGATCAAATTACAAACAATGCTTTGTAAGTGGCTGTAAAGAAAGGTGATGCAGTAATGTTTATTCTCGTAAGGATAACAGACTATAATAAGATGCATGTGTGCCACCATTTTGGTTGTATTGTGGTATTTTCTCTCAAAATGATGTCATAGTGGACAACACTTGATCACTTGACAAATATCTGCAAAAAGACGTTGTATTACAATAACAAAAAAGGGAAGAGATCTCTGATTTTCATTTATTTAAATATTACCTAACACTTGTTATTTACTGATCCATTCGAGTTTGTAAATAGGAGCCTGTGTATCTTTTTTGGCTGATGTACATAGCTCAATTGTTTCAGCTCTGTTATTATAGCATGACATATTTACTATTTTTAAACAGCAGCTTGCTTGAGTAAAGTCTTTTGGTCAGGTAGCACAGGTGTTTAAGTTGACCTAGTTATGTATGGGAGGCATAGTTATGGTATTTTTGACTTAAGTGCTAAAAATTTCATACATTTGCTACAAGTTAAAAAGCACACAACAATCGTATATTTTATTCTAAGCTTTATTCATGTCACAACTATGACTAGACAGCTAAGCTAGTTTTTGGTAAATCAATATGACAGTCAACTGAAACCCTAGCCCCAGTTTAAAGCCAGGGCCTTTACCTGGATAATCTTATCCCTTTTTAAACCCCCACCCTGCACAGACAAAACGTAAAATCCAAGCTAAATGCCCGAACAGTGTGAGTTGGACATAACTTTTTCTATATTGGCACTAAAACAAACAAAAAATGAACCCAACGTTCTCCTGGCAGTAAGGGGACAGTAGGAATGTAAAAACTTTACTTATTTCTTCTGCACTTCCTCACACTGCCTGTTGGAATAGGGCGGAGTTTCAATTGACTAGTACAATAATCTTAAACAATCAGAAATAACATGTCCAAGTAAATATACAGCTACAAAGAAAATCATGCAATACAAAATAAAATTTTATTACCCTATAACTAAATGACTGTGATAGAAAAAAGAGATTCACTTGACATTACATCACAGAAGAAATAATATAAGAAATTTCATTATTACACAATAAAATCATCAAGAAAAATTTACCTATCCATTGTCAACATATAAAAGTATGCCTTTCAAAGAACCATAACAGGTACAGAAAAACCTGGGTTTCAAGACCACCTTCAACAATAGAATGAATAAAGAAAGCTCAATGCCTACAACTTCATTTTCCAATGTATACAATCAATGTGTCAAAGACCATCTATATATAATCACAACATTTTTTGTAAAACTGGTCTTAAAATACAGCTTTGACTGTTTGTTCACAAATAAAACATTCTTGTGAGAAAATTTATGTATTATTCCTTCACACATATAATGCACCATTAAATAATCTTGTTAGTTAATCATAACATCATAGAATAAATAAACAATAATTTTATTATAACAGGACACATTTTTGTAAAATAAAAAGTATAACTTACACAGAATAACATCTACAAGAGAAAGTCTTAACAAAAAGAGTAAAGGAAGAAAAAAAAAAGAATCACTTATAAAAAGCTTGTTTTTTTTAAAAAACATTTTACAAATATAGCACACTGAATACAGTTTGTGGTTAAAGCACCTACAAGCATATAAAATGTCCTAATATCATATCGGAAAAAAAGTCTTAAAAATGCTAAAAATAGAATAAAAACACAAGATATCTGATGTGTAAGACTTAACAAATGCAATATGACAAAAACAATTCACAGAAGTTTCTTAGTGACGAACTAAACCCTGTTACCCACAAGTGATAGTACCAACTTTAACTTTTGGATTATCAAATCCACTGATAAAGGCCCCTGGTATGTGATGGGAGTACTGTGGTAAAACCCCTGCACTGCAAGTTAGACAATTTCCCAGCTATTTTTGCACCAAAATATAACCACCACAATGACCTGTGAAATGCAGTTTGGGGACAGACAGAAAGTAAAAACTAATTTCAGTCCCCATTTCCCCACTTTTTTCCCAGCAGTGGGAGACTGGGGGGTATAAACAACTGATGCATAAACACATAAAAATTATTCTGTTAACATAGCAGTAAGTAAGAATGTATAATTATGTATCAAGGACATACAAAAGAACACATAGAAAACTGATCAAAGGAAGACATTACGCAAAAGAACACACCAAAGAGAAGAAATAACAAAGAACACATACATGTAAATATAAGCATGATAATAATCCAGCTAAAAATTGAAAATACACAAAATCAGACTATGATAAAAAAGTACTTCTGAGATACGCTGTATACAATTATATACATGTAAGAATTACGTCATGTATCTTTTACTTTCTTATAGTAAAATACGTGTATAGACTTCACAAAAATATTCTGTGAACAGATCCTTCTTATTTAAGGTGAACTGAATATAATGATAGCATGATTACTTTACTCGAGACCTCATATAAGAAACTGTATATTCATAGAATTTCCCAATTGCAGAAAACATTTAAGTCCTACATACACAAAATTGAGTAACTTACCAGTAAAAACATGTATATAAGCATACATGTCATAACGTCCCAGATGTCCGGGACTGTCCCGGAAATCAGGTGACTGTCCTGGAGATGACATTTAAGGCACCATAAAACAACAATGAAAGTAACTAGACAGTCAATAACAAAAAATATTACCCTGACTGATAAATTTAACACTACCCTTTGAAATTCTGTCATCATTTTATAATGAAATGGTGAAGAGTGTCTTTGAAAACTAGCATGCATATATAAGAAAACAATAAATTACAGCAAGATTCCAATTTCTTCCCTTATTACCAAGAGATGAATGAACTTAAATGAACTTAAAACACAATTGTTGGCACTCCATACTTAAGTAAAACCATGTGTGAAGACAATGACTGTAACCCTGTAACCACTCCGTCACGGAGACCGACAGTACTTTATTTATATCTTTAACATTATGTAATATATTTTTCATGTAATATTGTATCATGTACTAAAAGCTAGTGTGTACATGTATATATAGTCCTAGACATTGGCAGCAAACCTTAAAATTCAACAGTACATGTACTAATTCTTTCAGTTAAGTATAGTTTCTTATTCATTCAACAACTTAGTAGAATAAGGACTTAACAATAACAAAAACATATCCCAAAAAAGTATAACTATAAAAAATATACAAATAGCAAGATTTAGATATATTAAAACTATCAATAATAATTGTATGTACATTTGGTAACTACTATGTTTTGATTAAAATGCATGTCAGCAAGCTAATATTGATCCTCAGGAGTTAAATTACTTATTATATGCTGAAGTTGAATTACTTATTTGCATTACTTATTATTACCAAGTTAAATTACATATATGCATGACTTATTATTCAAATGAGTCGAATTACTAATTTACACTACTTATTATTCTCAGGAGTTCAATTACTAAACTGCATCACCTATTATTCTCAAAACTGTAAAATAACAATGTTAACTGGCTTGTTCTTGTCCATGCAATATACAAAGAAAAAAGAAATTTCCAGAATATGGTAAAACAATTACTTGAAAAAAAAAGATAAATTGTAAAATAATATTAAATAATTCTAACACTCATGTAAAATTAATATTTTCTTATAGTTACAAAGTAATCCCGATTTGATTTCATTATAGGAGTTATTCTTTTCTCAACTGAACAATGCAATAAATTAAACCATTTCTTAGCTACTCTAGTTCAATATTTGTATTTCTTACAATTGTTTTGTTGCATGCTTTAGTTTTCTGAGCAATTAATCTCTATTACTGCATATTTATAAAGATACTGTGTTCAAAACAGATCTGCAGGATGCTTTTCATAATTTTGTTTGTCTTATTTTTCCTGAGAAACAAAGCAATGATTTTGCTCTATCGGCAATCTTCATCTCCTGAATCCACATTCAACCCAGCACCAGACCTGGCCTTGCGTAATTGTCTGGCTTCTTCGAAGGTTTCCGACTCATAACCGTATGTTCCACGTGACGAGTAAGTATTGAATGAAGCTTCACTACCGGAAGCTATTTTATGTCTGCGTTCTCGTCTGTGTTCACGTCTGGCATTTCTGTAGCATGAAACAATTTTAGTTATAACACTTTTGTGTGTGTGTATATGTATGAGTAACATAAAGAACATAAATTATTTTTGTGAGAAAATGAGCAGTCTGGGGTAGAAACGGACCTGCAACCCGCAAAATACCATACCACAGACATACTGACTACACTGAATGCAGAAATGCAGTCATATGAGTGGCGGCATGGTCGAGTGGTTTACGTGTTGGACTAGTAATCTAATGACTGCTAGCTGCATGGGTTCAAACCCTGTCAGGGGCAAGTCGTTGTTTCCTTGAGCAAGAAAATTTACACTCATTGCTCAGCACTGGTTGGTTCCAGGAAAGGATTTGAAAGTGATCTATAAGCTTATTGCTTCCTACACAATGGAACAAAAAATAAATTCTGTATAAACCAAATGTAAATGCACTTACACAAAATTTTACCTTTTAATTATCAGCTCTGTACCGTGACATGATCATGATATTTATAAAAAGATTTTTCACATAAAATAAATGTAATTAATGAAGTTTAACTTAAAACCCAAAATACTGAGGGACCGGTCAAGTCAGTACAACACAGTCAAAGAGGCACTAATTGTTATCATAAAAAAAAAATTACCATATAATTATCAGTATACCTATTTAATGAAGAAGACCTATTTCTATCTCGATGATCTCTGTAATTTTGACCGGAGTTCTGTCTCTGCAGACTATCCTGTCTTCGTAAACTGTCGTTGTTCAAGTCTCGGAGACTAGAGTGACGAGATAAACTCTGATGGTAGAGCGAGGCATCATCGTCAGGTCTATCCACATATACATACTCATTTTTCTTTCGATAACTGGAAAATAAAGGATAAAATTTTCTTACATTTTTGATAATACAGTGTAACTTCTGAAAACCGAACACCTGCGGGACTAGCCAAAAAGTCCGGAATTTGGAAGTTTCCGGAATTCAGAAGTTCGGAATTATCTAAACAAAGTACAATTATTATACATCAACTGTTTTATAGTAAGACATGATGAAAAATATATTATAAAGCTGATAAAATTAACAAAATAGCACTATTATAGGACTTTTAATACTTTTTATTTCATTATCACATATAACTGAATTTGCTGATACAATAGCATAATGTTAATTATCACAATTTATCCTTTAGTATATTTAATATACATGTAGTACCTGCTATTTACCTGTATTTTTTCATTTCATCACATTATTTTTCTCAATTTCTTAATTTTCACACTTTAAACAAGTGTTTGATATGCTTGACATGTTGCAATTCTAATATGTGTCAAGATAAATGGGTACTGTTAATAATGGAAGATACTGACATTTTGAAGGTTTTTGAAGGTTACAAATATAATATTCCCTTCACACCTTTTTTAATTTCCGGATTTTGGAAGTAAATTTTAATTGATATAATCCAAAATTTACCAGAAAATCGTTCGGAATTCAGAATTTAGAAGTTCCGTAATTCAGAGGTTTTTATTACATAGAAAACAGAAGGAGAAATTTCGGGACTCTGAAAATTGTTCGGATTTCAGAAGTTTCCGGATTTTAGAAGTTCCGGAATTCAGAAGTTACACTGTATCTGTCACAGATTTAAAAGAAATGAAAGTAAATGAAATGAAAGTAGTGCTTATGTAGTTGAACATTTATAGTACCTAATTTTCATTGTAGCTTGAATGTCAACTATGAAGATCTAAAGAAATAAATCTGTAACTAAAATTATTTGTGAAATACCACGGCAGACAGAATAATCAATACAGCATGATTAAAAAACTTGCCATATGAGTCTGTCATATAGAAATAAAGTAAGACATTGAAAAGTTTTTCACTTAAACTGATATTGAATTGCTGTAGCATGCACTCTTCCTCCTATTAAACAGCCAAATAACACTTGGTTTTAAGTGCATGTCTATAAGCTTTTAGCTTCCTAAACAATCAAACTAAAATAAATTCTTCTACTCTTTTAAGTTGAACTTATATTGGTTGAAATAAATTTTGTATAAATTAAATTACATTCTTTGTTTTGAAAAAACTAAAAAATAAACTATACCTGTGGTCTAAGGTTTCATTGAATATTGGAACACTGATAAAAAAATCAGCTGATACGGGCTGTTTGTATTTCCTTTGAGACAGAGGCTGCTGTCTTGGTGTTGATGACACATGGTGCTCGGTTTCAAACTGTCTTTGCGGTCGTCCAGATGGGGGTCGCTGTCTCTGTACAGTTTCTACAACTGGTTCCTGTGGGGGATCAGGCAATCTACGTCCAGCATTTGGGTCTTTGTAACCCTTTCTCCACTGATCTTGTTTCATTGGAGCATTGACATGACGTATATTTGTCTCACCATACCTGCAAGATTGAAAAATATTTTGAAACTTACCAATTTAGCATTAAATCCATATAAAAGAATAAATATATAAATATCAACATGATCATAATGGTACAATTTGAAATAAAAAGGTATTCTACAATGTATATCGAAACGAAGATGTGCATTTTTCAAACAAATAATAATAGAATGTCTAAAAAGGATTAATTTGATAACAAATTCCTCTTTACCTTTGAACATTTTTGTACTGTGGTGTGGTTTCTTCTGGCTGGACAACTGCAGGCTGCTTACGCGGAAAGCAAGGCACTATGAAAAAGAGAGATAGATTATATAGCCAAAATCACAATCTAAAAAGACAGGCTCATAATAGTGTCAAATAATTATTACATAAAACAAGGGAAAGAATAAATATAATGTTTTACTTCCCCGCAGTAAAGTTAGTGGTAGTACCATTTTGAAGAGGCATTAAGCAAGATAAAAGTTATGTTAAGGTAGGTCTGCTTGCAAGTATACTCAGTCAGAGATTACACCCCCTGGAGAATAACAGACTTAGACTTATAGATTTTCTGGCAATGGCTCATTCCTGCATGGAAAGTAAGATGGCAAAAACCCTGCTAACTGCTCCTGCACTGACAGATGGACCCACAGTACATTTACCATTGAAAGGTAAAAATTTGGCTCATTTCCCCACTTAAGTCAAAACATTTTGTTCCCCACTTAAGTCAAAACGTTTTAACGTCCAAAGCTTTTTGAGTTCTTTGCTTCAGTTCAGAATCTAGAGGGGAGATATTCAAATAATTGCCCATACAAAAAAATCTTCTCACTCTCATCTCGACTTAAGTGTTCAGTAATTGCAAGACTTATTTCCCCTCATACTGCCTTGAAGTTGGGGGCAGGCTGGGTTAGTCCAACTAATTTGACAGAGTGTCACTGACCTAACTTTAGGCTGGGCAATGTCTTTTCCAAAGAAATGACAGTAGAAAAAAAGACTATAAAATTGGTCAAACTATTCATGCAGTATTACATGCACTGTCAATTTGACTTGGATAGCCTTATTAATTCATTATACAGACTGTTATTTCATATTGTCAAACTGGAAAAAGACAACATCAATCAAAAATTATCTTGATGTCTCTTTGAAAGCTTTTGTTGATGCATTCAACTGTATATTTCATAAATCAAGATACATATCCCATTTCCTTAAGCAGCCATAAATGCATCTGGCCCCACTTGATGACAAAATTTATCATTTAAATAATTATTAATTTATCATTTGCAAAAAGTATAAAATTTCTAAATGACTTTATCGTTCATCAGTTTAATATAAATATTTTCGTTATAAATTGAAAAAAAGAAGGAAAATACTTACTATTTTATTTTTAGAGTAAATCTGGATCCAATTTATTGTTGCTATGGTCAATTATGTAAACAACCAAGCGCCTATTCGCTCAGACTTACTTTATATTATTTACTCTGTGTATATAACTAAATGAATTTATGATAAATGCTTCAACTAATTGATTAAACAATAAATAGTCTTCTTATGGTTGTTATTAACGGGAAAAATGTAGTTTTAAAGGGAAAAACTTGGGATAATTTTTAATCATTATCACAGAAACGCACGCTTACCGGTGTCGTGTTTAAATACTACACGATTGATATATCCAACTACCTGTTGGGGTCCCCAGAGGGGAAATTATGTTGAAAAGCACTTAAAGGGACATTAAATGTCACACAAATTGTCAAAAACCATAGAAATTGTTACCTGTACACATTTTAAGAGCATCAGAATTTTCAATTTTATCTTTTATAAGAATAAAAAATGAAAAAAAAATGAAGCAAATATGATTATGGCGTTTGACTAATGTAATAGTATAATTATTAATTATTTTTATTGTAAATAAAAAAAGATGTGAAGGTATTGTGTTATTTCATACATGGAGAATTAATATCTGCTAACAACTGCAATGATTCTGACCATGTAAATTTATTTTGTTGATGACCCATTATCAAATATGTTAAGAGTAATTACAAATTAATACTGTAGTAGATGGTATAATTTGGGAACATGATTATTCCAGATGAAACTTAAAATACATTTCTCCTAAAAGGGAATGATGCTTTGAAAGGAACTCCTCTTAGGTCCAAATGTTTAAACATAAAATTTTAATTTTTTACACAGATCAGTGGGGCTCTTAAAACTGAAAGATCAACAAAAGATTATTAAGAAAGATGCGTAGAAATGAATTGAAAATTATATTTTTGTGCTTTTCTTGGCCAGCTTTGAGGGAAAAGCATTGAAACATTTTTAAATTTTTGGGTCATTTTTTCACGATTACAATAATTAGTCTTGAAAAATGGAGTATTAGCAAATGATCTCAAATTTGCACATAAGCCATAGTCATCAAATCACGGATTTATATTACAATAATATAAATCCGTGACCAAATGGAACATTTAAATCTCGAAAAATTATTTCTTAAAGATGCGTCATGTCACAAAACCTCAGTGGAGTCCCTTTAACTACGTACTATTGTAATAGTAGTACTAGTCGGTTAAAATGGATTTGCATAGTAGATTTCTTTTACATTTAGTATCTCAGATGCAACTGAATTTTCGAGAGCTTATTTGAATCTCTTTGAGTCAACTAGTGGTCAACATGACCCAAGAAGGTTTTAAACAAGGCCACCCTTGATAATGTTTGTTTTCCACTTCCGACATTTGGTCTGTAGGTAATAAACAAGAGCTGCAGGTAGGACAGCAACGCTCGACTATTCTTATTGCTTGATAGTAAAAGAGCCTTGATAATGTAAAATTTTCTGAGTTAATAACAAAAGGACAAATTTTTTCTTTAAATCAATGTTACAGTTATAGGCCTTGGAGAGAGTCCTATTATGCTCTCAAAGAAGTGTATAAAATTTTAACTTGTTTCAAAAGAATATGAAAATATCTGAGGTGGTATGCAAACCTAAATGTAAATTCTAAGTCGAAAAAGGGGCATAATTCTGTCAAAATGCTTGATAGAGTTACCTTCTCCTGTCTACAGGTTGGGGTCATGATGGTGAACAAGTGTGCAAAGTTTCAAAGCCATGTCAATGGACTTTGAAAATATTTGAGGTAATTTACAAAAACTTTAACGTAAATTCTAAGTTGAAAAAGGAGCATAATTCTGTCAAAATGCTTGATACAGTTACCTCCTCCTGTCTACAGGTTGGGGTCATGATGGTGAGCAAGTGTGCAAAGTTTCAAAGCCATATGTCAATGGACTTTGAAAATATTTGAGGTATTACAAAAACTTTAACATAAGTGGTTACGCTGACGCCGACGCTCGGGTGACTACAATAGCTCTACTCATTCTTATCGAATAGTCGAGCTAAAAATCTGTCAATCATGTCTATGTACTTTACTAAAATTATTCAAATTCTAGTGACAAGCAAAAAAAATATATACATTTCAGTACATTTTTTAACTTACTTTTTTTACAAGTACATGTGCAGTAGTGTTAACTGTTTAATTTGGTATGGTACATGCCTTTGCAGGGCCAAGTCATTCTAGCAATTTAACTGGGAACACAGGAGTATATTTTGCGAAAAAAAAAGAAAAAAGAAAAGCCGGTTGGTCTGAAGTGGCAAACAGCAAGATAATCCTTGCTTTAAGAGGCAGATGCCACTAAGCCTGTGCACATTAGAAGTTTTGAAGAAACCTAGTACAGAAAACATGCTGGTCAAGTCCTCTTACAACTTGCCAAGGCAAAAACAAACAGAAATAATAAATATAACAACCAAATTAAATAATTTGAAATTACTTTTTTTCTGTCATTTATATATTTTTTTATATACAATTTATCTTTTTTATCTTTAAGATATATAGAATTTAATATTCAAAATGGTAAATATAATACCATAAAACATATAATTTCATAAATAACACTTTTAATACACTGCATTATGAACACAACCTATTTATACATTACTCGCCTGATACTCGGGGTATCAACACAACAATTTAAGTACAATCCTTATGTACATCAACCCAGTAATTGTCTTTAATTTACATCTTTAATACCATATTTACACAAGAATCTATCTTTTCATTGTTATCCGTCTAAAAAAAACTCAAGTGTCAGTTCATTTTATTTTTTTTGCAAATGTCTTTTTTTATGTACA